GATATCCATAAGAGATGGTAATTTTCTACAGAATTAATCCTAGTTATGAATACACATGATTGAAATGCGGTAAAGACCTTATACATTTGCACATTATTCAACGAATAACATTAGCGTTATATTTTAGACAATTTTTGATATCAGATAGAATAATCGGTATTTATTATTACCGATAAAAAATATTTACACTAACATATTTTGTTCATATTCCAACAATACAATGTACAATAACTTATTAGATTTAAATATGCCATGAATAAAACAATATTAGAATTGTTTGGTAGTGCGTATATTTGGTCATAAAATAAAGTCATAAATTTCACAAGCAATTAATAACAATTAGTGAGATCTTGTTACGACATACCAGACTATTTTATGAAGAAACGACTCATAAACTCTCAGTACCTGCCTATCTAATAAATCAAAAAGACATAAGTACTGTGCTGAAAAAGATCCATGAAAGAAACATTGTATTTTGAAAAAGCAAACGCTTGACCTCGAACATCCTATTCAGATGTCCTTATTATTGTACAGTCGTTTGAGTATTAAAGTTGAGCCGCCACTTTGAAAGGACGAACGAGATTATTTTCACAAAACATAAGCCGCTATAAATAAAATGAGGCGGGCAGAGTCGGCTAATGAATTACGATGCGATCGGCCATCGAGTGTAAGATTCTAGAGGAGACACGCGGCGCTTATGCGATGCATGCGCCCGGTCCTAGCCGCACCGAACCTACTCGTCGTCGCAGTGAGGCGAGCTGCAAGCGACCGCTACGGGCATTGTACGTAACTCGCCTGCGTGCGCTGCAGAACCTAAGCTGACAGTCGCCTTCACGACGCTAACAAAGAACGCCAAGCTCGTGCGAATAGTTCACGCTCCACCTCTTGCATCATTGTAATAGGCGGGTGGCTCGAAGTCAACGACATCCGCCGCCGAGTCATCGTCGTCATTGAACTTGAACCTACCTTCCGAGGAGGCATTCACGCCGTGCCGCAATAGTATGCCGCAATGCACGTTTCAGTTGATACACAATATAAATGTAGCTCGATAAGTAAATATGAAGAGCCAAGCATCGAACCAAGGACGACTGGTCTACCAATCATATAAATAATGCCGCCGGACCCATACTCGCTGCTCGAACGCTACCTGCTCATTTTCTCACATTCTAGAATAAATACTTTATTTGTATTCCTAAAGTTTTTGAATAAACTCTTTAAGTCGAGTTATAGGTACCAAAGTGCTATCTGTATACAGTATTAACTACCGTTCGATCAATTTCGAGGCGTAACCGTCATGGTTTGACACAACTTTTATTTTTATGAACTAAGTGACTCACGAAGGTCGTCGCTCACGCCTAACGAACGATCACCAGCAGATACCTACTTAAATCAGTAAGCAAAGCGGTGCGGAAGTCCGACGAACTTTAGCTTCACTATTTTAGTTTATCGCCAGTACATCGTTGTCGCAAACTCAAAACTACCACACAACCGTATTCATGTAATGAATTTATGAAAAAATGCTATAATCTATTAATACCTTTGGAATTCATATTTTTAAAATTATAATTTAAATCTAGTTAAAATTATCGTTGAAATTATGTAGTAGGAGATGACGAACATTATTCAATCTATTAATATTTTAACGAGCTATGTAGATACTAGCGATCTGCCTATCACTTGAAGTGTTGTAAGAGCTTCCTGTATATTTCCATTCAATATTATAATATGACCAACCCTAATAAGAGAGACACTTACAAAGTTACATTGCATTTTAATCGCAGATTTCTGTTAACTATATAATTTTGACCAAGAACCAGCCAATATCAAATGGTTTAAAAAATACTAATAAAGTTTTATAAAAATTATAATTCTGCACCAGTATGAATCTAACAGGGCTGGTATTTTACAATTTACTGCTCTCGCAGAGCATGACGTGTGATTAAAATTTGGATAAGACGAAACCCGGTTGAAGTGCACTTTCAAGAAAGTATTACAAGGTAGACAGTAGTTGCATTCCTGTCGTGTGGACAGAGGTAGCTACTAAGACGAGGGGCGTGTCATTGAACCGTCTGTAGCAAATTGTAACGCTTCCACCAACATCCCGTATATAAATCAATTAGCTTAACCTGCTACAGTATAAGTATATACCTAATATAGATACATATACATAACAAATATGAGTTACACAGGATATCATACATCCACTTAGTAAATGTCTATATCCAAGTAAATATTTTCGGAGCACTTAAACTGATTATCACAATATATTAACAATAAATAAGTTGCAAGAGAACCTCATTGACCATTCTCTTGTACAATTGCCATTCCGGGCGCATGATTCAGCAATACTATAAATAAAAGCTAGGCACGTGTGTTAATTCCAAAGGACGCTATTTAATAAAGACAGCCACGTCATGTTATTGTCGCGGTGGCACCGGATAAGCGCGACGACCGGCCGATTGTCTCGCGACTATCGTAAATAACTCGCGCTGTGTCCGGTGTCAGACACGAATACAGAGTACTGGCGACATCCAGTAAAACTTGCTGTCAGCATCCAAATTATAAGTCCTATGGCCCACGTTTAAGCTCCAGATATCATTTATAGTTTAAAAATGCATCAATACAAATAACAATCGCTTGGCAGTTATTTTAAACTGTCGAGGACACGTGGTTGGATGTGCTCTCCTAGTCCGGTCACAGGAAGCAGCCCCCGCGTGCTGAATACGTATGAGTACGGCATGTGCCATGCAGTCATGATCCATAGATGACTATTCAGCTAAACCATCATTGATATTACTAACGTGCATGTAACTTCTACTGTCATTTAAAAATTGCCCTGAAACATTTTTCATATTGATATACAATTACATACTAGTATGAAGCCAAGGTTGGAATTGCCTTTCGGCTATGAATACCAGCAGAGGTAAAAACAATGGACATGTGTTATAAATAGGTGGAATAAATATAATAGCAAAGTTTCTTTAATCTATTTTACTGGTTGAACGTTATGCGAGGGGTGCATAGAGGGCGGGTACAGATCGAGCGCAACTCAGCCGAGGTCCGATAGTATCGGTACGCGGCGCAAGCTAAAAATAGATGGCAAGGCGGACCCTTGAACCAGCCGCGGTCGTCACTGCAGGCTTCAAAGGGCTACTACTATTCAAATATTTTTAAAGTGCATATATCAACTTAAACAACATAATTAAAGAACAAATTTATAAATTAAAGTAAATATATTAAATAGTTTAACTACATAATGATAAAACGATTAGGATAAGGTTATACATAATAATTATGAGCATTATTTAACAAAAATCGAAATGATGAGCGATGGCTAAGCGTCATTAGAATTATGAGTTAAACATAACTGCTTCTACAAAAAGAAGTTATGCAGCAGCCCTGCGTATTTGCTCTGATACCGCAACAAACCACCATAAAACACGGCGGACGCAGTTTCTCGCTTGTTCGCTTTCGTTCGCGCACATGCGAAGAACGCTTATTTTTTCTCCTGATTAGAGTAAAAGATGTGCAACCGGTCTGTAAGCGAAGGCCGCGGCCAGGGACGGGCGTATCCCTCGACTACTTCGCCACAGTAGGGGACGCCGACCGACTCCACACCCGCTAATGATGTCTCCGCTGAACCACTCCTAATTGGACGACTGACCACTCCAGGAAAAAATGTGCACCAGGACTTCATGGAATTGCGAATAGGCTGAGCAACACGCAATTTGAATCGTACAAATTATGAAATTCCTCTAAAGTTATTTGCCACATTAAAAAGCCGCCAACGTAAAAAAATAAGCCCTTATCTTCGTAATAATTTGTCGATACACCAACTCGGTTTCTGTTATCAAGATCTGTGAGGTGTGAATTTAAAATGAATCAGTTCTCGGGAAGTCGTTTGTCCAGTATTTCGTTTTTTTTTTCATAATGTTTATTTCAGACGAAAAATATCTGGAATCTTTTCCGGGTTCCTGTGGCTATCAGTACGGTAGCTAATAAAACGTCTTGCATCACGAATAGGCACCTAGAACAGTTACCCGCTCTGAACGATTTCTTTGTCCGTTGCGTATCTTACTGAATGCCATTATGTCAGTACCACGTCCACAATAAGAATTGCCCTTTAATAACGGGAGAGTTCTACTGAATCATCGTTGATTGCAGGCGCTCTTACGTTTACCTAGCTGTAAATAATAACACTATGGTGCTGCACTAAGAGACATTATTCTTTCATATGTAATCAAACTTGCTACAGTGACTCTATTATTAATGTTTGTTAAGGTCGAACTCATAATTTTTACGTTCATTTAAACATTAGACATATACAATACGTAAAACCAAATTGAATAGTACTTATTTAAAATGTCTTGTATCTTATAAACACATAAAAATAAATCGAAGAAATACAAAGAGCTCAACAGAGCCACGTTCAAAAGATCTTCCTTTTATTACGACTATCAATCAAACAAACATAAAGTCGTAATGAATACAAATTTAAATGAAATGAAAATTGGTGATGTGCCGGCAGGGCCACCACATCACAAGCGCCATTTGTTCGAGAAGCGAGACCCCGAGCGTGGAGGCGCGTGCTCTGTCTGCGTCTCACGCGCACGCATCGAGTCGTCAAATTCCTACGTGGCCAGCCATTCATTTCATTTAATAGCTTGTCATATTAAATTGTCCCTGCAAAGCTTTCTGTCCAACCGAGTGCCTTATAAGCACATGAATCGATTAATATTATTATATACACCAATATAGCTGTCAACGTGATCATACCGCGCATCTAATGAAACAACCGTTACTTTGCATTGTATTAAGTTGTAAATAAGCTCGATTCGATGTGGTCTTTGCCATTTACGTTTATGATATTCTAGTATTAGGTGAGCTTATACGCGCACCGTGAACGTGTCATTCCGATGAACACGTCCAGGCTGCTTAGTTGCACAGCTTTAGAAATTTCCTGGCAATCTCGTCCTATAAAATGCCATTTCTTGTTTCAGCCATCGATGCGGCTTGACTAATGAAGATTTAAATCGACGTTGGTGTAAACCCAGTCCCGTTTTGCATCCGTCTATTTATCACACCAAGGTAAAAAGAAACCAAGAAAATTTTAATGAAATATGTAATATAATTGCTAACTATATATACTAACACTAACACATTTGCATGTGCAAATTGTATGTTATAGGGCCTTATAGAATATCTAGTTCGTGTTTGGAAAAAACCACCATTGGTATATTGCGATTATCATGGGCATTCGCGTAAGAAGAATGTATTTTTCTACGGATGCGCGGGCGCAGAAAGTTGGTGCAGCAACGACCGATTAGTGCAAGATGATCCGGTTAAGTACCTCGTAAGTAAAATGCATATAACTGTAGAGGATTGCGTAATAAAAAAGTTGAAATCTAAAATGTTCTAGCGAGATCATGATGCCACTGAATGTGCTTATTTAGTATAAAAATTTGTTCAAAAAACGACATCATTATCTTGATTGAAACTTTTAAATAAGTATGATCTCTGTTACTTTCATATATAGGTACATATCACATCCAGATTTTTTTTTCTTATAGATGTTGCCAGCGTTAATGCACCGCATATCTCCAGCGTTTGCACTTGGTTCATGCTCATTTAGAGTAGAGAGAGAGAGGGAGAGCACCGCCCGAGTCACCGTATGGCGACACCTTGGCGTCACGAGATCTTACACGATGGAGGCCTCTTTCTGCGGATTTGATCGAGGGCCTTTCAAGGTGACAGAAAATAATTTGAACTCATGTTAAAGCTCGTTAAACTGTGAGTCTAAATGCACGGAACCAAGCACATTTCTCACACACAGTCTAACGCGATGATCGATAGCAACATCTTCTATCGAGATTAACTTATTAGGTACTACACTTATATTCCAATTAGAAATGACGGCTTAACTAAAGATTAATGATATGATACCGATAGTATGATACCGATATGTAGGCTAATACATCTAGCGGTGTCGCGGCCATACAAGTTGTTCGATTCATCCGATAAGGCCGCATCCAATCTGCAATCTAGTGGAAAGTCTTCTCTCCACTTGTACCTTTTTTTCTAAAACAACCTCACTGATTCTAACGTTACTAACTAACATTCCTTGAAGCAATGTCGCCGACCGACTATTGCTTATGAACCCGTCCCGTGAGGCTTGCGATTGTTTTCATTAAAAATCGGAATTGCGAAAACAAATTATTTGCCTTAATGATTTAAGTGGACACTTTTTATACGATTTTACGTAACATTATGAGCAAAATTATATTATTTTATATATAGAATAAAAATTTATTTTTTCTTTATAATTTTACAAAACTGTACCTGTATATAAAAATAAGTGTATAGTACTTTTCCCCAAGAAATGTTTAACTGCGTCACGATAAGGTGTAGCAAAGTAAAACACTGCCTTTTGACCACTGTTGTTGTACGCAGGGATTTCACCTGAACACCCAACACCTTCAAAGCGTTGGCAGTGACTTCTGCGAAGCACTAAATGGTCTGAACGATATAGTCACTAATGTTGATATACAACTCACCAAAGATCTCAATGGGTAAGTTTTAAATTCTCATTCGAAAACTAGACAAAATAATATCAGATAAAAGACTAAATATATTCGAGACCGTGGATTATTATACTTTAAAACTGGAACTGCCAGAGTGCCCTTAAGCCAAATTTGTGTGTTCTACAGATTGTGTTCTGAGGAATTATTCGAATGATGCCCAACTTTTTATCATCGTACCGTTCGCCATCGACAAGGAATCCATCCTCACACGCTAGAACCTAAATGGTCGCGTACAGTACGTTTTTAGAGTTATCTCCCATCTCCTGTGGACTGACGAAGTATTCCCTGCATACTATAGTATGGGGTTCTTCAAAAACAGTGTATTAAGGTTTCTTCAGGGTCGGCAACGCGCACGTGACTCACCTAGTGTTGCAGACATCCATAGGCTACATTGACCATTAGACGGGCTGTACGCTTGTTATTTTCATGGTATAAAAATAAAGTAAATAAGATCTTCCTTCTTAAGAAATCCTCTATTCAAATTTTATTATGTGATACTACTGGATTTAGGTATCAAAATACCATACAACTAGCGCTATCTTATAACTTAAATGTGTAGAAATCACGAGATTTCAGGGTCTGCAATATGCACGTAATATGTATCGATGTAACCCACGGAGCAAATTAATAACAACTTATACAAAGAAAGTAAAAAAATCACATCTTTACATTTATTATAAGTAATTATTAAATATTTTTGGTTGACAGAAATATCATTGACATTAATTTGACCAGTGCTGGGATTAGCAGGCAAGTTTTTATTTAAAAAAAAACCATAGGATATGGTAAATTAACACAGTCGTTTACCACAACTTGATAATCTAACTTCACATTTTTACATGCATGCGAAATAAAATATTTTATGTTCACACATAAAACAAAAAGGACCCATTTTGACCGGGTTAGCCCTAGAATCAACAAGTCTAAAAATTCATCATCGACCGACATCAATGACAGGAATATAATTTAGAACTGACAAGCATCGGAGATCTCACAGTCCTGGTTTTTGTAGTCACTAATTAACTTATGTTTTTAGCATAGTTTTGCCTATTGAAACAGAAAAAAAATTAAACAGTTCATTTTAACGATTCTTACTAAACAATTATATTAACATTTATATTTTATAACACTTACCATAAATATATACATATTATTATTTAATTGGTAACTATTTCATAAGCGATTGCGCGAGATTGTTGCTATGTTACAGAATCAGAAGTCATAAACTAAAAAAGCTAATAGTATTCCAAGTTACTAACAGTGATGTCTTATATTCCATTACATACATGAAAATTGTCAAAATTAGTCAAAAGTTAGTTAATTCGGCAACAGGGTAGCATAATGATTGCATCAAGTCATATCACGTAGTATGTTTAATTGAACAATATTTGCAGGGCTTTCCGTTGCAATCTACGATTAGTCATTCGATCAAAAAATTTGATGCGAATTTCCATAGTACACTTATCATAACGTATATATTTTTATATTATGTAAATTTTACTTGCAGTGAAGTAGCAGTGGATAGCGAAGCGGGTTCCGGTTCAGATAGTGTTTTGAAAACAGATTCCGATGAAGACTTCGATTAGATTCTAAAGTATACTGACCCTTAGGCTAAGCGCTCGCTACAATAATATCGTTTGTACATATATATCCACATTTCAGTAACTGAAATATATGTTCCTGATTTAACTCATAGTTCTTGATCGTTTGTCCAAGTTATAAATACTCTTACCTGATAGGACATGCTTAATTTTTAGAAGTATTTTTTTTATTTACTTATAAATTTACATAACATTCAGTGGATTTTAAGTTACATGTAGTTTAAACCCGTGAACCAAATTTGTTTGTGTGATGTACTCGTGTAAAGTATATATAATTAGATATATATATGGTTAAATTTTAAGTCGTTTGTGATCTCACTAATGAATAAATTACGTAATTGATACTGCGTTTTATTGTAACTTAATCTAAATAGGTCTCTTTTTTATTGTTTTACTATGTTGCCCATGCAATAGCAATTTTCCCAAAACCTGTATGTAACCTTGCTTGCTTCATTTGCTTGGGCACCTCTGCCCCATTTGTCTTTCTACCGTGAAGCAGTTGCGTTTGCATGGCTGTGTTTCGGTTTAAAGGGTGGGATATAGCAGTAAATTTACAGGGTACAGAGGAATAACACCTGAGTCCTCAGGAATAACAACACATGGGCGGTATCATGGGCGAAACAGTATACTCCGTTATATCCATAGTACTGCTCATGTCTATAAGCAACGGTTGCCACTTTCCATCAGGTGAGCCATCAACTTGTTTGCCATTTTAAGTTACATAAAAAAACCTACATTTAAAATAAAGGGCTTGGCTCATTAAAAAAGGCCCATATGTACTTACTCTGAAACAAATCACGGACAATTGAGGCCTATAAAATCAAAGACGGCTAAATCCATCTGTCAAATGTTCAAGAAAATACAAACACTTATATTTTGTCAAGAATATAGAACGATATTCTATATTTGAAACCAGATTGAAGAAAATTAGAATATGAGTAATAATTTGAATTTGAATTAATAGAACTCCCTCTATATTTGAGTACAGAGTGAAAATGAAATCGACTTTATGGCATTTAGCTGCCATTGATTTTATAGATGGCGGTGAACCTTAAATCTAATTTAGGTGTTAATAATTTAATACAAATACGTAATATAGGAAAATTTATATATTATCATCTCAAAACTCAATAGTATATTGTCATTATCAACAATGAATCACATTTTACTTAATGTAAGGTTATCATAAATAAAAAATTTGCACTGTCCGCACCAAATAAAGATAATACAAGCCAAGTGACAACAAGGACTAACAAATTGTATTATTACAAAAAAAAAACTAACACATTGAACTTGTTTCTTATATAAATAATAATAAATATCTACTAAATGTGATGCAAACACGTTTATTCTTATAGTTAATATAATTATTACAAATATTCACAACTCCTGGTTGCGCCTGAGTTCGTGAGATTACATATTGTTTATCAGAAAACAAGACTCCACAAAATCGTATAAAACATTAATAAAAAAAAAATTTGTTCTTTTTGTGAAAATTTAAATCTACTATGCGACAATTATAAATTTTCAACTTAGTATTGAGCAAATAAAGTAAATAGTGAATCTTATAATTGTGTTATAATAACAAAACGTATAGGTACTCTGTTGTTCTTACTTGCTATATTTAATAAACAATCTTGGCTTATCTATTTTTAGGTATTAATTGTATAAAAAGATATCACCAAAATCATTGACTAAATATACCATGTTTATCTATTATAATATCGTGTTAAACTTGTCTATATAACAGTATATTAATGTGTAATCTACGAAATGTTACGCTGGTAATAAAGGCAAAATATTATTGAAATAAGGCCCATGTTACAGGTTAACTTTGAAAATATTCGACTCTTTGGGTGAAGATTCTGTGACGCTATTATCTAAAATTAATATTTTAATTTGATAGTTCTGCAAAATTACTATTTTATGGACCATCATTAACTTTAATTATAATATTTATGATTTAAATACACATATTAAAAACTTAGTTCATATTGGTCTTTAGAATAAAGATTTCGCTATGATAATGTGTGGTTTAGAGAATGACGCCAAAAAATCGACTCCAGTACCGGTAGAGCAGTAGTAAACATTTTTAATGCCACTAATAATTCTAGAACATACATTTAGGATATTTAATATTTCCTCTTTCCATAACTGGGCACTATTTTCTGCTAAAAATAAAAGGACATTTTGCGACGTAGTATACCTACTGTAGTCATTTAAGATTAAAATCAATTTGATCTCGAGACCATTTTTGCAACAGACTATTCTTGTCTTCTAATGTCCATTACGACAATGTCGTAGCGTTTGTGTACTTTTTTAATTTTTATAATCAGTTACTTAAATTTGAGCAAAACTTAATTGAACCTGTTTAAATCCCTAAGTTTCAGTGTAGATCAAGATTTTAATTTTATGAACCCCTATCTAGTTTATAGTAAACTAAAAAAGAGTAAGTAAATGAATGAATGAGAAGTTAACAGCGCACACAAGGTAGGTATTGAGTGATTAGTGTTACTAAGTAATGTTGTGCAATATGAAACTTAATTGTCATATTAATTATTCGTTGGTAGCTGGTCCTTCGAGCCAGGATTAACAACAAAACATGTCCACTGCCCACAACATACTGTAATTATATTGCTCGCAAAATGCCAACTAAAAATATTACATATTAATACTTCGTGCATTATATGTAAACCAAGATATACATACGCTTATAGCGTGCAACCTCTCTTAGACAAACACACACTGTAATTAATGTGGTTCCTTTGAATTGGATACATTGTTTATAAAATGGTGCTCATATGCTACAGAAAAAGCGTTATGTAACATACTAACATATAGAATTTACGATTACAATATTACTGCAAAGTGCACTTTAACGAATAAATTGTGACGAAAAAATTTATAAATCGATTTAGAAATGGAACAATAATTTTTCTAACATATTTTATAAATCTGATAATGAAATTCTATAGATACAATTAGCTACAAAAGTATGTAAAGAATTTATAACTTCCATGTTTGACACAATCCGCAATTAAAAAATATTATAAAATGTTGTTTAATGCTCTAACATGTAGAACATATTTTTGTACTCAATTTGACAAAACAAACAGTATGGTCTTGGCATATACAAACATGGTTACTGACGAATTCCGTGGGCTTATTCCAACATACTTCTAAATGCAGATATCTACACTAATAGCACTTATAAAACTGAAATGCTATGAATTATTTCGGTGGCTCTATACAGAGGATAAGTTGGGCAACAGAACCTTTTATTCTTCACTGAATATAAATGGATACTGTAAAACGGCCAGACATATTGCGTCGATATTCCAAATTTTAAAATACAAATCAATCCAGCTATGCGATCTTATTATATATCTTATTCAAATGCAATACTTAGTACACCATAGTTGGCTATAACGCTTCGATTTAGCTCTTCTTGTGTTGTATTGGTACAACACAAGAAGAGCTAAATCGAAGCGTTCACCGAACCGGTAATTATTTATGGTCTTACTGTATTGTTATGTGCATCTTTCGACCAAAAACTATTACTTTCAAAAAATTTATAAATTAAATATTTTAATTTTTCATTGTTGGAAAGTTTTTTTTTTTTCAAAGAATGTCAAGGTATGTTTTAGATCAGCTGCATTTTTATACTTTAACTAATTTTTGTTCGATATTTCGTAAACGTGGATTTCAGAAGTAGGTAAATAATGATGAAATAAATAGGCTACTTCTAGATCAATCAAGATAAATATATCAAGAAAAATCATACACCAGATTTTAAGTTAGACCTTCAGGAATACAACTGTGAAAACCTTATTCAATTTGGTGCAGTAGTTTTTACACGATACCGGAACAAGCATACAGATAGATAAACAGAATTTTATCAATTGTACCAATACAACACAAGAAGAGCTAAATCGAAGCGTTCACCGAACCGGTAATTATTTATGGTCTTACTGTATTGTTATGTGCATCTTTCGACCAAAAACTATTACTTTCAAAAAATTTATAAATTAAATATTTTAATTTTTCATTGTTGGAAAGTTTTTTTTTTTCAAAGAATGTCAAGGTATGTTTTAGATCAGCTGCATTTTTATACTTTAACTAATTTTTGTTCGATATTTCGTAAACGTGGATTTCAGAAGTAGGTAAATAATGATGAAATAAATAGGCTACTTCTAGATCAATCAAGATAAATATATCAAGAAAAATCATACACCAGATTTTAAGTTAGACCTTCAGGAATACAACTGTGAAAACCTTATTCAATTTGGTGCAGTAGTTTTTACACGATACCGGAACAAGCATACAGATAGATAAACAGAATTTTAAAAATTATCATTTTGGTATATCTTGGTCCTATTCGGACCTCTCACATAATTTTTTCTTAAAATATATATTAGTAAAATTAAAAATACTTGCGGCCAAATATCATTAACACTTACGGATACTAAACGAGACAATACAATTTCAATTGTTATTAACCGTCGATTGCCGTTTGAATAATAATGGAAGTATCGGCCACGCGGTGAGGCCTCGGTAAGGCCGGCATTACACAGCCGGAACGTCGACTCGAATCAATACTGAATCGCACACGACGAGAAGATAAATTGACGGAATCGCGAACGCGGGGATCACTCAGTGAGTATCTCCGTGCGGTCCTTCGCGTAGTAGACGAGTAGCCGCGAGCACGTCTCGCGTCAGGGGCGCTGTCATTGCGCGGCGGCCGGGGCGGGGGCGGGGGAGGGGGCGGCGGCGGCGGGGCTGGCCGGGCCGGCGGCCGCGGCGGGCGCGGGCGGTCGCGGCCGCGGCGGCTGCCGGCGCTGCCGCGCGAGGAACGAGTGTCCGGCCGACAGCAACGCGAAGCGTGCCTCCACAGCGTCGCGGTGACAACGCGCGCCGAGCTGGTACCAGGCGGACGCTAGCAGGCGTTGTTCGCTGCCGCCGCGGCCGCTCTCTGAACTACCGCTGCCGCTCCATCTAGAAGATAAATTTAACAAATCAATTAACATATCATTGTAATCTTTAAAACCAGTCATTACAAAGTATGGGGCTGTGCCTAATTTTTTTTTCGGCCTATTAAAATTAAAACAAAGCGTTATCGAGCAATTTATTAATCCAAAATACAACCTGTTTGAATTTATTTAAAGCCCGAAATAATTCAGCACTTTAAAAAATAAACTACTCACTCGTGTCGATTATTATTTGCTGGAGTGATGTCGGCTCGAGATGCGTTGGCGCTGTTACTGCCAGCACCGCGCGAGTAACCTAGTGTGATGTCCGATAACGATTGTTGGCCTGTAACACAATGCAGAAAAAATATTTTATAAAAAAAAAAAGAAACACTAAACCTATTATTTATTTTAATCATCGTGAATAAAATACATTCTTATAACCATTCTAAGAAAATATTTCTAGTATCCTTTACTGTATTTATTTGTCTAATACAAATAAATACAGTAAAGGATACAATGTTTGCCAATGTTTTTACACTAATTAAAACAAAATATGTACCAGTGGTCCTTGGGTCGAGGCTCTTAATGACTTCCTTGGCCTTTTCGACACATTTCTTGTACCTATCCTCATTGGCAAGGAGCTCGGCTTCTCGTGCAGTCAACGTTTCCTGCAATTTGCTGACGCGGCGCCGTTCCTCCGCCAGTGCCGTCTGAAGCTCTTCCACTTGTAAAGCTGCATTGTCAATTTAAACGGTAAGATTATGTTCAGATGACACACAATAATACGACTGACACAATTTTGCTACTACTACTCCACTATATCAATGTCGCCAAGTATAGACACCGTCAAAACCTTATTTGAGAGGCGCAGGCGGGATTACCATTCCATTTTCACCCATAAAAAAAACTTATTTGAGAACACGACATCAATTTTACATACAAATGTGTTTACTGTGCAGGATTCTAGTCTGTGGTACTTGTTTTTCGATTTGTAACTGTATATGTATGGCTGTTATCAATTTTAACGTGGAAAATAGCAGTAAATTTACATTGTTGTGACATAGTCCTTAGAAACAACAATGCGAAAATATGTGTATCACAGTCCGTATCGACAGATAGTCAGAATGTCTTATTATCAAATTTGTGTGAAGAGCATAACGCAAGATATATGCCCCAATACAGGTATGTTGAAGGGCAGACAGTAACGCCATCTAGGGTATCCAGTTAATTTTATATGTTTTTGGGGTATTTTGTATAACTTAAACGTAGAGGTGCCGTTTAGTCTTAAGAATAGCGTGGTAGGGATAGTTGGCGTTATAAATCAATATATGGACATACATTTCCTCTGGCTGTCCTCGATAGCGGAGGCGAGACGAGGGTGTGGTGCCTCAAGCGTGGCTTCAAGCTGCATGATGCGCTGGTTGGCTTCGCGGTTGACGGCGCGCTGCTTCTCCAGTCGCGCTGCGTAATCTTCCAGAAGCGCCTGAAAATAACATTGAACGAAACAAACTTTTTTATTATGTGATAAGCTCTATCATATGTAAATGTGACTGTAGAAAAACGAACAGCGAAATTGATCATGTAATGAATGAAAAATAATAATAGGCCTTTAATGCTGTATTAATTTTACATATTACGTTCTGAATACTAAATGGAGACTTTATACACAGTTATTTGTATTGATATCACTTTCTCTTGTAATCAGAAGAGGGAAATATTACAGTAAAATTGCTGAGTATGGAGACAAGTTAATCTTTAGTTTAGTGTATCCTGTGACGTCCATAATGCTGCTTATATCTATAGAGTTAGTAAAATTATAGAAAACCACAATAACCTGCACAGAAGCCTGATCAGCCTGAGCTCCCTGGTTCTGTCTGAGCAGCTTGTTCTCATGCTCCAACCGTATAAGTCGCTCCTTTAGGTCATTCGGTATTAATTCCCTTGAAACGTTATCTTCACTCGCCCCTATAATACATATACACAACAATTTAATATTTTTCTCAAAATAATATATTTTAAATGACAATAAAATATTAACTTCAATGTAACAGCTGTGACGTAAACGCGAGTCTGAGTCTATTAGTAATGGAGATTTAGCAACCCTATTACTAGCAATATATTCTCTCAGGTCGACCTCCTCACGGTTTCCCCTGGAAAACATGGTGATCCACTCATTGGTAAATTTGTCATGATGAGCTAACTAACCTGCTTCATTTTCACTTATCATCTCTCACTGATGCCCAGCCAGGGTATACCGTTGTGTACTATTAGCGAGTTTACCGTTACATAATATATTTCTTTTTTAATGTATGATAATGGAATGGCAATCCCACCTGCGTTAACGATATACGCTGGCGGGGCACCAGTATGCATTATTAACAATCCCTCCCTCCCAGGCAAGTCAGTTAGCCCATCGTGGTGAATACACTAGGAATTCAGCACGATGGCTTCTAGGTGGTCCCCCCACGTGGAGGTCGACCTGACAGGGTGCATTGCAAACAATGGAACTGGTAGTCTACACTAACAATCCCTTCCTCTCCATTATCATCCATTTATAATAAAGTCCTCCTCCTGTTGCAAGGAAGCCAGTAGCAAGTGGCGGTTACCAGGCGTGATGGCGGCGCAGCGCAGCTCGTCGACGGTGTCACGCAGTGCGTCGCGTTCGTGCAACAGCGCGTCGCGCTCGCGCTGCGCCGACGCCACGCGGCTGCTCAGCTTCTTATTCTCTATCTCAAGTTTATCCGCCTTCGTTATTTCCGCGTCCAATTTCTCGTTCAAATCGGTTACCTAAAACGTTATAAATGTTACAATTTATTAAGAGGAGTCTTCAATCTTTAGTTCTTAGCTTAGATTACATAGATAGAGCATCGAGCCTCAACGTTTTTGAGGTCAACTTTTTGTCAGCTAATTATCAAATTAGTCGACACGTTTTTTTTTAACAGTGTTCTATATAATTACGCGTAAAATGTATCTTGACGTATTATTAAATAAATGAGTGTTTGCGCATTATGAAGGCGCAAAAATTATAAAACAAAAAAATATAGAAGTTATAAAGGAATCACTCCTAACTAATTATTACGCAAAATTGGCAACCGTAATTATACTTTGGTGATGTTTTAAAATGGACGCTGCTGTCCATCCTTTGATCATTAAGGTCGATCAGTCGCTTCTTATGACACCTACGGAAAGTAAGAAGTGCCCTATGCTGGGACCACACGGCAACGACGAGACATTTATTATTGATAATTATAAAATAATATTTTTATGATAATTTCAAATTAAAAAATAATGGATAAATTATCTTTAATTGTTTCCTCCAAAATATTACAGTAATCAGTTAGTAAAGCACAGTGAGACAGAAAAAGTAGTTATTGCCCTACTTTGCCCTTTTTTAATTAATTAGGGGTAAAGTAAACCCCCAACAATGGGTAATAACCCATTACAGGGAACTATCAATGCTTAAACTCTATTACACCAATCAAATCTTTCTGACATTAAAGCCCACTGAAACACATACTGTAGTATCAAGTATTTACATGCATGCAATTATACAACCAATTGTAAACTGCCCAATATTGTATACCTGGGGGAAAGGGATTGTTAGTGATGGCGACTGAGAATCCCATTGCTAGCAATATACCCAACCAGGTCGACCTCCTCGCGGTTCCCCCTGGAAACTATCATGATTAATTCCTGATGAATTCATCATGATGGGCTAACTGGCCTGTTTTCATTCTCATCGATCACCCTTCACTGGTGCTCCGCCAGCGTATCCCGTTAGCGCAGGCGGGGTTACCATGCCATTTACACCCATCAAAAAAAAAAATTGTATACCTGTATAGTTTACCTGTTTCTTATAAATGTCGAGTTGTGCCCGCAGCGTGTTGGCGCGGACGGCCGCCTGCTCCTGCTCTATCGCTCGCTGCACGTGCTCTGTGTTCGCGCGCTCTAGAAGTTTTACCTGTACATTATGACATAACATAACGAACTCCTTATTGCGCAGAAAACAGAATTATGTATAGATTTTGTTTATATTATTATTTCAGCCGTTATCTGTCCACTGCTGGACATAAGCATTCCCCATAAAGGGAGTTTTTAGTTGCCACGCTTGGCAGGCGAGTTGGCAACCCCAATTAGGCAGAGGCGAAGGGATTATTAGTAATGCGGACTATCAGTTCCATTGCTAGCAATATACCATATCTGGTCGACCTTCAAGTAGTCCCCCCTAGAAACTATCGTGCTAAATTCTAGGTGTATTCATCACGATGGGCTAACTGACCTGCCCTTTCATCCTCACTTATCGCCCCTCACTGGTGCCCCGCCAGCGTATACCGTTAGCGCAGGCGGGGTTGCCGTTCCATTATCATCCATTGAAAAAAAACCGTATTATACATTAGGCTTTTAGAGATGTTTTAATAGGGACGCTGCTGCCCATCCCTCGTTCTCCTTTAGTCGCCTCTTACAACACCCGCTGGAAAGGAAGGGGTGGTCCATTCTATACCAGGGCACAGACGGTAATATATAAAATATTTTTCCTAAATTTGTAAAGGACAATCTTATCACTTAAAACAATTTATAACAAACAAGCTGAATATAATAAAGAGAAAAAGTAGCCATCTTAGATATTGTATTGTTACAGAGTTGGCATGTTTAAAATATCTTTTAAGGAATGTTTTAAACTCTGAGAAGATTGCAAATAAGCAAGATATAAAAAAAAGTTACAATATAATTTAATATAATTTAAAAAGTAGGAACTGTTATTTAGAATAGTGGTTATAAATAAACTGTATTTATTCTTTTTTTCCTATAATTTATTAACTAATCTATGCATTATCGGATATTTTCCCTCCTCAAGATATTCCTCACTGATGAAACTTATTAAAAAAGAACTGCAACACACCTGTCTTCGGAGGTCTACATGCTCCTCCATTCGCTTTTTGTAAGAGGCAACGGTCGCCTCGAGCGCTGCCGCCTTCGCAGCCGTCTCCCGCAGCGCGTCCACTTCATCTTTTAATACTACGTTTTCTGACGCCGCGATCTTTAACAAATGAAAGTGCATTTAATATAATTCGTAATCACATTTAGAATAAGTCTACTGTTATTTTTATCTAGAGAAGATCCTCAAAAAATACATACAAAATATTGCAAAACTTATCATCACACAATGTATGAAATTTTAATTTTTATAATGTGATTATATGTATTTATGTTTGTTAATCAATTACATCTGTTTAACAGTGATAAATTTAAAGGAAATCTAATACCCAAAAAAAAAATTAAAGTCCTGGATTATATATTGACCATATGAAATCATAAGTTCTATATTTTACAGAAACTTAGTCATACATAAATTAATAATCAATGCAAACATTACTCTTAGATTAGATTTAAAAGTAAACAGACAAATAAAAAATATCATTAAAAAAATCTTCATTCTACTTTATTGAAACAATGATGATGAGAAAATGTCCATGATACTATTCATGTATTTGTGACGATTACCACTTTCCACTAAATGGACAGTCAGCTTATTTAGCATTCTAAATATAATAAAAGTATATTATGTATTTTTTTATGTGACCAACCTGTAACTCCTCATTCCTCAACTTGACCAGAGCGAGATCCCGCTCGAGTGCATCTGCCCGCGCTCTTTGGTCGTCTCTTTGTAGTTCTACCTTATCTAATTCGTCCTTGAGTGCATCTAGTTGCGCTCGCATGTTACTATAGCGCAATGTACCCGCGTGCGCCGGGCCTAACGATCCCCCCGCGTCGTCTAACTCCGCCTCCGCTTCCGCATCCGCGCCCGCGCCCTCTGCCGCCCGTGTCGCTGTCAACCGCGCGACTTCGCTCAGCAGTGTCATCTTCTCTTCTTGTAATATTTTCACCTGGTAACAATCGGTGGATTACACTTATTCATATGTGTTTTCAAAATTACTATTTACAGGTGCTATATTTCAATAAAGTTATTTCTATTTTATTAAATTTATTTAAGTGTATTTAATAGAATATAAACACATGGAAAAAAAATAAAATGTGTTTATAGTTTTCACCGATGAGAAATTGGCGAGGACTAAGAAAAGGAGTAACTGATTGACGGCAGTCGGACTGATTAAACTACATCCATGATTGCTACCTATAGAAATATTAACTTTAACTCTTAGATCTACTAAAACAGGGGTGGCCAACCGGTCGATCGCGATCGACTGTCGATCGTCCAGTCGATCGTGGCAAAGCAAAAAATATAATATTTTATTAATCTAGCAGAAGATGCTCAGACGCAATGCTCACATTAATATAAATAAGTAGTAACTGAGAATAATTTTCAATTATATATTGTGCTTTTTAATAAAATAAAAAATACTTCAATACTACATAACTGTGTACTGAACTATACTGTTTCATTTGAGATTTCAAGAAGTATGTAATTGGTAGATCGCATTGTGTTTCAGTAGTAAACAGTAGACCTTAGGTTTAGTCAAGTTGGTCAACCCTGTACTAAGACAATATATATTACGTATCTCTTCATTAACTAAACACAAATAGTTTGTAGAATGCATACCAAACAGATTATAGATTCGCATATATGAAGTTGCGGCAAAGAGCATAAATTCATAAAATAAATTAATAAACAAACATATCGTTTATACAAACTGGCGACTCAATACAATCAACGTGTTACCATCATTTACCATTATAGACATTACAGACTATACTTTGTTTCTAGGACATAATTAAAGATTGTGTCCCACAAAGAAAACCGACTTCAATTTTGAGAAAACCAGTTATTCAGATCTAAAATCTACTAAACCGATTTTGATGAAATTTCTAAGGGATCAATCTGTATGTAAGGAAATCCTTTCAAATAAAAAAGCATCTTCCAAATCGGTTTAGGATTGAGTATCTCCTTCTTTTTAAAGTCGATTGAAAAGTACTATCTCTTATATAGTAAACTGCACTCTCAGTCTTATTGGATAGTCCGAGAAGAAAGTTAATTCGTCTCCGCAAGTTATCAGGTGGATAATATTTATTCGGGAAATTTTATAAAATAAAACCACGTATTAATCCTGTTCCTTCCTTACGGAGCCATATTTAATTATACTTTTTTACTGAAGTTTTAAGTTTTTTTTTTTTTTTACAATAGTAATGTAAAGGAATAAAATCTATGTTTCGGATCGAAACATTTATCATAATATTGTTTTATAAACATCTACAATACAAAACACAAAAACACAATATAAATGGCGCACAGAATAGAAACAAAGCAGTTCTAATCGTATAAACACTAGTGCAAATAAAACATAACTTACGAAAGTGGCTACCGTTACGGCTGCTTAGAGATATAACAAAAAATAACGCTCGTATTAACTATATTAAACTATTATTCAAGTTATCAATCACGTTAGTACCGTTTTTTTTTTTCAAGGTAGCCGATTTGCATTACGAAAACTATTGCACAAGAACGCAATGTACGCATGTTAAAAATATTATTATTATAAAACATAAAGATAACATACACTTCATGGAATATTACGAATAACTTTTTGATTCCTACTAATATTATAAATGTGAAAGTGAGTTTGTTTGTTACCCCTTAGCTTTAATTTAATTAAATATACACGTATATAAATACGTATGAGATTGAGGTCACTTTTTATCCCATTTTTGTAAAGATATCCCAGTCATGCGGACAAAATCGCTAGTAAAAACTAGTGATATATAATTTCGCCTCACTGGTTTATTGGTAAGATTACGACTTGAGATTCGAGAGATTTAAAAAAAATAGTCGGCCATTTTTTATCGTTTTAACACTCTATTAATAATTCCATGAATATTCACACATGTACAAGTACATACGTGATTATTATTGATGTACTTGTATTTTTAAATACTATCATCTAATAAAAATATAAAAGCGGTTATAAGAAAGAAAAAAAAGCGACTAGATAGTCAAGGATTTATTTATTTTAATATAAACTAGCTAACCCCACAGACTTTGTTCTGAAAAAATTATGTAGTTTGTATGAGAAAAAGACAAATATACTCTTTACCTTTTTGCGGGCAATTTTTCCTATTTTTCTTTTCGCAAAAACTAAGTCGGACTTGTACGATATTTGAAAAAAAAAAATACCAAATGGTTCCCATCATTCTCGTGATTTGCGCTTAGAAACACATTTAGCGACTCATTTTAATTTATATACAAGTATATATAGATAATAAATGTAATCGGAAAATAAACTACTGATATCTGACATATCAGTCCAAAACACTAGCCTTAGACTTTTGCATCAAGTTCCCATAAAGAGGACACAAAGAAACATTGAAAACTTATTTTCATATCAATCCAAAACCTTTGGAACAAACTGGAAAAATGTTCGGTTTCCTAAAATCTATCTATAAGTTAATGTATAAATTGATCTAAAAATAAACGCTACAAAAATAAATAAAACTTCAACTTTCAAAAATATATACATATATACAAAACACAGTAGCAAACGGAAACTATCTACATTAAATTACGCCAAACACATGTTTTACAACATTACCTTTGTATCAAGTTCATGGCATCTTTGCGCGAGGACTTCTTTCATATCAGCATCAGTCTGGTCCCCCGTCGCGTCCAAGGGCAGACTGCCACGATTCACACCCAATGTCAATGTCTCCAATTCCTTTAAAGCAATCAAACATTAGTGCCACTTAACTTTCACCTCACGATGCAATATATAATAAACTTGTCACCAGCACTACACAAAATTCAAACTTTAACTGACACAGTACACAACAATATTGTCATTATTCGTGATGGAAGGACATTAAAACAACCGTATCTAAAACATTTGGTTTCTTTAAAACAGCAAGTGACTAGCATGTAACTTTGAAAGTGATGTTGAGTAAGAATGAATGGCTAACACATTTTTGCAACGATGTATATTATATTGTAATGGCGCGCCCATATATGTAACTCAACTATTCTGAATGCATGAAAACGCTGTCGACTTGTATAAATTATATGTTACATAACTAATTAGTGACGGATGGGCGACAGGCTAATTTTCATTTAAAACGATGCATACATGCATCACGCTCGTGCCAAGCTCTGGAATCATCTTAGATATTAATCTCGAATTTATTAAACAACCAGTCCATTAAAACAAGATAACTACTTTTAATTAATTGTTAGTTCGCGAATACAGAACATAAAATGAATGTACCTATTACAGGTTCATAAAACAAGGAATAATATCCACATACTCGTACCAGTTTGGGAACAAGGAATAATATTTCCACCTGCGATTACAATAAGAGAACGTAGTAGGAGTGAAAGGAAAAAAGATCGTTTCTTCTTAAGTAAGAATAAAGGGCTTTTACACTAAATTTCGTCCGCTCATTTCCTAAGGACAATGTACAGAAGATAAGAATACACCACAGCCTACTGATTTACTATCCTAACATAAAAAACCAAAAGGTCGTAAGTTCGAATCTGTCTCACCAAAATTTTTGACACGATTGATCTTTGCCAACAATTGAATTTAAAGTGTGACTCGATCGAAAACATTAAAAATTAATTAAATATGTTGATTGATTTAACAATATCTAGTGGTAAACTTTCAACATCACATGTTGAAAGTTTACAATATCCTGTATGAACTAGGAATAAACTTCTAAATACTAATAAATCTTGTTTTTATAACAATTAATTTACGAGTATAATACCTTATATTTCCAAAATAGTTTTCACTTTCTAAAGCAAGACAAAAGCATTCAGCAATAATATACAGAATCCACGATGTGTATCACTGACCTGTATAGCTTGCATAATAGACCGTTGACATGACACCTCCATTTCCATTATACGTGTAATATACTCCTCTTTCTTATTGCAGTTAACAGCACAACCTGTTCAAACATAATTTACACCACATGTGGTGAATAACAATGACATACAATTATAACAAATACGTATTAATCGTTACGCTGAATTAAATGCAATCTTTAGCAGAGACTTTGTGCAAACAAAATTAATAAATTATTTATACTATTTTGTACACACTAGTAATTAAAAAAAGTATAAAAAGTATTAGTAAAGAAATATGATAGTGGAAGGCAAATGTACAAAGACGAGGTTAAGAAGAGTTCTAGCAAAACCGACGTAGAAAACGGCATCAATGTAAGCAGGTAGAATGGTGAACAATACTGTTACAATTTATAAAAACAAAAAGAACTAGACAAACTTAAGTTTATACATAATAAATTATATCATATTTTTTGTATATATACACACACACACACACACACACACACACATATATATATATATATATATATATATATATATATATATATATATATATATATATATATATATACCATATATAAATAAATATGTTCATAAGGATAGAAGATTTATCGTTATTATTTAACAACATATATTATTTGCATATACACTGGATACAGATTTTTCCTGGTTTATGTAAGTGTATGGTGTGTATGTACTGGTTTATATAAGTGGTTTATGTGTGTAGAGTCTGGTTTAGTCTGATAAGGGACAATGATTACCTATTCAAATAGATACTTTATATGCAATATTTAAACAAAAACAATTGTTAATATTTATTTATAAAAAAATCTTATTTACTTATTTTATATGAACAAATTTGTTTTACTATTGAAAAGTCCCACGATTGATCACGATCTCATCTGATGGAAAGTGATGAAGTAAACCACATGGTTTAAGATGCGGCACGCTCGCGAGCGGATAATTATAGATATGTATTTAGCATTTGACTACATTATATACACATATAACAATCATTACAGTTGTTTCACGATGGGATCAAGTATTGAGACTTTTTTCTGGTTTTCATAATCCTAGATCACTACCCAATACACTAAATTGCTTCTTAGATTAAAGGTTTTTTACAAATAGACAGTGTATTTATTTATCCTGAACAATCAATCTAACTTAATCCTTCCCTCCGCCCTGTTAAGTTCGGTAATCTCACCTATTAGTCCACTGTTAGGTTTTGAGTAAGATATCTTGTTATCTCTTATCTTTTCTACCTAGTGAGATAGGAGAGAAAGGGGGTAGCGTTCCATTGAATTACAATAGCATAGCACATTTCTTATAATTAGAAAAAAAAAACTAAACATGTAACAGTATAAAAATGCCATAATCAAGTATAAATGATTATCTCTGATCTTAATGTTTAGATTCCAAGACAAAATAAGATAACAAAAATAATATAATAATATATAGATGAACAAAATTAGGACATAATGGTCATGCCCTGAATCTTGTTCATCTATATACACATAGTTAAAAAACTACATTGCAGATAATTATATCGTTATATATTTCATGGAAACAACATTTGAACAGAATTTAATAAAATAATGCACAGTACAAAAATAATGCAATTTTTTTTTAATATATTAACACAAATATACAGCAGTTATAAAGATATAAGTACATTAAAGTGTAAAAGAATTATGAATACAATATACATACATACTTTGTAGCAAAACATAAATACCAGTAAGAAATAAAGATAAAAACAATACAGAGACATCAGTTTCAATGAACCACTCAAAAATTATCTAAACCAATATTATAAAATGAAAAGATTTGATTTTTTGTAGCCGATTTCAAAACTAATTTATTTTTACAGCTACATTGGCAAGGAATAACATGGACCGCTTATTTTTTTTTACAATTTACTAATAATATCTTTCTATCAATCTACATATGCAAAACTGGAATGGATTACTAGTACAACAAATATCCATTTGAGAGTATACTATGTAAGTCATTTAACAATATTTTATAATTATAGTTTTTACAAGAGTTGTTAACTCGTCTAGTATATACACTCTAAAATAAACCATCAAGTAATTTATCAATTTTTATTTCATTCAATATCTCATCAACTACATATGGATACATTTCGCCATTACTGAAGATTTTAATTTCATCATCATCATCGCCTTTCTATCATCCACTATATTAAACAGAGGTCTCAAACATGACAAAGATTTGTGAACAGTTGACTTTGTAATTCATCTGTAACATTTCTACAGTCATCACTCCATCTTGTATTCTTATGCATATATTATATGCATATGCGTATGTATGCATATATTTATACATGATATATACATATGCATATGTATATATCTTGAATAAATAAATTTTGTAGGCCAGATTCTTGTGAAAAATGTGAACAATATTTAAATATTATATACCATACTTTATACCACTTTTCAAACAAAATAAAGCTATTTATATTTTGTATTTTTTTGTATTTTGTAAATGATTTTCCCTCACTAATTATTAGTAATTTGAGTTATATAGTCAGCCAATCATGACTGCAACTTTAATATCTTGGACTATATTGGTCACTTTAATATGTTTGGTTATCCTCATTTGAGTACTTTAAATTGCATACAATTTAAGGACTAATACAAATATATGAGTTATATACTTACTTAAAACAAGTTGTAATAGTCTGCCCAAATCTGACTGATCTGAGGTTTCTGCTATATTTACCACATCTGGTCTTGGAAATTCATGAAGACTTAAATTTAAAATATCTTGGTGATAATCTGAAATACAAATCTGATTAGTAATAGTATCATTAACTTCTTTTGCAATAATTACTAAACACATAGATATATTCAGTTATATTTTTAATAGATGCTGTATGTAGGATACCTACAAAATTTTATTACTATCTACATCTAGTATCTATAATCTATTACAATGAATCTTAGGCATTCAGTATTAGATTTTAAGGATTGTATGACAAAGTTATATATCAACATATATTATGAGCTGCCACCATCATTATATTACTATTAACTTAGATTATATAGAGTATAAAATGTTAAAAAATAGGTCATCAATTAGTTAACTGACTAAATTTTGACACATATTTTTGTAATAAAACACTTTCTCAGTATTGAAATTAATTATATTAAAAATTCCTAGACCATCTTCATTTTTTATATTTGAATTGGGAACTGTTTCTTCAGATATTATATAAATGTCTATATATAAATTTGTATATATTAATTGTTTTTGCTTAAATAATTTTCATGTATTAATTAAAATGGTGGCCATTTTAATACTTGGATATAAGTCAAAGTAATCAATAAAGATAATTATGATGATGATGATGATCATTATGCACTATTTATCTTGTTGTTTCAAATATATCCTTAAAGATTTTGTATTGTTTTTATTTTTCAACATGACCTTAAAATATAATTTCAACCATATAATAATTCTTTCCAGTGTACTTATACTATTCTGCTTTTTCAGTACATTATTTGTGGCATACCAACTACTCCTTCTAATATTTTCTTCAGGTTGCTAACTTTCAATCTCCAGTTGTGCCCTACATCTGTCTTAATTTTAGAGTTCCAAGCAGAAGTGAAATATTCAGGAGCTATCTGTGTGAGTGCTTCTGCTATCGCAACCCCATCTGATAATTCTGAAATACAAAATTGATATTTTTTAAGTATTAACCTATTATTTATGCGCTCTTTTTAATCGGATCCATAATTTGCAACTAAATATTTCATGAAAAACATAGTTCACTGTCAATATTTAATAGTTTTTTTTATTAAATTAAACATTTAGCATAGAATCAGCAAAGTTCGAAATTATGCATACCAGTTTACAAATTACAGTTGTAAAGATTGAGAATCACTACAATTATAGAGATCAATTGTAATAACAAGGCCAATAATTTATTGCAATAGTGTTGAAGAAATAGACACAGAAGCGAGTCTATATAGTAATAATAGTTTGCTACGCCATAACCGTTCCATATTGAGTAACACAATAGCGAAATAAATTAAATGATGTCTCAATCAAATAAGAACAAGAATAAAATTGTGTGACGAAATTATCTACACTAATGATCGACGTCTGATGAAGTTAAGATAATGAAACTTTGTTGGGATATAAAACTCACAAAGAATTAATAGCAAATAATACAATTAAAGAAATTACCTGCTGAATTTCCATGTTTAGCAATAAGATTTAGGGTTCGCAGCCACTTGATAAGATTGTCACACAAAACAACACCATTCCCTTCCATTCTGAGAGAGTTTTCTGGTTCAGTATATGACCTTAATTAGAATGAACAGTTTAATGACTATTATTTATCAATATTCATTTTAAATAAGACGGAAATAAACAAAATCACAAGAAAGGAGAAAAACTTTTTATGTTCTGTAGAGTGTGACGTCTGCTGGTACATTTACAAAGAGCATTTGACATATGTCAAATATTAACCGCAACAGTCTTTATAAATGTTCATACATAGAAGCAGAAAGAGAACTAGTTATGTTTATATTATCTATGGAATAGTTAGCTTACTTATTCTTTATATTTTAAAGGTGGATTAAAAACAATTTTGTGTATTAATAAGGACTCTCACTAAATACAACACTGCAAACTAAATAAGCACAAGACCCAACAAAACTTTATATCTTGAAGAGATAAAAAACATTTCTACTAAATTTCCAGTCAACTTTAAAAAAACACAGTAGATCAAACAAGTCCAAGTATTATAGAATTTTCTCTCTGAAAAAGCCCAATAAACTCAATGAAATTAAGGATAGAATTATATAATAAAATATCAATGACATGCATAATTTATTATAATATTAATACAAGAACACTATAAATTAATTTCAAAACTAAGTACAGAAATAAGTATGAAATATTTATTTTTGTGGTTCTAAATTGCAGTCACTGAATAAATTATTGATGATGGCCTATAATTTGCAGAGCAGTGCTATTCTTAATATTTGTTATAAACAGATAGATCGCACAGTTATAAATGGAAAATAGGTAGATAGGTAAGTAGCCTGTTTCAATATAATTTAATGAAAATGTAAACAAACAGTAAAATTAATAAATCAACCACAAATGAGACTTAGACCGTAGATTGTTTAATTTATTAAGATTTTAGCAAAAATACGTCAACCTCAACCAGTGTTATCAAAACAGTGTGTTGGTATTTAATTCATATAAAAAATAATAGGTTGTTCCTTTTTGTTACTAATTTAATTCCCTTATACTCTTTATTCAGAAATTCTATCAATTTCAACATAACTAACATTTTCATTAAGTCGTATTAAAACGGATTATAGCTATTAGCATAATTTATATTTATTTTACTTCACTGCAGTAGCAAACATGCATACGGCCCACCTGATGATAAACGATTACTGTGACCTATGAACGCCTGCAATACAAAAGCAACACGCGCGCGTTGCCGTCCCCGAAGAAACCTCTTTACCCCAGGGGGAAAGGGATTGTTAGTAATGGAATCTAAGATTCCCATTGTTAGCAATATACCCAACCAGGTCGACCTCCTCGTGGTTCCCCCGGAAACTATCATGGTTAATTCCTGATGAATTCAACATGATGGGATAACTGACCTGTTTTCATTCTCATCGATCGCCCTTCACTGGTGCTCTGCCGCCGCTTAACGCTATACTACTTTATATTATTAATTTCTAACTTTATATTATTAGTTCTGTAAATTATTGACAGTATTGATAAGTAAATATATTTTCGGAAAGCACAGAGTGGAACCATCTCATTTTCGTATCATAATCATACCAGCCATTAACTATCCCCTGCTGAGTATAAGTTACCCCTTTGGGGGGAGGGGGGAGTTGGCAATATTTGCCACGCTTTTTGTTAGGCTTTGGTGACATTTTGAGAAGGATGCTACTGCCCATTAGTTTCCTTAATCGCCTTTTATGATACCCGCAGGACACGATTTTTTTCAGTTTTACATGCAGCAAAATATGTGCTTATACAATCCAACAAATCAATACTTATTAATATATAATAGTAAAAAAACTTTGATTATACTTTAAACTGTATTTATTTTATTAAATTTAAAAGGTAAGTCACAGCCCATATATTTATCTTCATTTACAGCTTGCAATATGACTCGATTCCACAAATGATCTTTAGAGAGAACATGAGGATCACAGAATAGAAGAACAGCTATTTGAGCTCTAGTCAGTGAGACATTAACTCGTTTTGGGTTTTTTATAAAGCCTAAAGTATGTTTTATATCCTCTGATATATATGAAGCAGATGATCGAACAGTTGAAATAAGTATGATAGGTCTTTCTTGCCCTTGAAATTCTTCAACTGTACCAATTTTTGGTTGCTGCACTCCCATTGCTTCAAATAGATGTCGTAAATGTTTTATCTGAAATATTTCAAAAATTAAGTTATAGATAAAATCATGCAAATGAACATGACAGTCACAAGAAATTAAAACTGATTTTGAAAGTTAAAATAACCAATTGTAAAAAAATGACCCATTGCCCGTTTTGAAAAACAGATAGGTATTTTTCGTAATATCATCATCATTACAGCATTTTACTGTCTCCCTCTTGGGGGTGTTCAGCCATTAGTTACCATGCTTGGCAGGCAGGTTAACAACCGCAGTAAGGGTTTGAAGATGTTTTCAAAGGGACGCACATATTGACTATTTCTGACCGCCATATTTAAATACTCATAGTATTATATTACAATATGCAATCTTTCACAATTGAACCAAATAAAATCTTAAATAAAATCCATCATACCCAGTAGGTTATATATATATATATATATATATATTTTTTTTTTTTTTAATGGATGATAATGGAATGGTAACCTCACCCGCTTTATCGGTATACACCGGCGGGGCACCAGTGAAGAATGATAGGTGAGCATGAAGTAGGTCAGTTAGCCCATCGTGACGAATTCAACAATAATTGTTCACGATGGTTTCCAGGGGAACCACGTGGAGGTCGACCTAATAAGGTATATTGCTAGCAATGGGGCTGTCAAACTCCATTGCTAACAATCCTTTTCCCCCTAGTAGGTTATATATTATATCATGCATAAATTTACTTGAAAAACATTACCATATTTTCAAATTAATATGAATTACCTGTGCTATATAAGGAGTTATTATTCCAATTTCATCTGGAACAACTTTATTTTTATACAATTTGCAGGTTATCAAGGCCACCATTGAAGCTTCATGTGGATTATACCAGGAAGGGCTGTCTGCCGCCCTAAGGTTCTCTCCCCTAATGCCATATACATAAATGCCACCAGATTTGTCATTTGATGTATCAAATATTTCAGAAGTGACATTTAAAATTTTGGTAATCCACTGCTGATTTCGCTCTATTCTTGGAACTAGGGACGCATCATAAAACATTTCACTTGGTAAAGTCAACACTTCTTTTAATGACCTATAATTGTCATTTAACTTTGTAACTAGTCTATAATCAAATCCATTTTCATATGCATCATAATCTTTTTGGTATGGGAATGTTTCAAGTATCCTTGACAAATAAGATTCATCCATATTAAATTCCTGGCAATATTTGGACAATATTACTGGTCCTAGTTGCATTGGATCACCAGCTAATATAATCTGTCCACTGTCTTTGTCAATGAATGTCATAGGTATCATTATTTCTGGTTCTGTTGCTTGACCAGCTTCATCAATTATTATGTGAGTAAAGTGACCTTTAGGCAACCCCATTTGAGCTAATGTTCCAAGACAACAACATGTACCAATTGTTACTCTATGTCGTCCAATATAAGATGTTGAACAATTGATATTTACACCATCTTTGACAATATGTTTGGACTTTGCAGTATTTTCTCTGGCTATGTCTAGAGTCGCACAATAAGGTTTGATTGAATCAGGAATGTTATCTGAGTCCAGCAAATAATTGGCAATTAGACGTATAATAGAATTTGGTAAGACATTTTTGTATTCCACAAGTCGTTCTGTGATTAAATTTGCGGCACTATTTGATGGAGTTGCAACTAAAATTCTACTATCTGGTAAAAGAGTTAATATTTGCAAAATAGTTTCTATGACAGTTATAGTTTTGCCTGTACCTGGAGGTCCATATATGCAATAAGGTAATGGTCGACACTCACCAAGTAAAATATTTGTCACAGCTGCTTTTTGTCTAACATTTAAATTTTCATTAAACCAATTCATGGTTTTAATTTTATCCAGTGGCAACTGATGTGAATGAGGCAAAACACGACTTGGAAACAAGATATCTGGTCCTAAATTAGATATGGCCAGATTAATAGCTTGATGGGACCTTCTAAATACTGATCTATTTAAATGAAATTCAACTGACACATCACTGCCAGAGTAAGTTTCATGGAATTGTTGGTGGAATTTCATTAGAATCATATCATTTTTTACTAAATGAATATAGCCCTCAAACTGTGGAGCACTATCATTCCAAATATCCTTTACAATAACTCTATCTCCTTTCACAAGAGATGGTCTTCTCTCAGCTAACCCTTTTATTTCAAGGCTAAGATATTCCTGACTCTGTATTAAGAATGCTTTTGGCATATCATAAGCTCTCATATTGATATTTGCTTGTACCTCCTCCATGTATAACAAAGTATGCCATTTGTCAATATAGTTATTAATATTTAGTTCTTGGGACAAACAAGGAAAAAAGTCTGACTCGATCCTATTTAGGATTGTTTTGTAATCTGAACTGTATATGGTTTGGTCTGAATCACCTAATACTGCACACCATACCTTGTCTGGAATAGGAAAATTTCCGACTCTCACAGGAACAAAAGCAGGAGGCTTCACTGGCCTCACACCAGGTATAAATGATTCATTACTTTTCTTTCTCATTTCTTTCATTATAGCTAATCTATCATTCCCTGGTTTGAAATTTGTATATGAGATACCATTTAAAGTAGATGAAACATTATTATCAACAATGTTAATTTCTATAAATCTTTTCACTTGGAATCCTCTAAATAACATAACAAGGCATTCATTTGTTTTCCCCAAAAACTTTGGATTGCAAATGACTGTTAGTTTAAATGTTTGTCCTGGGTAAACATTCTCTGGCCTACTCAAGTAAGGCTTAATATTGACCTGAGAATCTCGTTTTTTAGAAAGAATTATCCATTTATTAAAAGTATATGTTTCATTACTATTATTTGTTATATTTAAAATGATTGAGGCTGTCTCATGAAAGCTAACTTTGTCAAATTGCAGAGGATAAGTAATATCAAGATTTTTTTCTTTTTCCAAGTTCAAATTCACATCATTATCAGTTTTCAATACAACAGGATCATTTACGTTATTGTCAAGAATGGCCATTTTAATGGCCCTCCAGCTACAAAGCCCTTGATTACTTTCAATTGCTTCCACCATGACCTAAAATCAAAGTATAAAGTATGTACAAAGTACTTGATTATTATAACCCACAAAAACAGCAGCAGCTTATCATTAGTTATTATGTACCTTGTATCCAACCTTTGGCTCCTCTCCATTTTGTAAACAATGTCTGTTGAAATAAATCTGTCTGTCACATGTTCCAGAATCATCAGACCACTGGGTGATAGTTGCACTTTTTACTTTAGTCCTCAATGGCCTGAATGATATAACTTCTAATACCTGAAATATAAGATTCATTTTCAATTAGCTGATTTTCTTATCATGATTAAAATTATGCATTGTATCTGAAGTTGGAACAAATAATATATACACTTTTGCAAAATTAATAGATATTAATGAGACGTTATTGTTATCGTCTCATTCCTACCCCAATATATTTTAATAAAATTTTGTAAATAATTTATAATGAAAAAGTTGGAAAATATAAACTTAAAAATATGTTGAGAGAATGTTCTACGGTTGAAGATTAAAATGGAGCATTCTATTTTTAATAGTTTCCGACCGAACTTTCGGTTTCGGTTTCGGCTAGTTTCGATCAGAAATTCTACTTCCAGTCTTAGTTTCGATTTCGGGCAAAAATTGGCCGAATCTTTCAGCCGAGCCGAAACTATGTGTTTGTGTTGTGTGTGTGTCTAACTGAAAGTTTTTTAACTTTCAAGAGTAAGTCATAATTTTAACATCTTTTTACATATAAATATATATGACATATTTGTTACATACTTTAATTAGTGTTTATTATTACCCTTTAACTATCTGTGTAAATAATAGTGTAAAATATACACTAGATTTCAGTATAGAAGAGAAATTTTAAATATGTTTCACCAAGGGCGAAAGTTCAGTTTCGATTTCGGCTGTAAAACCTGTTTCGGTCGGACACTAATTTTTAAATCAATTACGTAATTTAAATATCTTTTATTTAAAATAACCACTAAAATAATAAAATATATAGGCATTTGGAAACCCATTTGCGGCTCCAAAGACGTATTTCGTGCTCAAATACAAAAAAAAAGACATATTTATTACAAGGTTAATTTTACTTTCATCAATTTCCAATAAAGATACTATGGCGTCATATCTATATTTATGCGTATAGTACAGTAAGGAAATTGTTTGTTTACTAAGAAGTTTAATAATTGTTAATTTAGCACTGCACATACTAGGTTAATGTGTCGCCTCACCATTTTTATCTTAAATTCCTTTATTTGTATTTAGTATATAACATCATTTTTACCTGTTAATATTGCTAATTTCAGGACAGTCAAAAATCAGTTACAAGCCAGTTGCTATATTGTTTCTATCAACCTCGTCATCTTAATTCAACCCATAACAGACACTATTTATAAATTAATATATAAATATTAATTTATAAATAGTGTCTGTTATATATATAAATAAATTGTTTTTTTTTTGTTATTGACAACCCCACACTAATTACCAATTTTAATAGCTGACTAAAACTACAACTGAATTTCAATTCCATTTGTATATTTTTAAATTTTTGTTTAGTTAAATCTGATTACATATTTAGGTATGTCTCCAATAGCTTGATTAGTTTAAAGACTATTCTTAACATTTTAAATGGTTGAAAAAAGACAAACATGGACTCAAATTATATCAAAGAAACATTCTTACCTGTGCCACAGATATATCAGAGGGTTTATCTTCATCCCATTGCACTGTACATTTCATTTCCAACCAATCTCCTTTTATAGGAATCATAGTCCCTTCTACATTGTCCAAACTAAATTTCAAATCATTATCCTTGATATATACAAAACGATCTTGCCTATAGTCCACTTCCCCTACCAAAATGTGTTCTATAACTTTAAAACTGTTTTCTTCAACTTCATTATCATCAGTCCAAGATACACCCATGTTCTCCAGAATTCTTACAACAACTATAGCATCATTAGAATCTTTATAACACAAGTAAAGGATTTTGTCATTAACATTCAAGTTCAAAGTGCAATTTACTAGTTCGTAGTAAAGCATTCCATCAATAAGCACATAGTTATTTTCACCTATGTATGTAATGATCCCTGCAAAATATAATTTGTCTGAATTTAATGTTCTTATATAAATATCAGTAGCATTAGGAAATTCAAACTAATATTACATCTAAGCTAATATTATAAAAGAAAGAATTGGTTCTTTTTATTGCCACTCAAAAAATCATAAATTTTAAAACACCTACAGAAAGATACATTTTTAGTGAGTAACATGGGCTCTATTTTATATTCCCTTCACAGTTTTGCACCAATAGATCTATGCAAAACTAGGGTAGGTTGCTAGTATTAAATATAATAATTTTAGTACATAAAATAATTATAACTGAAATAAATACAAACTAAATAAAACTTTATCTAGATATTTCGATCCATGTCCTTTGGATAATGTTACCCAGAAAAAAATTGTTTAAAAGAGAAATTGTAACATATATTTTTAAGTTTTAAGACAAATGGTCATGAAATAAATTCAAATTTAACTACTGAAACATTATTTGATACATTTGATAAAATATAAAGCCAAAAAATGTCAATAAATTTTACTATTTATTTTCAGTTTATCACAATAATAAGTTATAAAATCTTCTCGACTTGAAATAAGTAATCTGAAATTGGAGCTAGTTATGCAGAAAAAATTCCTTATGGCTTTTTCTGCAAATTTCGCTCCAATTATAGCCATGACAATATATTTTTTATTCCCATACCTGTTCTTTGAAAACAAACAGCATTTCGGGGTATCTCTTGTTCAGTTACCTTAATTTCACTTCGACTATTTTCATATTGTATTTCTAAATTCAAAAGTTCTTCAGCTAAAAAATCTTCTTTTTTAGTATCATCTTCCTCAGAATTATTATTGAAGAAAAATTTGAAAAATGATAACAAATATGAAATCATATTGAATTTTATTGTACAAATCCCTTATCAAATTCAAATTGCCATTCTGTTGATTTTAAGTAGTCAAGCTCTTTCCTTAATGATTGAATTCTCTTTTGATGAATTTCTTTCTGTGCAATCTTCATAGACTGTTCAATGCTATGTCCTAACTCCACATGATTAAGAGATTGGTCAAAGTTTTGAATTCTACTTTGATTTGTACCCTGCAATTATGGAAAAAAGTAAAATTAAAAATTGTCAAATATTGTTATAAAGATTGACAGAACAGCATTACTAATAGTATTATTGAAATTATATAGTGCAGCAGTGGATTGACATTAATAAATAAGTCACCAACATGGCATTTTTATGTAACTGAAAATTATTTTGCAAGTGTATTACCAAAGACTACTTACTATAGTTTGTCTGTTCAAAAAACTTTTATATGAAAAAACAAAAGTCAATAATATTGATCAATTAAAATTCTAACGCCTGGAAGAAATTCCTCCAGACATAAGTAGTAAATTACGAACTACATAAGTTAGAAATTCAGTAATTGATACAATAATTAGCGAAAATGAACTGTAAGGAACAAATTGTGAATAATTTAAAGAAATATAGTTTATGTTCATACCTGTGGTGTTTCTGGCTCAGATGCAGACTGCGAGATACTGCTCGAAGTAGACATTACCTCTTAAGATTGTTATTGTTTATATTGAAAAAATATGCTTCGCAATATTTAGCAAATAATCAACGTAAAAAGTGTAATTTCATTTCAATTGTTTTCTGTAATAACTGTTTTATAACATTCAATTGAGGTTAAAACACATAAGTATTAAGATAAAAATGCTGAAAGAAAAATGCAAATATTATATGCATTTTATATAGAACACAAACTAATTGAAAGTAAACAGATAATACATATGTATGGTGTTGTTATACCCTATGCTGAAATTTATCTAGAATATAAAAAAAAAAGCAAACAACGACTTCAGTAATCCATACGTATACTAATTATTTAACTGATCACTGAGCAATTTATTCAAATTATACAATAAAATACACAATAAAAATAAAAATATTTACTTTATTTTTATTTTTATTGTGTTTCAATATTAATTATATAATTTTCATTTCATTTCTTTTTTGAAGTTCCATTGATAGATATTAAAGTGAAACTCTTTCTTTGACTTACTTAATGTTCCATTTTTTTTTTTAAACTTATGTTAGGTTTTTAGTACAACGTCTATATACATATATAATGGGAAATTAACAGGTTCATTAATTTCCCATTATATATGTAAAGGACATCACATATTTGTTCTTATATTATTTAAGATATATCCCACTTATCACTATCACCTTAATGGTATATCTGAAAAAAATTTGGAACAGCATTAAGATAAATTGGAGCTAGTTATAAATAAAACTGGCAGGCGGCGATAAGTACAAACAGAGTTATAAGCATTTTTCTGTCTATTTTTGCACATTGTTTATTTATTAATCTATGCGGTTTCATAAATTTATTCATAAAGCGGTTTATTGCCCACAGAAATCTGTTGTCATACTACATTCGTCGCAAGGTTGTCACATTTACTTTTAACAGATTTCAAAAGAAGATTATTCTAATTTGACTATTTAATATCACATTTTTATATTAATATCATTTACGAAAAATTTGAGCGAATGTAACTTTTGAACTAAAATTTAAATCCGATTTAATGCAACTCGACTCAACGGAATTATTAAGCATTGAGCATTTGACATATTGGTTTGCGAATATTCACTGATTTTCCTAATTCGCGGCTTTTATGTAGCCCCACTCTTTCCTCCCTCATATAAATATCGACCAGCGGATAGCGACGCGCGACGTCAATATTGCGGTGAAATCCGTACAGTGCGCATTATAATTACAAACATTGTTAATGCAGATTATCAGCAATCTATTGCTAGCAATATACCCTGTCAGGTCGACCTCCATGTGCCCCCCCTGGAAACTGGAATTTCAGATGTATTCATCACGATGGGCTAACTAACTTGCTTTTTCATTAAACACCTATCATCCCTCATTGATGCCCCGGTAAAGATACTGTTAGCGCAGACGGGGTTACAATTCCATTATCATTCATTAAAAAAAGCATGTACTTAATTTTTATAATATATGCTCACCCATTATTAGTTTTAATAACGTTATTGTGAAATAATAATTCCTAAAGTCTAAAATGAGATTTTTTCATATACTAATTTTTGACCCAAATATATTTTATTGGCAACTCTACCAATTTCTTATTTTGACGTTTGAGATTACTAACGGAATCTGTGGGTTTTTGGTTTGACTACTACTTTACGAAAAATATTAAAATATGCTTTTCTCTTTGTTACATTCTATTTTATATAATTTTTTAACCTACGATTATTACCTTCTTTAGACATAGTCTCTCTACTCTGTGATTACCTTGTGGATATTGTTTATCAATAAGCTACGAATGTTATCTGCTTATTCTAGATCCAGTTTATAAATTAAATATTGAATACTTGAATTCTAAGTCAATTTGTTTCTGGTTTCCTGTTTCTTCGTCTATGTGGTATGCAGGGAGTAACATAATTTTATATAAAATTATACAATACGTTTTAACGTAGGAAGTCGAAGATGTCATCAAATAAGTATATTTATAAAGCTACCAGAAGTAATGACGACGACGCAGAAACTTTAGTATCACCATGCTTTCACGTAGGTCCTGAAGTCCAGCTGAAGGAGGTTCCAACAACAGGCGAAGAATATTTATTAAAAGTTATAAAAGAACGCCAGAATTATTCTACTATCACTAAATGTAATAAAGATTATTCAAAATTTTCTAAAAATCAATCTTGTTTTATTGAAGAGGTATGTTTATGATTTCAATCCATAAATACACACTAAACAATTTTTTTTTTTGTATTCAGAATGTATTAATATGTTACAGACGAAACCTGCAAAAGCACCTGACAAATTAAAACCAACCATAGAATGGCAAAACATTCAAGTGGCAGACTTTTCTGATGTTCGAATGTACCTATCTCGTATACAAACAAAGAAAACTTTATGGCCTAGTGATTTAAAAAAAATAAGTGTTGAACATGATAGTTTAAATGGGTGGAAACAGTTTTTTAATACAAATGAACCCACATTAACATGTGTCCTTGGACTAAAACATACTCTACTCGATCGTGGACTGGAAATTCTGACAGAAATATTAGAAGAAGTAAAACCTGGTTTCACTGTAGATTATAAAACTGGTAATTTTGTTTTTTTTTTATATTTAGTAAAACTTTGTAATCATGAAATATAATTCTGAAATCAACTTCCACATGGTCTATCCTAGAAATTATCATGGTTAATTCATAGTGGATTTGGTTTGTATTTAATATCTATGAAACATATTTCAGTTGCTTTTTTTAAAATAAAATTCAAGCCATGTTACTTGCTAATAAGATTTCATCAACTCAAGATTTTTTAAATTATTTCACCTACAACTGAACTGTACTGTAGAAAACTACATTTCTACAGGTGAAATAAGTTCTCAAAAATATTAAAGAATGAAATTATTTATTTCATAGGAAAAATAATTTCTCTTTATAACTAAACCTATAGTTTAGGTAAATTAGGGTCTGCAAGAACTTAAATTGATAACATTGAACAAAAAAAATTATTAAGGTAAACTTAAAAGGGTGTAATGTTTTGAAAAAGAAAATTTAATAGCTTTTATCTAGAATTTGTTTTATTCATTACTTAATTATCATATGAGGTAATGCAAAATTTCTCAATTTTATAAATCTCCTTTTGGACAACTTTTAGACATATTCTAAACCAAGGAAAACTCAAATGTCAATATCATTTATAAGCAATTTCAAAACTTGTTTTAGGTCAATGGATATATGCATTTTTAGCTTGTACAAGACAACCTCTACTCTCTGATACTATAAGTATATTGAGAAATTTAGCCAGAAAATGTGCAGAAATAAGGTAATGAACTCACACTCACTGAAACAAACTCTTGAAACAGCATTATATTTTTTATTATTTATCAAAATCTTATTTAGCCTAAATAAATAATTTAGGATTTTGTCAGTCCACAAGAAGACTGCTGTCAGTCTTAAACTTGATATTTTCATCAAGTTTGAAGTAATTTTTTTTTTAATGAAAATAATCATGTTTTAATTCAGAATTGTTGAATACATTTGAAGATGTAAAGGCCTACTCTCTCTACTCAACTCTACAAAAAAAATGTAGTAGTAGAAAAGTTTTTTTTTTAAATCTAAGTTAAGAGGAAGCTTAAATATCTTTAGAAATTATTTTGCTCTTTATGGACAATACAAAGAAATGGCATACTTAATAAATAAAACAATGTTTGGTTTTTTAGATCATGTATCAACCCCGAGGAAGAAGATGCTCCATTCGCTGTAACACCATTAAATATATTCATTTGTTTGGTAGCAAGATACTTTAGGCAATATGACTTGGCAGATTGATATGTAAACTATTTATATTTAAACAAATTGATTTATATTTAATAAACAGTTTACATTTCTAAAACACATACATTTATTCCTTCTTAAAGATATGTATTATGACATTTTATTAATGAATTTGTAAATCTGAATTAAAATCTGTAAAGACACATAACATGCTACTATGGAAATTTCAAGTATTTTCTTTATGTTCTGCATTATGTGAGAAAAAGTCCTATATAAAATTTTATGCTTCTGTCTAGACCCATAGGTTCGAGCTAAGTAGGGGAGAGATTGAGAATGAATTTTATTAAGTAGACTATAATAAGGATTCTTTAGTTAAATTTTAGAATGATATGATTATGTATGTCAAATATTTTTGTAATAATAATAAAACTTTGATTATATTTCCATGTTTTATTTTTATTCAATTTTAATAAAGTAAGTATATAAACACATCAATATTATACAAAATTAACACTTACTTACATTTTATTTGAAATTCGAAAGTTAAGCAATGGTTTATAATAGATGATTTTGTTTACAATACAGAAATATTTTTAAATAATGAAAATATCATTCTAATTGTTATTAGTTCTAACATACATAGTTAAAATAAAACAAAGGGGATATATGTATAGTTTGTATGGTTTATTTATATAACAAATATTTTAAGCGTGGTTTTGTAACAACATCTGTATAAACTTTTACATTTTAAGTGTATATTAGCAGAAAGGATTTAAATTGAAACATTTTATATAGGTAGATTAGATCCTGTGAACAATTGGAAATGACGTTTCACATAAAATATTATATGTTGTACTAATTATGGAAACTCTTGATCATCAACATCATAATGTACTCCATATTGTCCTCGAAGGGTATCCTCTAGTTTAGCCAGTACCAGACTTTCATTGTGTGACATTCTTGGCGATTCTATAAGACCTGTGTAAACAAAAAACAAAAATTTCAGTTTGAGAAGTATTTGTGAAAGTTAAAAATTTCTTTGTTGTTAGGATAACTACTGAATTGCAGTTCCTTCTATAGATCATCTTGTCTCTTAGATACATAACACTGTAGACGCTTATTCTAATTAGATATTACAATTTATTTGCTTCATATTATCTATATATATGTCTATAAGCGACGGATACCACTTTTCATCAAATGGCCAGTTAGCTTGTTTGCCATTCTAAGTTGCATAAAGAAAAAAAAAATATTTTATACAAGTGTTAATCAACTCCGGTGAACGTGATATAGAATCAAAATTATGTTCTTTTATGACAAAGAAATAAAAAAATTGATCAAGAACGCGTCTTGCGAATAAAGTCCTGTAGCCAATATACTATAGTATATAAATATCAATTATTATAATATATAAAAATGTATTACTTTACGAAGTAACGAAATTTAACACCCACCTTCCTTGATACATCTTGCAGTTTCAATGGCCTCATAAACCAATCCTTGGCTGTTGTCAAAATTATACGGAATAGACGACTTCGTCAAAGGGAAATTGGTTATTTTTCCATCAACTCGGATTAAATTGGTAGGAAAATGGAAAGGTTCTTCCAACTGTAAAAGGAATGCATATTTAATTATGTAGTGAATCAATTAGCTTTTGTCAACCGACTTTATTTCGAGTAGATTTTAGAAGTAGGAAAACCAATAGACCATTTCTAGAAGCCGTGTCAAGATAAAATATTCACCAAATTTTAAGTTCAACTTTCAAAAACTGTCAGAATAACATTCAATTTCGTGCAGTAGCTTTTACGTAGTGCGGGAATAAACTTTTTCTTACAATTTTTAAAAAAATATTAAAATCACTGTTTTAGATTTTATTGCTATTAATTTTACTATATAATAATAAGTGTCACACTATCATATAAATTGCTTGATCCTCAAACTAGGATACCTTGTTTTAAGAGGACTCAAACAACAAACCTCTAAAGAGGCACAACCTACATCACCCAGACCTAAGCCAATTCTCAAAAATTCATTTTCTAAATTGACCCAACCAGAAATTGAACCAGGGATCTTATTTAAGAAAAGCAACGTAGGTATATGTATATAAATTGTATGTTTACGTTGCAATAATAATATAACATACCGTTGCACGACCCTTTGTACCATAGACAGTGGCTTTGTTCCATAACTTCCTCGTCGAATCAATATTGAGCACAGCGCGTCTGCCTCCCGTGTATTCAAGGATAACAGTACTGACTAGATCCACTCCTGATTCGTTTAACTTCTGTGCTACGCCCGTCACTTTTATTGGTTCATCTTTGAATATGTATTGAGCGAACTGCAGAACATAAATTCCAATATCCAACAAAGCACTGCCTCCAAGCTCCTTTTGTCTATAATGTTTTACACACGTATAAAATTTTAAAAAGATTCATATATTGAACTAGTACTACCTAATCAAATAAATAGGGGGGAAAGGGATTGTTAGTAATGGATACTGAGAATCTCATTGCCAGCAATATACAATAATAATACAATACAATAACAATATATTCCAGGTCGACCTCCTCGCGGTTCTCCCTGGAAACTATCATGGTTAATTCCTGATGAATTCATCATGATGGGCTAACTGACCTGTTTTCATTCTCATCTATCACCCTTCACTGGTGCTCCGCCACCGTATCCCGTTAGAGCAGGCGGGGTTACCATGCCATTTTCACCCATCAAAAAATTGCCTTAAAATTGTATGCATGCACATTTAATTTATTGTTTAAATAAGGATACAAATTATTTTTATCAGATGGGTAGTCAACTTACATACTTCCTATAACCAATACTTCTTAAAAAAACATTGCTGAACCAAATAGCAAGACTCATCTGAAATGTTAAGCGGCTGCACCGATTTTGATGAAATTTGTAATGGGGTTACTCTGAGAAAGTAGCGTACACTATTTTAAAATCTAATATAAATGGCAAAATGGTGTGATTAAGTTGGATAAAAGTTAATTTTTTTTAATGAATGAAACCTTTATTCTTACAAGGTACTTATGCCTACTTTAAAATATACGACTTACTGCAGCCTATCAGTATTAATTGGAACTCCAAAATTAACTTCGACATATTCTACGTTCCCCAATTTGCCAGCCTTTATATCTTCTTCCAATGCTATATATGCAGGGGAGAACCGAGACCAAACTGCTTCCATTAGGAAAAGTTTCTTCGCTCGGGCAAGCTTGATCAAACTTTGCGCTTGTTTCAAGTTAAGGCATAGTGGTTTTTCACATAAAACATGTTTGCCGCTCTCGAGGAAAAGTTTAGTAAGTGCATAGTGGGACGGATTGAGGGCACCGATGTAGACAACATCTGAAAAAAATTAACATTTACCTATCAAATGACCCGCGCGTACACTAGGTATATTTATAGGGTGGTGACGACCTGAGATAGCTTATCACCTTATAAAAAATATGTTATTTATTTCATATACTTAAATAATAATTTTATTTGTTTCTGTTTTATATCTAGTTACTTTATCTATATTCTTATCCTTACTAATATTTTAAATGTGAAAGTATGCTTGTCTCTAACCACAGCGTCTTATTCGTTCAGCCAATAGTCGTGAAATATGATATACGCGTAGTACTAACGACAAAGAAGAAATAGGCTATTTTTTATGCAACTTAGAATGGCCAACAAGCTGACCGCCCACCTGATGGAAAGTGGTAACCGTCGCCTATAAACATGAGCAGTAAGTACTAAGGACATAACAGAGTATACTGTTTCGCCCATGATACCTCCCATGCGTTGTCATTCCTAAGGATTCAGGTGTTATTCCTCTGTACCCTGTAAATCCACTGCCATATCCCACCATTCAAACCGAAACACAGCCATACAAACGCAACTGCTTCACGGTAGAAACATTAATGGGACAGAGGTATATCAATCAATATGACAATGCCATAGCCACGGTCACGCAGATAAAAAATACATAAAAATGCATGTATTCACTCTATTGTATAAAAAGATAATAGGATCGCGGGAGCAAGGATAATAATCCTTTACTCGTTCCAAATGGGCAAAACCGTATAAGTTATAATAAATGTGCAAAATGATAGTACATTACCGATATCATTACTGGCAGCTAAAGCCTCATAGCTATCGAATACTTTTGGAATGTTGTGCAGTTTGGCGAACTCGGCGGCTCGCGCCTTATCGCGGGCTGCGATTGCAGACACCACTTGGTCCACTTTATTGGGGAAACTATTAAAAGCATTCACGAAGTCATGGCTGATTTTTCCAGCTGTCACTATACCCCAGCGGAGAGTCATCTGGTGACACAAGTGTTATTATTTATAAATATTATTAGAAATAAATTAATAATAAAATCTAATAGATTTGACAGGTCGTCCTAGGTTAAGAGTAATTTGCATATTTATTTCAAAATTTGGAGGGATATTTAGAAATTCTCATTTTCGAAAGGTGCAGAGAAGGTTGAAAACTACTGGACTACAATGATAAAAAAAGTATTACAGAAAAGTGGTCAAAACGATATGATATCTAAATCGCATTTTTAAGTGCAGTCAACTAAATTCTCGATAATTCTATTGATGCTGTCTTTAGAGAATGTCGCAATAAACAAATTTTTATAATTTTTATTTTTATAGCTCAAGATCTTTTAATCAGTGGAAAAATAATTATTGTAGTTTCTACTTACTAGGTATGTTTATAACACGAGCGTTATTCAAAAAACCACAATACACACTACCGGCACCGGCTTTTGCTAACTCTTTAAAATAAATAGATAGCAGTTATCAGTGTTATCAATAACGAGGTCAGATTTAGGTAGTATTGGCATAAGAAACATCTAGTATTTATCCATAATTGTGTACCTTACGTTTACGTAATAACTACATAGATAGGTATACTATTATTTAGCCATAGTATTTATTTATTACAATATAACCATATTATATTGTAGTCTTCTCTGATTAAGGACTACAATATATGGCAATAATACTCACATATGGCCTTATTATTTTTACTAGGAGGAGACTTTACAAAAGTCGTTTACTTGGGTATCTCTGTCCCGTTCGTATTTCTACCGTGAAGCAGTTGTTTGCATGACTATGTTTCGGTTTAAAGGGTGGGATATGGCAGTGAATTTACAGGGTACAGAGGAATAACACCTTAGTCCTCAGAAATGGTAACGGATGGGGGATGTCATGGACGAAACAGTATACTCTGTTATGTCCACGGTACTGCTGATGTCTATAGGCATACGCTATTACCACTCCATCAGGTGGGCCGTCAGCTTGTATGCTATTCTAAGTTGCATAAAAGAAAATTAATAATAAAACTATGTTTAAAAGTAATGTATTCTCTGAGTGAAGCAGAACATCAACCCGGCCGGCAGTTGCTTAAAAATTTTATTAGTTTTAAAATCGACTCTTTCAATTATCCTATTTGTATAGGCGTAGTATAACGTATTCACGTGCTTTTCGTTAGCCAAACATTTTTTTATATCTTCATTTTCCGTTTTAACAGTCTACCTTGAAAACTGACGTGGTTTATTTATGGCGATTTCGACACAATGGGTTAACTGACATTATTTCATTTTCGCTAAACATCTCTCACTGGCACCCGCCAGCGTAAACCAACTAGTCTATTTTTATATACTACCTACAATCTACATATAAATTATTATAATTTTGTCAAACATTAGATGGTTAAATAATTTAGATGTAGTTGAAATAGGCACATTTTATTTCATAAAAAAGTAAATCCAATCTTACGATTAATCTAAAGAACGACGAGATGTTTCGTAGACACATTTTTTAAGGAGCATAATTATTGAGCAGTAAAAGTTTACGCTTGTTTATACTATATTGAGATGGTAAACGAGTATACGACCCGCCTAATGATATAAGTGATTACCGTAACAGGTGGATGCCTGCAATACCAGATACCATAGTTGAAAGAAACTGTCTGTCATGGAGTGCATGTTGCCAACTCCGATGAAACTTATGAACTTACATCTATATTCATGAATAGATTTTGAACATTATATTGTGCAAAACTGAAAATTATTGATAATTATTGCTTAAGTATGTATATAAAAGTTCCCAAGAGTATTTAATTTTTAAGTACGAGTATTATATAATGGATTGATTGGTCTGCTATTGATAAATTAGATAACGTTGCCATTTATTGATCATATCAGAGTAATGAAGAAGATAATAGACGTGCGTATTGTCTTAAAGATAAGAAATATATTCTTTTATCAATAAAATAGAGACCTTTTAAAAAAAAAAAAATTAAAATTTTTGCAGCAAATATAGCTGAAGAAGGTATCGTACCCTAAATCGATTTGTCAGAAAGGTTTTATCATCTACTTTGCCTACTCACAGAAAGAATTAAAGGGGACTCAGTAATATACAGAGATGTTCTAATTTATATAGTTTATTATTTTGTCTATAGGCGACGGTTACCAATTTCAATCAGGTAGGCCGTCTTGTTTGCCATTTTAAGTAGCATAAAAAAATTTGGGCTCAGCTAATATAGATTGTACAAAACTAATATTTATATAGGTAAAAATAACGCATGAATTCTTCTTTTTCCACTAAGTTTATACGACACTCTAACAGTATACATATGTTGCACATAGTTATGGTGTATAATATTAGGATATTATTGGTTGTAATTTTTTTTATTTTATAGTGCTTTATCACAGAAATGAATAACACGCCCGTCTGTTGGCTGACTTTGTACAAAAGTCGATTGCTTGGGTACCTCTGTCCCATTCGTGTTTCTACCATGAAGCAGTTGTGTTTGCATGGCTGTGTTTCAGTTTGAAGGGTGGGATATGGCAGTAAATTTACTGGATACAGAGGAATAACACCCGAGTCCTCAGGAATGGCAACGCATGGGGGGTATCCTGGGTGAAACAGTATACTCTGTTATGTCCATGGTACTGCTCATATCTATAGGCGACGGTTACCACTTTCCATCAAGTGGGCTGTTAGCTTGTTTGCCATTCTAAGTTGTATAAAAAAAAAACTAGCTTGCTATTTCAATTGCATGGTTCATGACTGCATAAATGACTTATGTATGGTATATTCAGAAATCGAACCAAGGAAGTCGATCTTTTTTTAAAGGGCGACAGTTATTATTAACAAAATGTGCTTTGCCACGTGTCAGCAATAATTATACGGCAATAGTTATAAAACCAATTAAGTACATCGCTATATTTGCGATGAACTTAATTATTCGTGTTAAAGCTCAAATATTTAAATACCGCTACTACTTATGCATACCTACTAATGTGTATGAATATTGATATAGAAATAGATAAATTATAGTACCTTCTAGTGATGAACTACAACAAAGCAGACAGATTAAATATCTCCATGAAATATTAGGTGTGCACGTGTATGGAAATGCTTTTAGTTTTACTGGATGATAATGAAATTGTAACCCCGCCTGCGCTATCGGGTCGCTAATAAGGAATAATAGATGACGATGAAAACAGGTCAGTCCGTCTACAAGTTAGTCCATCATGACAAAATCCATTTATATATATCCATAGATTTAACCACGATGGTTTCCAGGGAGAACCGCGTGAAGGTCGTCCTCATAGAGTGTATTTCTAACAACGAGGCAGTTAGAGCCCATTACTAATAATCCCCATTCCCCCTATGATTTTGGTTTTAGATATACCAACATCTTTTCATTACTTATACGTGCGAATATATCATAGGCTACAGTGATCGTTTATCAGACAGCCTGTATGCTTGTTTGCTAACTTTGTAATGTAAAAAATAGATATAGTCACAGATAATATAATACTATACTAGTAATATAGTAAACATTTAAATTATTGCAAGTTCTATTGTAATAAGTAGGTGTACGCGACGCACTCAATTTATTTTTATTACATGTTACTTAAATTTTAAAAAACTCACTAATGAGTATCTAATAAAATTTTATAAATAAAAATATATATCCCTTTTTGAAGTTCGTTGAAAATATTGTTTTGTTTACGGAATGAAGGTTTATTATTAGTTTGAGAACGTTTATGAAGATTTCGTTGATTTTGTTTACAGTTGGTATCATACATACCTAGGTAACAATAAAAGTTAACTTTTTCGAAATAAACTAGAGATCGTAGACATAAATAACCTTAAATAAGTAAACTATATCTATCAGAGTATATAACCAAGAAAAAAGAGACAGCACTTCAAACAAGCCACCTTAACTGACTTGGTCAGGAATATCTAACCAATCTACACAAAATCCTCTTTTTTACACGTAATATTGTCCAGCCTGATGTTCAAAATGGAAATGAATAGGGCTATAATGATATTATAGTTAGATAGTTTTCCGATATTAATAAAATGTATAAATATTTCTCACTGAATCATGTGATAAAATATATAAATTTTGTCAAATTGCACATTTGATTAACCTTTTTTTAGCGAAATAAAACAAAGGATAGTATTCTTAAATATATTTATTATTTCATACAATATTTTCTTGAGATCTCAATTATTGACACAAGTTTTCAACACTTCCGGTAAACTTTAGTAATTTAATAATTTCTAGAATCACTACCTCGTAATGAAGTCAACCTTAATTGTATATAGTCATAATTCCCACGTCAAAATAAAAAGAAGTATAAAATACGAAGCTAAAACTGTTCCACGAATAGTTTAGATGACAGCCATTTGCATGTCATTTGACAGAATTTTTGTTAGTTAAATTGACACTATTGTGATTTCATCATTTAACATACCATTGGCATGATGTTATCTGACCAAATCCATACATTTAAAGTTAGTATGGAAGTTACGCAAGGTCTATCTATGTAAGATTTATATTAGATAGGGAAGTGCCTGCGGATATGAATCGATTATTTTAGTCAAACTATTCTACATCTATGTTTTAAAAAATAATATTAATTTTTTCTGACAACTTATAACTGTAACCGTACCCACTTAGGAGAACAAGGAAAGCACAGAAAATGGGAACTATGATAATAATTAAAATTAAATTCAGGATACAGAACATAAAATATTTCTTTGTAATTTTACTAAGCTATATATAAGTACGTATATAAATTCTACGCTCTTAAACGCTCATTACTGGTCATATCCCGATGCAGACATTTATATGTCTATTATTCGTATTAGCGATTGCATACCTATGCATGTAATGAATCGTTATTCAAAGTCTCACGACAGTAGGTATTCGTAACATTTGATAAACCTAATTCATCGTTTAACCTTTGACAAGAGATAATACAATACTATACTAGTTTTGACCATTTCTTTCAAAGATAATATCGTGGGGAATAAGCCTTATTGTAAAAAAATAATAATAGGCAAATATAAATTAATGGATATTATCTTTAAAGTACAACATTTAGTTTTAGGCCGACAATATATTTTGTATACATCTTTTCTCAAGAAATATGGATTTTTTTTAATCAAGATTAGTTAATTTTTCAAACGATAGATTGTGGCAAAGCTGACAGCAAAATTATTTGTGGTATTGTAATTCATCTATTGCTCACAAGATGTCGCAAAATAAAAATATGAATTCATACCATTTTACCGATTCAAGCGAGACAGGAGAATTGAGAATATTCTTTGAAAATATTTGTGGGTTTGAAGTTAAGAACAAGGAATTACATAGAAGGAATGATAAAATAAAAACTGTAACTTCTATGTAATTCCTTCTTCTGAGTTTTCAAGTTAAACACATTTATGATTCATAAGATTTTTAAATAAACCACCGTATAACCAGGTGCACGGTGGGCTCATCAATATTCATCGTGGGATTGTTAGTAATGAGATTCAATAGCACCATTTCTAGCAATATACCCTCTTTGGTCGACCTCCACGTGGTTCCTCCTGGAAACCATCGTGGTTAATTCTAGTGGAATGCGTTACGATGGGCTTACTGACCTGCTTTCATACTCATCTATCATCCCTCACTGGTGTCCCGCCAGCGTATACCGAAAGCGAAGGTGGGGTTACCATTTCCATTAAAAAAAAATCATCTTATGACAGTTATATAATAGAAGATTTGCAAATATTATAATAAAAAATAGTTTTAGATCTAAATTTAATGGATTAAAGAGGTTTCTTCAGGGTCGGCAAAGCACGCGTAATACCTCTGGTATTGCAGATATTCATAGGCTACGGTAACCACTTACCATCAGGTGGGCCGTATGCTTGTTTGCCACCTGTGGTATAAAAAAAAATTCAAAACATAGACTTAGTATAACACACCTATGTACTTCATAATCTACTTTAACGGCGTAGGGTTCTTGTAACTGACTTTCAAACAACAAATGCAAATTTTAAAGTATAATACAAATGTGAGAGTGCCAGTACTTGACTCAACATCTGTTCTAAACCATTCATTCGTCTTATTTTTTAATTTTAAATTTTAATAATTGAGGAATATTTTTAAATTTTTTTTAAATACTCGTTTTTATGTAGATAAAGAAAAAAGATTACATAAAAATATGGTGATGTATATTTGTCAGTAAAGGACCATTAATATAAAGAAATTAGTAATAATAAAGATACTTTGTACCTATAAATAATTCAACAAGATGTTATAAATAATTGGAACATATAAAATAAGTTCTAACTACTGTGTAGGTACCGTAAAAAAAACTGGGCCGAAATTTAATTGAATTACATCATACAACAACATCACGAAATCATGTCACTGATTATATGATTTCATTTCAAAATTATTACAGTTGTAATTTCAACAGTATTTGTTGTTAAATATATGCATATAAATTTAACAAAAAATACTTAATAATAATATATATCCAACATATGGAGAAATTAACAAAAAAAAAAAAAAAACTAATATAATTAAGTAGAAGTATTTCAAATATTATCACTTATTCAATACATTACCCTCAGGTGAACTATGCAAAGTTATTTCCGGCACACTTATTCGTCGCTACATTAGAATTTTAAATACGAGATTCAATGATTAGTCATTGTGCGGTACCTACATCTCTACACAAACGTTTAACGTTTGTTACAAACACTATATAAATTAATACAAAAGGCATTTGTGTGTAATATTATTTTAGATATTCAGAACGCAGCTTTGAAAGCCTGATCCAAGTCCTCGATAAGATCTGTCGTGTCTTCTAATCCAACTGATAGTCTTATCAGTGAATCGGTTATGCCCAATTCGAGACGCTGCTGAGCGGGGACTGACGCGTGTGTCATTAATGATCTGTAAATAATGAATACTAGAGTTAATATATATAATTGTACATAGTTATATTAGGCAAATCTGAATTATCTATAACTATCTAAACTGTTTGAGATCGCTTTTATTGATAAGGTTGCCCCTTGTGTTGTCTGTATGATTTATTTCCCGTACTATTTTTCTTCTAGAGAGAGCAGTAAAGAGCATTCTTTACCTTTCTATCTAATATCGCATACACTATATGTTTTAACACGTATTAAATATTATGGATTGGATGATCAATGAAGTTTTGTATCTTTATTAAAAAAACAAAGCTTCAATTACGACAAATTTTGTATTACGAGACTAACACTATTTCAATTCATAATAGGAAATGATAATTTGTAATTATTATACACACGAGAGTGTTTAGGTGAATTTAAAACTAGCTCTTTTTATAAGTCGGTTAATCACCAAAAAGGTGTAAAGGAAAATTATGTCAATACCTTTATATTGAATTCGATAAAACTTTTGTACTTGGTAAAACCTAAATAGGTTTTCCGGTATTTTTTATTGCTATTGAAATGGGTAATATTGTTATTATCCTTATGGAAATACTGAGACTGAAATATGTTTTTACTTTTTTATATGACTATGAACCTTATGAAGAAATACTAAAGAATAGAAATACTCTCAGAGATTCACTATGTACTAAAATCTGAAACGTGTTTATATGCAGAAGTGTGTGTGTGTATGTGTGTGTACGTGCGTGCGGGTGCGTGCGAGCATGCGTGCATGCGTGCGTGTGTGTGTGAATATGCAGAAGAATATGCACATGGTTTCGCAAACCGATAACCGCGTGCATGATGTAAATGGTAATTAAAGTTGTCAAGTGAAAGTTAAAAGAATGTGACCCTACAATGAATATTGTATAGTTAATTAATTAAAATAGATCAGGAACAATAAATATAGGGGAAAGCTACTGTGGATAATGGATAATGAATAATGAATAATATTATCATCAAAATGATAGTGCAAAATTTTCTACCAAGTTTACACATTTTAGATTAAAGGACTTACTCAGCACTGGTATCTTATACACGTATATTAACGTGACAAGCAATTCATTATTAAATATTACGTCATATTTTTTTAGTCATAAATACACAGAGTTATGTGTAATAAAGTAAACATGTTAGTGAGCAATTTGATAACACTGCCATAAGCTACACTTTTATCTAGGTGTGACGGAAAATCAACCTGAAACTCTACATTAGTATTTCCGAAACTAAACATTTTTCCATGAATAACTACCGGTCGAAATATGAGAATAATTTCTATATAAATCGCGCGTCACATCAATTTCGTGTTAAAGTTTCAAAAATTATTTTCTGTTCTATTATATATGCAATCTTATTATTATTCTTTGGAGAAAAAACTGGTTATTTTTTCAGTACAACTTTAAATAGTTACATATAACTCCAATTATATTTTTATCTCATATGTAGTTTTGTGCTTGAACATACATATATAAACTTTGACTTATGCCATTTTCCTAAAGAAGTCTGAAAGTAGTATTTCCTATTTAATTACAGTAACAAATTTAATTTCTTGAGATATAATACTTACGGTAATTCCGCCAAACTCTCATAGCCTCCTAAACTTTCAGCTAAAATAAATACTTTTAGGGAGCTTAAAAACTTTCTTGACTCCTCTAAACCACCGGAATGCTTAAAACTAAAGACGCCTGAATGTCCACTTGTTTGTTTTTTGGCTATTTCATATTGTGGATGTGATGGAAGGCCTGAAATATTCAAGCAACATTATTTTGTATATTTAATACTATATCTACAAGCATATTCGTAATAAGTATACCAACTCAAAATCCAATATGATAATTTAGTATTCATGAAAGTAAACAGTTTTCCCGAAGAAACATCCACCGTCGAAATTTGAAAACGTTTCATGTAAAAAAAATTTAGGAAATATAAAAAAAATATGCTCATAATAATTAAATCATTAAACTCATGAACTTTAGAGATTTTTTACAAATAACACTACTATATTAGAATAGCAAACAAGCTGACGGCCCACCTGATGGAAAGTGGTAACCGTCGCCTATAGACATGAGCAGTACCATGGACATAACAGAGTATACTGTTTCGCCCATGAGACCCCCCGTGCGTTGCCATTTCTGAGGACTCAGATGTTATTCCTCTGTACCCTGTAAATTCACGCCATATCCCATTCTTCAAACCGAAACACAGCCACGCAAACACAACTGCTTTAGGGTTGAAACACGAATGGGACAGAGGTACCCAAACAAACGACTTTTGTACAAAGTCTCCCTCTGGTTATTAAAATTTTGTTATAATTACCTGGATGTAACACTTCAACTACTTTGGGGTGTTGTTCCAACCATTTTGCTATAGTAAATGCCGATGTTCTATGACGTGCCATGCGGAGTGCTAAAGTTTTCAAGCTTCTATTAACTAAGTAGCAGTCAAATGGTGCTGGTACAACTCCCATTGCTAAAAAATAATTAGAAATACATTTATAATATCACTTATTCATTGTTTTTACTAATTTTAGGTAAAATAATAGTATCAGCACATTTTTTAAGTAGTTTCGTGAGGAGATTCTCAATCCGTCTCTTTTTAATGTTACATGATATATTCGTTAATTCTTTACCGATTTGGATAATTCTTTTGAACTTGATTGAGTTTTCTATCACGTTGAAAATTGAAGGTACTCATTTTCTATACCAAGCAAAAAATCGCTATTTGGAAAGCAATTCAAATCAACTGTACATACAGTATGCGATTCATCAGTGTGTTTTATTGGTTTTTAAACCAAAATAGCGAGAAAGTTAATATTGTTACGACTGAGTCGCTATTTTTGGTGAAGGAAAAACTTAAAACTACTTATTAAGAAAGAGGTTTTCTCTAAGAAGTCGGATAATTATTCCAATAGTGTAAATTGCCATTCTCGGTTATTTATAACGACAAAATGATGTATTCATAAAAGTATCCGCGTGACAACAGCGTCTTGTGGGGTTTTAATCATTACACAGTGTAATAAAATACACGTTAAGGAAAATGACTTCCAAAAAGTCATCATTCAATTGGATTCGCTATTGAAGCAATGACTCGTATATTTTATTGGCACTAATTAACGTCGTTTTCAATAAACTATGCCACTTACAAAGTTTATTCCACTATTTATAGATACCTAAAGATTGTTATCGGACTACATTAGAATTGAGGTCTTTAGCACTCGGTTCCGTTTCCTCTGTAAGATCCGTAAGGGGCCTGGCGTGAAGATATCTATTAATTGGTAAACACGTGACCTTTTATCATAATTGCTCATTTCTTATTATCTTGCATAGAAATAAAGGTCGTAAGTTCGAATTTGTACAACTTTGTAAGTCTATCTATTCCGGCTAACTCTTTGATAATGCAGAACATCTTATCAAACCGAACCGAAAAACAGCGGCAAACTAGCCCCGTATTTCGAATTAAATTCTACACACCTATTTTGTAAAATTTTATTAATACAATACTATTGTACCTAGATGATATCTGAACATGGGAGATATTTACGAAAACATATTATGAGGGGTCTTAATAAGAGGAATAGAAGCTAAAACATTATTTATTGTAAATTTTGTCTGTTTATTCCAATATCACGCACAAACTACTCTATATCAAATTTATGCGAATACCAAATTAGACGTGATTTTCATAGTTGCATTCCTGAAGGTGTTACTAAGAAAATGTTCTGACATCAACGCGTATGAAGTAGCGGGCAAAGTTAGTAATGAATATCACCGTATAATAAATAAACTTACCTACACCTAAATAAACAGTACTATTCTAGACTTGGTTAACGATAACAACATATGTTTAAGGCGACGAATCGCAAATATTGGTGTCTGAAATCGCAATTTTTCTCAGCAATTACAAAACATTTGCGACTGATATTTATGTATTTCATTTATCATGTCCTTAACATCATTTTGCCCATTGCTTAACATGATTGATAAAATTTCATTATCGATATACATAATTATTTATACCGGCTTTTTTCACGTTTTAATTTCAGTGTTGCAAGAGTAGTTTGTTTTATTTTGTACCTAAATTAATTTGAAAAGTTATTGGAGATGATTTGCTGAATAGATCCTTAAGATTTCTTTCAGCAAACATCATTTCGAATTCAGTAGTATAATAAAAAAGATTACGATTGAAAGGAGCTACACAAATAATAGTACATTACTGCAGCGGCCAGCAACTGAGGCATTGATGGACGAACGTACAAATGTGGGCCGAGGCGCAGCCAAGGCACACATACGTGAGTCCATCAATGCCTAGTTGTGGCCAAGGCTTGTATAGTACTTTTCTCAAACAATGCGCGGAAAACAAAAACACAATTTTACTTTTTAAATTCAATGACGAGTAACGTACGATAATAATTTTTTACGCGCCATATTGTTCCTTTGTTTTTTTTTTTCAATAAACAACATTCTATTTGCAAGCCAGTTCGAAATTTAAATAAAACCTTTTATTAGTTACCTCCTTGGTAGCCATGTTTCGAAGTAAAAGGTCATTCCATTTTTAAATTACAGGGCAAATATGAGTTTATATAGTAATTTATCTGGCCGCAAAACACGACAGATATGGATTTTTATACAACTTTTGCCGGCCGTTGCCCGCATGTATCTGATCAGTACGACAATTTTGATTTATCTCGAAGAAGGTTGTCAAAATAATGCTCACATTTCCAAGCATGTTTGAGAAAAGATTATTTCTATTTTATAACTGACAATAATTATTCAGTAAGAGATATATGATATGTAACATTATATCTAGTGTTTATGGGATAAATCTGGTGTCAGTGACATATCTTGTTTAACTAACAAATGATTATTTATATATGTACATTATGAAATTCTTACCATTTTGCAAAAATCTAAGTTTTTGTTCTATTTCAGGTTCATTAACTATTGCCGCGCCCATGATAACATCTGAATGTCCATTCATGTACTTCGTTAGTGAATACATTACTATGTCGGCGCCAAAGTCCAGGGGTCTTTGTAAGTAAGATGTAAGGAAGGTGTTGTCCACAACAATTAGAATGTTCCCATAGTTTTTAACAGCTGCAGTGATGGCAGCAATATCTGCTACTTTTAATAGAGGGTTTGTTGGTGTCTCTATCCATACCATCTAAAAAAAAACTCATTTCTAGTATCCCTAACCAATATCTGAATATCTATCATAAAAATATAGCCATCATACATTTATGAGACAGCATAGATCTTTTATCCTATATATTTTCACCAACAAATTTTTTTTTTGGTGATCATTCCTCTCCAACATAAGTATTTTATATATTACTAGCTGTTTCACTCTGCTTTGTCTGCGTACGTCAGTATATGCAATAAAAATAATTTTATTTAAATAATAGGCTTATTTATAAACAACTCAAAAGAGTTTTTTTTTTTTTATATTTTACATTAGATTTTTTACAATCCTTAAAAACAAACATAGTAAGTGTCCCACTTACTATGCTTTAATTGCTAACACATACATAGTATTTTAGAATGTGGTGCAGTGATATAGATATGATTATTTCAGTCAGCTTATCAAATTTAAAACAACAAGATTTGTTATTCAAAACAATATAATGTAAGCTTACTTATTATAGAAACAAAAGATCCTAAGATAAGAATTGTTATGATCTGCTAGTTATAAATTGCATGTTATGTTTATAAAATAGTCTTCTGTGTGAAAAATATTAAAATATTCCATATAGGCATTTTAATGATAACCACTTACCTTGGTGTTTTCTTGAATTGCATTTTCAATATTTTTTATGTTTGTAAAGTCAGTAAAAGTTGTTTCAATACCCTGTCGTGCTACAACATTTCTGAAATTAAATTTTGTATCACATCATATTGCTGTAGAAGGCCTTTCAACCTGTTTACATATAAAATAAAAACAAATTTATCACATTCATTTCTTAATTCCAATACTTATGTATCTCATTAAGTACAATGTGTACCACTGCCACTATTAATAGTAGCTATTAATCTAAAACATAATTTTGTTACCTGAGTAATCTATTTGTGCCACCATAAATGTCATCACTGCACACAATATGGTCACCTTTACTAAGTAATGCAACCAATGTTGTGGTAGCACCGAGCCCAGAAGAAAAAGTGATGCCATATTTTCCACCTTCTAGGGCTGCAAGGCATTCTTCCAGTGTATTTCTAGATGGATTTCCTGAGCGTCCATACTCAAAGCCCTAAAAAAATTTTAGTAATGTAAAATAATTGACAACTCTGATGTAAAGATTTTATAAAATAAAAATATGTAAAGATTTAATAAATAAAAATTTTACATTACACTGCATATAAAAACATTTGTCCATTTTAAAAGAGACAACAATTTAAAAGGAAGGCTGGCAAAATGAAAAAAAATATATACAATATAAAATTCTACTTCAGTGTCAACACTTATTTATTTAGAAGTAATTGTAGTTTAGAATGTAGCTACATCAAAACTACAAATAAATGTGATCATTTATAATCTCATAAGAAAATTTCTATTTAGATACAGATCACCACATAATTAACAGAAGTGTCAATTATTTCTTTATGTACAAGTAGTATTTATATAACATATATTTATCAAATAGTTGTTACCTCTGTATGTCTTTTTCAATTAACTGCAGGTAAATTTATAGTAAGTTTAATTATTTATTTATAACTGTACCGTGTGTTCAGCAGGTGCTGGTTGTTTAAATGTTGTTGAAGTCACTATAGGTGGTACAACAGCTGCTGACTTCCATTTCTCTGGTTCCTGCCCAGCATGAATTGCAATAGTGGCAAATCCTACTTTATCTTTCAAAAAGCCTTGATCAGCCATCTAAAATATTATTTATAAACTATAAAATTTATATAGGTATATTTAGTTAGTTCTGTCAAGTGTTTGTCCCTTAATATTATACTTTATACTAAGCTTTCTGGGTCTAAAAAATTTGAGTGTCTCATATTTTTTATAAGTAAATAGAAAGGATGCTTGAACATCCTAATACTACAAATAATAAATTTCACATAATTTTAAAACATTATTTAATATTATTATTACACAAGAAATTTTATAAGCATAAATAATAATATCTTTATATATTTACATTTGATGTATACAGAAAAATGCATTCTTATGATAGAATAAAAGGGGAATATTGCCAATTACTAATAAAACTCTAGATTCTTATGTTAACAGAATTTTATTACTAAGCTCAAAGAGAGAACTGAATGTCAAAAGCCTTACAATTAATCCTAAATTAAGAAATTAATTTATTTTTTAGATTTACCAAGCAACTAATAAACAAGGTAAGGTTTTTGTTAGTTTTTTTTTTTAACTTTACAAGTTTTATTTAAAAATATATAATGTTACAAGTATTTATAAAATAGAAATAAAAAAGAAACCAATAGTAATGATTCAATATTTTTTACTGTACATATAGAAGTATAATTGTTACACGATACAGCAATGTGGTTTTTTAAACTTCGAAGATAAGGAACACTTCAATTAACGATGAATACTTTGCATTTTTAAGTTTGATAATTAACGACACATTTAAAGTGTCCACGCCAAATATGGTAGGAGCAGAATTCACAGAGTGGTTTGTCGTTTACAATTTAGAAACTCGCGAAAATCAAGGTCGAAGCATGGTGTTCAGGCGTTTTATTACATCACTCTTTTACAATACTTAGTTTATTCTTGATAAAAATTCTTACCTCGGTTTTAATGAGACTTATTTTCAACACAAACTATAATTCTAAAATTCCTCCACTTATTAACTGTATATACTATTTTTTTTAATAAAACGATACAAAATTGGTTAGAATTTAATAAGACCGGCCGGCAGAAAGGACGAACTAACGTCAAATGTCAAAAAAATCTTAAGAAATGAAAGGCAATAAAAAGCAATAGGTAGTATGGCCGTGTATGACAAGAGGTGACAAGTTAATAGAAATGTGTCAGTTGTCAGTTCGGACTTGTCATGATTTTTTCTATCATATGTCTCGTCAGTGGCTTGTCTCCTTATGGTTAGGTTCTTTTTTCTTTGAAATGGTGAAAATGAAATGGCAACCCTGCCTGCGCTATCAGTTTAGGTTGATATATGAGGATGAAAGAAGATCAGTTGGCCCAGTTGGTTGGTCGTGAAGAATTCCACTAGAATTAATTACGATAGTTTCCACAGGGAAAGCGTGAAGATCGACCTGATAGGGTATATAGCTAGCAATGAGGCTGTTAAAACCCATTACTAACCTTCCCCCGTTATAGTTGTGTTGCCTTAATTGATCTTATAGCAATATCGAAACACTAAATCTGTACATTGCAAATTTTTAGTGTTTCGATATTGTATTGTATTTTTGGTATTTTACAAATTTTTAAGTCAAAGGAAGTTATTTAACTATCCACAGAGATACAGGCTCGGCTTAGTTCGGTGGCTAGTAGATCTAACTAAATGTACGTAATTTGTTATTCAATAAAGACAGTTATTATTATTAAAAAAAGGTATTTAGTTATTATTATTAAAAGTAGGCATTAGTTGTAATATAGGTACTGCTTCGAAATCTATTTATTGGGTTTGTTTGAACACTGTTGGCGAAAAAAAGGGCGTCACTCCTATCGGTATCATCCACATCAAACAGTTATCTATATTTATTTTAATCGGGTCCTTAATTTTGATATTATAAATTAGATAACCGATATTTAATATATTTTTTTAAAATATATTAATTACATACAAAATTTGATATATATATATCTTTTTTATTATACATCTACGTGCTATAAATATCAAAAACAAGTCCACTATATTTATATTTATAAAACTAAAACTAATTCAATAAAAAAGTTTGAAATATCAAATTATATTTATAGGTGAGAAATAAAAAAAAAAACATGTATTTCAGGGAGTAAATTTCATAATTTTTTTTTAGTCTATCCAAATTTTGTATAAGCTGGAACTCAGAGCCATAGTATATTAAAAATAAGAAATATAATTCCCGGCAAAATGTCTTTCATGTCATCTGTTTTGGTTTTTGAATTTTAAGTTTTTATTTTATTAAATTTGTTGTGGAAAACAAAATGAAAATAGATAGCAAACCGTTGAGATATGCTCATGCTGAAGGTCACACTGATGTATGCTATACAGAAGATGGAAAGTAAGTACTTATAACAAATCTTTGTTAAAATGAGGTTGTGATCAAATTCTTTTCTGATACTATGACAAAATTCTTATATTACAAAAGACCATTACAAAAAAAGTACATGTAAAATTAGTATCTAGCCCAATATTATATCAGAATTGGCAAGACTGCCGTTTAATAAGTAGAAATTGTCCTTTAGAGGGTGAGTTGAAGACCTTCATCTTTTAGATGTTGAGGTTTTTATTTACTATGACAGAAAATAAGACATTTAATTTTATTTTTATTTAGTATTGATAATATGCAGAAAATAAACCCTTAAGTGCATTTGAAACACATTTGGTGTGAAAATTTTTTTAAGTATGTATTTTCTCTTATTCATGTATTATTATTTTTTTAATTCAACTTAGAATGGTAAATGACAAATGTTTTATAAATTACAGAATTATACTAAATATTATATAAAACAAACTCAATCATATGAAAAATTATTTAACAATCTGAAATCTGGCTAGTAGGTGTTGTAGGGTCATGTTGAATTAAAATGTATTTTGTGAATTGTGGGCATGTTAAATGTTCTTATATTCACTTTGCGATTATTTGTTATTATTATAAAATTTACTGACTGGTTTATTTGCATAAAAATGATTTTGTTTATTTATTCTCAGCTGGAAAACAATACAATTATAAGAACAATGTGTTTTTTTAATATGCTTGGTTTTTTTAATATACAGTGTATAATAAGTGGGCTCAACTCCATATAAATTGTTTTTTTTTTTTCTTTTCTAAAAGCAGTAAAAATACTGATGTAACCATATAAGAGATACACATATTTAAAATATATAATTTAATAATTTCAGAAACATAATAACCTGTGGACATGATGGGGATGTAAGAATTTGGTTAGATATAGAAGATGATGATCCTACTTCACATTGTGTAGGAGAGAGTGCACTTGCTGTGTGCTTTAAGGACAAGAGATTATATGTAGCAACAGACAATCATGCAGTTCAAGCTTACACATTTCCAGCATTTGATAAAGATGGCATTGTCACTAGATTCACAGCACCAGTCACGCAAATTAAATCTACATGTAAAATTGAAGTATGTATTTTATGCAGATAAGTTTCATAAGAAATTAAATGATGAACTTTGTATCACCATGAATGCTATCTATTAAAAGTATAACAATTTGTTTAAAGTTAAAATGTTCAGTTTATTTTGATGATATATTATCATTAATACAGAGGAATAACATCTGAGTCCTCAAGAATGGCAACGCATGGGGGTATCATGGGTGAAACAGTATACTTTGTTATGTCCATGGTACTGCTCATGTCTATAGGCGATGGTTACCACTTTCCATCAGGTAGGCTGTCAGCTTGTTTGCCATTCTAAATTGTATAAAAAAAAATTAAAAGTTACATGTATATGACTAGTGCAGGTGCACTATAAAGTAATCACTATTAATATAATGGTTGAGTTTAGCATAAATTGGCATTTAATCTATGTTATATTCATTCATCTAATTCTATGTTCAATAATTTTAAAAATATTCAATTTTTAGCATAGAAACACTGACTTACTTTATAACTGCTTGTTTGTATTTGTGTTTCCATGGCTATGTTTTAGTTGGAAGGGTGGGACATGGCAATGTAATTACTGGGTATAGAGACAACACCAAGTTCTCAAAAATGGCAATGCAAAAAGGGAATCATGGATGACATAGTATAACGTCAATGGTACTGTTCATGTCTTTTTGCAGATATGAACCATACCATTGTTCATGTCCATAGTGTATAGAAACAATTAACACTTTTCATTAGGTGGGCCGTTAGTTTATTTGTTATTCCAAGTTGTATAAAAAAAAGTTCCTAGATTATTCCTTAAATAATACTGAAAATGGTTTTTGAAAATATTTTTCAAAATGTTTGTCTTTTTCAGGCATTGGGATGCTCATCAGAAAATATGGAAGCCAAAATTTGTAATTTGGAAGGTGGTGCACCACTGTTTGTGATGTCACAGCACAAGGGCCCAGTACTAAGTATTGCCATTTGTCCACATATGAAATATGCAAGTACTGCATGTGGAGATGGTGTTATGAGGATCTGGGACATAGACATCCAGAATACTGTCAAGGAGATCACTTGTGTCCCTAAAATAAACACATTTTATGCTGCTAAAACTTTGTGTGAGTACTTGGTGTAAGATTTACTCAGTCAAAGAACAAAGAACATCATATTATATATTATTATTATATTACTACCTATCCCAGCAAACATTGTTCTGCCATAGAAGTAAATTTTTTTAGGTAGGGATACCCTAATCATTTAGCGGTATGAAATATACTTTGCAATCTTTTCTCACACCTACCAAATATACATAAAAAAATGTAAAAATCAGTAGACCCATTTTGGAGGAGTTCCACCACAAACACTGTGATATGAGATTTTATTTTTTTTAATATTTATTGAGTGGTAATTTTTAGATTTATACTCATGTTCTGACTTATAGGTCGAATGGATTTTGAGCCAGCAGAAGGAAAATATCTAGCTTATCCAAATAACAGGGAAATAGTGCTTTTGGATTGTGAAAGCTGGAACCAAAGGATGACCTTTACTCATAGTTTGGTGGGTATAATACTCATTTATGTCATTTACCAGTTTTTATTCGTAACTTTGTCTGTTAGTATAATTCAAAGTTAGGGTTACATGTAAATGTATAAACAAAATATAAATTACTAAATATGATTCTGAGCATAGTCATTAGGTGTCAGGGAAATAATGTTATTAAGAATGCATTTTTGTTGTAGATACAAATACAGGTCAGTATTTGAACTTGTTAGTGGGTATTTTGCTATTCAGTTTTATTAGAAAAGTGATTTATATTCTATTTTCTTTGAAATATTACTTAAATTTTAAGTATCTTCAAACAATATAGTAATTGGTTTTATTGTATATTTACCAATAAATATGTAGATAGTAGATAATAATAAAAAATTAACAAACTATTGTTATATAAAAATAGAATTAAAGAATTTACCTATCATCAATAAATCATGATTCATTAATTATTTTCAGATAAAATGTGCTTTATCACAATGTTTATTTTCACCATGTGGACAATACATAGCTGGAAGTACAGTAGCTGGTCAGATAGCAGTTTGGGAAGTGCAAACTGGAACATGTCTTGATATTATTGAACATCCCACATCTCATAATATTTCGGCTATGGCATGGAATCCTAAAGGTAAAGGATTATGTAATTTTACTATTATATTAAAAATGCAAGTTTGTAAATGTGAGTACATTATGATATTCACATAGGCGAAGCCATGGGATACACCTAATATATGTATATACTTTTTGTATGACTATGATAGCAATCAAGCATAAAGGCGTCTTGACAAATGACCATCACAGCCCAAGAACACTTGCAATACTAGATATCAATCATTCATGTTTGATCGATCATAACACAAAGATCTTTATTTTTATACAACTTAGAATGGCAAACAAGCCTTCTTGGATCACAATATCCCATAAGTGTGCTGCTATGTCACTCTTCTAATTCGAATCTAGCATGAATATATATGAAAGTAACTTAGTGACACGCGACCAGTTTCGAAATTTTATCTTTTGTATATATACATACGCAAATAGTAATATTATATGGATGATATCATGAAATTTCATTAAGAAGTCACAATACAAACAGTGTTAGTAACTGTATATTTACGTATGACTGGTAAACTACTAATGTGGTTGATTGTAAGAGTAATTATGACTATTGTTTAGGTAATGGTGTATTGGCGTATTGTGATGTTGCGGGTCAACTCGGCACACTAGTTAACTGTTACGGGAAAGATAGCCGTAAAATTGGCGCCGATGCTGATGCTATGGATGAAATAGAAACGGTTGAGAGGGAAGATGGTAAGAAAAAATTGTATTTTATGCCTACACACATGCTGTAAATTAACAAAAATAACTGCAGAGTGTTTATGATTGGAATAATTAAAAAATATTAACATGATTTCATAACTAGATATTTAATAATACATTAACTTGCTGTTTTGATTGAAAACTATAAAAACGAACAAGGAATGTCCTACTGAACGTCTTGTTAGACGCAATGCAACAAAGCTTTTATCTTAAATTAAAAATAAATTAATTTACTCTGTGTTTATAACAATTAAATGTTCCAGATAATGACGATATTATAGATAACTTGATTGGTAATGATAGTGATGACGAAAATGCTATTTCTTTGGAAAAGATAAAGAACGAAACTCTGGGACTGCAGACTGAACAGGACGAATCTCGTCCGCAGTCCAGGGTGGCGCCGCCATCCACTGCGCCCCCCCAACCTCCTTTCCAACCTTCATCTACACCAACCCATTTAGAGCACAGGTACACACACATTATATTCTTAAATAAAATATTGACAATGATTTGAGAGTATTTTTTCTAAGTCGTGAAATTGGCAACGAAGTTTACGGCTCTCGTAACGATTTTTAACATATTCTTTGAACGAAAGTAATGCAGAGACTTCTTTCGGTATTTTTCTTCATAATCGCCACTTTGTAAATGCTGAATAAAAATTATGTTAGCATGACAATAGCTAACAGTCCCTAAGAATACAAAATAGCCAACAAATCTATGTAATATTGCGTAAATAGAAAAATGTTAAACAATTACAGTAAGCTGAAAAATGATTAGCTTTTATACTGTTTCATTACGTTTATTTTTTATTCAACTAATCACCAGCAAAGTCTTCATTTTAAATTAATATATTTTTATTAGTTTCATTATTAAATATGGCTGACATGAAACATGAAGGGTAAAATGCATTTTTATACTTATAAATGAAATTATCTCACCAAATATCTATTCCGTATCATATATTTTCAGATACATGTGTTGGAATGATATTGGGATAGTTCGATGTCATTCATTAGAAAATGGCGAGTCGAGTATAGATGTGGAGTTCCATGATACAAATGTTCACCATGGGATACATTTGAATAACTATCTGAATCACACAATGGCTAGTTTATCATCAACTGTTCTGGCTTTGGCTTGTGAGACCCCAAGGTAACACCATTTATAGGAGTTTTTATTTCAAGTTCTAACATACATATATGTATTATAATAAGAATCGTCATTACCATGCAAAGATGACTATTTCAAGCTTTAAATCAACTTAAATTACCTTATTATTGCAAAAAGTATTATTCATACTGGCTGTCATCCTTGCTTATATTATAAATGTGAATGTGAGTTTATTTGTTTGTTAGTTTATAGCAATATATTTATAATGGCTTAACGAATCACAGTGAAATTTGGTATACACATACTATGTAATATGGAGAAGGGCGTGGCCTACTTTTTATCCTGGTCAGTAAACATGCCCCAGTCATATGGACGAAGTGGCGTGTAAAAATTATGCATTCTATATTGAAAAACCAATTTTCCTTGATTTTGAGGCGTTGAATGTTGATTTTAGGTGCTAGTTCTCTGAATTTATACACGAAGAAAACTTTTTTAACATTAGAATTGAAAATTGCTTTAAAGATTTAAAAAATGTACTGTAGCATTATTAGTTAGGCTATGCACGCTATGTTTGAAAACGCTTAGTCTTCATTGGTTTTAAATGTAAAAAAATACAATATTTTTTCCAGCAAATTAGTATGTATCTCACTGGTGGGTAGTAGCAAAGAGTGGAGCGTTTCGTTGCCGGATACAGAAGAAATACTATGTGTGACGGCCGCCAGTGGAATCGTAGCCTGCGCAACTAACGCCCGCCTGCTGCGGTTGTTTACACCTATGGGTACACAACGACAGGTAATGTTCTTTATTGGATGTATTGATGGAATTTTACAATAATAAATACCTCTGGATATATTACATATATATAGCACTCTAGCTCTATGCAAATCTAGTTTCAAACTAACCAAGATTTAGTCTGTTAGTACTAAACAACTGATAGACCTACTTAAATACTTTTTATTGTAAATACAAACACATATTTAAAATTCATGATAGGCATTTAACGCGACGCGGAAAAATTCTGGTACAATGTCAGTACTATTTAGGTACCTATAATCGTTTCGCATTAAGTCCCAATCATAAATTTAAATTAAACGACAGGAAAGTTTAAAATTAATTCAAACATATAATAGAAACACCCAGACCAATACATACAGAATACATGCGATCATCAAAGATGAGGCATTATGTTACACTGTTACATCACCAAAGTCGTCAAATGCAATCTAAACAGCTGAAATTGGTATAGAAACTACATATAAGAAAGATTGTCTACGATAACATGTCACGCATCTCCAAAATCTAAAGAATTAAAAATGTATGAGTAAACATAATTACAAGGTTTCAACCAAGGAACTTCTCTGACTGGACTGCTACTGAAGCTGTTTCCTCCCAAACAAACACAGCACTACACCTACATATGGTCACACACTTTAAAGTTAAAAGTTGAAGGGGCGTGCCATGTTGACATGAACAATTTATACATAAATAGAGCATGTCATTAAAATTTTGAACTATTTTCAGGTAATATCGTTGCCAGGCCCAGTGGTATGTTTAGCGGCATACAATACCACAGTGATGGCTGTTTACCATAAGACAGAACCTGGAGTGTCAGCTCAACATCTAGCTATGGATATTATAGCTGTAAATGGTAAGCAAAATAACTTTGCATTCCGTTGCTGCAAAACATATTCATATTACCTATTCTTTGAATGTCAAAAAAATGCGTGATGTAGACATAATCTCGAAGTCTGCAGTAGTAGGCAAGAAACTTGTCTCAATTTTGTTAGTAGTTATAGACATTTTTGTAAATACTTATTTAAATTAAAAAAAAAATAATATAAAGTTTTGTAAAATCAACGTCTACGTGTAACCATAACAAAATAAATTGCTTCTAACTGGTTACAGTAATGCAAGATAACCTCTTGTATGTCATGTTATTTAGATAATATTATTTACGTAGAGTCTGACATAAATTGCATAATACTTTGTTTTTGTAATATGATATTACACAAGATGGGATATTATAATAGATATAGCATTTCGCGGAAGTCTAAAGCTGAGAAAAATTACACGGCACACAGTTAAAGTCTTCCCGAAACTTCTACGGGAATGGCTAGGTGGTACAGGCCAAGTCACGCCCATTGTCCTATATATGTATTTGAGAATACTATCGTCGTATTACGAATTCCATAACTTTTTCCCTTACATACGTCGGATTTATAGTTCGATTCATTTAATAACAATTTATTAAATACCTACAAGGTGGTTAGCCGTTACGCGTTTTGCAAGATTCGAGCATACATATGAGTACATTATGTACATACTTACGTACAGGTACATGGTAACCAAAGAAAAACCTCGATTTCAGTCGTGTCAAAACCAGTTATTTTGGTTTAAAAACTAAACTACTAAACTAGTTTTTTATTGAACCGATTTTGATAAAATTTCTATGAGACCAAACCGAATGTATATTCTTTCAATTAAAAAATAATAATTCCAAATCGGTTTATAAATGACGGAGTTTTGAGATAGAAAACATAAAAATATATAACCTAATTGATCCATTTTTGAAGTCAGTTGAAACTACTACTTTTTTTACTTTCTTAAAAATATATAGTATGGAAATATTGTTGATAAACAAATCTCGAATTTCTTCGCAGGTCGTCAAGTTCGCTGCAAAACAGTCCCTCTCCCGCTAACTCCGAGCTCCAAATTGTCATGGCTCGGAACTACTGACGTTGGTTCCCCGTGTGCATACGACAACACGGGGATATTGCGCCTCTACGATGTCGCTAGTGGTGTGTGGATGCCAATATGTGACACTAGTAACCATTCTAGAGGAACGTCGGATAGCTGGTTTGTTGTGTCTGTAAGTATTAGGTACATAATTGTACTAGCCTTTACCCGCGACTTCGTTCGCCGGATCGGGTCATGTTTATTGACCGGGATTAAAAGTATCCTATATCCTCTATTCCATTTAATATGCCAAATTCGTAATGATTGGTTCAGTTGCTAAGGCTTATGGCAAGCTTTCATATTTATAATATTAGTAAAGATTTAGGTATATCTATATATTCAATATGTTTGTTTCGTGTAACGAAATAGGAATAATCTGAAATCCTGTACAGCCTTTAAAGATAAGTAAAGGATCACATAACATTCGACGTTGGTACTTTAGAGTGAATAGTGGATTCCCAATGACATTTTTTTCATCAGAAGAGGAGCTGGGGGGGGGGGGGGGATAAATACGCCAAGATCGGCCCAACTGAAATCTATTGCACTAAATTCCTAAAAGAATAAAAATATTACATTTATCTTATATACTTTTTATTACAAATATTCTCTTGTTTTATAGGTAAGTGAACCAACCCAGACTGTACGCGCCATATTGTGCAGAGGAACTACATTCCCTCTTACAGCTCCCAAACCTATAATTAACGAGCTTGCTATACAGGTATTTTATTTTATTTTATTTATTAGGCGCACATAATAGAAGTTTACAAATACAAACTTAAATTATAATATGCAAGTACATAATGTATTGATCAGGTAAACTTGCCACAACATGTGCACACAGCATGATCCAATAATAAATGCGACTGCGACAAAGCCTAAGGTTGCAACTATTAGTGAAAAATTTAAACATAAAAATAAACATAAACATAAAGAAAGTTAAATAAAAAACAAAACAAAATTATTTAAGAAATTTCTAAATATTACATTATTTTATATAATTGTCTGCGAAATTGATAATAACTGACTCCAAATAGGTATGAAAATTATAATCAAAATAACAAATTTTAATACATAGTGCTATTATTATGTATGTATCTTGCCAATATTATTATTATTTAGATTCCATTATGTGAATTGGATTCTGAGAAATCTCAATACGAGGAGCAGTTGGTACGATGGGCGCATACAACGGCCGAAGTCGATGTGAAAAATGCACGTGAAACTGCACTCAAGTTATTCGCAGTGAGTATATGCAAATATGCATTATTTTTAAGACTAACTAGCCCCACAATGAACAGGTTTTACGTAGTGATAAATTTGTTTAAATTCGTTTTTAAAGTAGTACTTTCCTACCAAGGGGGCGTGCTCTTCTGGGATAGCGTAACACGTTTGCTAATTCGGAAGAAAAATTAACTTAACGTGTATGTAAAATTGAATTTAGAATCAAGTAACTGGCAATTAAAATATATAAAAGCTGCTAAAATAATGTGTTTTTGTAATGACACAATTTGAGTGTGTAATCGGCAATATACATATTTTATATTTTACATATGGTAAACAAGCTGTCGATGCACCTCATAGAAAGCGGTAACCGTCGCTTATAGTCATGACCAGTACCATGGACATCGCAGAATATATTGTTATATCTATGATACTTCTCATGCATTGCTCTTCCTACAGACTATGGTGTTATATTATATTTCTATATCCTGTAATTTTACTGTCGTATCCCCACTTAGAAACTGAAACACAGCCATGCAAGCACGGCTACTGCCGGATAAAATACGAGCGGGCAGAGGTGTCCAAGCTGATAACTTTTGTACTACCCAGTGGCATTTTATATTTTTAATAATATTTGGAATACGACGTTGGATCATCCTCTCACTTCATTGTATGTCACGCTAGTGTATTGTCCTTTTGACAATAACACAATAATTGTGATCTCTTTAATAAATTATATGTTTTAAGATCATTTCAAGCAATGTTTTACCTATCCTAATATACACATTCAGTTGTTTTTATTAGATACAGTAGACAGGAGTGACTTTTATGTTATATTAATATTTATTGTTAAACAACATATTAATCTATTGTTACCATATCATTAAACCTTATGTCAGTGGAGCTGAGAAGGCTTAATACTCATTTAAAATTAGTTACATTATGTAATTTAGTAAATGTTGACATTTTTCAATAAAAATAATTTATTTTAAGATGTTCCTATGTTGAATAAGATTAAATATGCATGTTGAACAAATATTTATGCTTTGCTTGATCAGTACTAAAATAATATAGTATAATGATTATATTAACAAATCTATATCAAAGTTTATGCATTCTCTTTATAATTAATTCAGTAATATTTTCATATCAAGAGCTCAGAATGTTTAGAGAAATAGAGTCTTAGAAACTCGTTATAGCAAATAAAAACAGAACAAATATATTTCAGCTCGCCTGTCGGAGTGAAATAGAGCAACGCGCTATAGAGCTAATGGAATTATTGAAGGACGACCGACTGTTAGTATTAGCTGCCAAGTATGCATCACGTTCTGGACGTATTCATTTGGCTGATAAGCTGTCCAATCTGGCGGATGCTTGGGAAAAAGAGGCTGACAAGCTGAATGTCGCACAAAATTCACACTTCCAAGAGCTGGATACTCAGGAGACTTATGACGTCACTAGCACGGAACAGGACTTGAACACCAGTTTAATTATTCCACATAAAGCGAAAGAGAAGAAAATAGAGAGTATTGCGCCCATTAAACCAGTGGTAGGTATTGAAATAATGTTTTTGTTTCCATATAATTGTTTATTAGTCGTTTAAGTTTATATTTCAATGTTGATATAATTTTCAGCCTATCAAGTCATCACCTGGCGGTGTAAGGAATCCATTTAGGAAGCAGCAAGAAACGACTAAGAGTGTGCAGAGCCCATTGAGTTTGACAGACAGGACTTTAGTAGAAGTGCATTCAACTGACGAACTTGCGGAAAATACAGATGTGAATATATTTTTTTATATTTTGAATACAATAACGTATCAAAAGTTAAAATTACTACAAAATATTGCAAGTTTTTAATAATTCAGTTCACACTATTTGTATTATCATCACACCTTAATATAATTATATTTTCTATTAACAACATATACATATATATAGTAACCGCGTATATTAAAATAATTTCTATTATTTGCTTTTACAGTTATTTATAGGTTAGGTAGGGATAATCAGTGAAAAAAGCGTTGAATATTTTTTTTATTAACACTTTGCTGACCAGTGACGAGTAAACTCGTCATTGCACTAGCGTGTAGATACGTCCTCTTACCTCGACGGGCAAGACCGTTTGGATTTACAAAGCGTTCACGACCGAAAAATTACTTACCTATTTAGGATTTTATCAAAATTTTAGTTTGATTCCAAAGATTTCATACATACATACATACATACATATCTGCCACGCCTGTCTCCCATTAGGGTAGGCAGAAACAATGGAACGCCAAATGCTTCGATTCAAACAAATCTCTTTCGCTTCTTCCATATTTATCAATCTTTTCATACACGCTCGCCGGTTACGGATACTTTTAATTTGGTCCTTCTTCAGCACGTCGCCTGTTTGGTCAACATACGTCTGTCTAGGGTGGCCCCTACCGACATCTCCATTCATTCTTGCTCGATAAATCTCTTTCGTAATTCTTCTTTCATTACAAAGATTTCAACCATGACAAAATTCCCGGTCAGCAAGGTGTTAAGTGTTTGAATACCTTAATTATTTTATATATCTTCCTTACAGCCACTGAAACCACTTGACGGTGAAACATTCGTTGATTGGTTTTCACGTAACAAACAAACATTGGAACAACAACATCCAGAGCTGACACCCTCGGAGCTGACTCGTCAAGGCGTCAGAATGTTCAAGAGCATCCAAACAAAAACGAATAGTAATGAAACCAATGGGCAGAAAAGGAAAATCGATGACGTTACAGAGATATCAGATGCTCCCGTTACGAGTGCCCCGAAACAGTCGAAATTAAGCGCCTTTGCGTTTCAAAAAAAATCTTAGAATTAAGCTAATTTATTAACGATTTAACTTTTTGACTGACAACTCGTTTTTTTATGCTTGACTATTAGTTTTTTAATGTAAATATAGGTATAAATGAAATAAAAGATAATTTTGTATATAGTTTGTCGTTATTAATTGACTAGTTCAGCTTCATCGGGCGGTGGAAATATTCCTTCTTTGAACATTCTCTGCCACTCGCTACCATTAGGGTATGCATACTTTTCTAAAGTTCCTGGCAGGAACTCTGTGCTATATCCGGGTATCTGAAATAAAAAAAATATATAAGTAAAAGGTAGACAGGTAAATACCAACGGTCATAGATAAAAATATCGACTACATAATATAGAATATTTCTGTATATACATATATTTAGATAGATATTTTGTGAATTCAAAATTCAAAATCAACAAAATATTTATTGGAAGTTTAATTTTTTTATCATTTAACAATTCATGTTCTTATAGAAAAGTTTTATTCAATTTTACTGATAGGATCTGTGTAGTAATTTAAAATAATAACTTGATAATTTGTAAACATCTACAGTCGTGATACATATGTAGTAAAATAAGCAGTAAGATATATGATGATAAATATTAAATTCACCTTACCTTTGGCGCCAGATATCTCGCATTCTCTACTATACAAGGATCGACGAAGTGTTCATGTTGTTGGTCTACGTATTCTATGAGTCGCCCTTCCATTGTTCCCGAGAGAGAGGCGTAGTCCCAAAACTGAAGGTGTTGCACCATCTCGCACAGGCCTATACCACCGGCGTGTGGACACACTTTTACTGGAATACAAAAATTAGATAATAAAATAACGAGGAAGGAATATCCTCATTACTTTCTAGGAGGGTTCCCCCCCGATGAGGCAAATAAAGGTATTAACATACACATATTATAACTTGCACACATTTCGCTGAGCGTAAAACTATAAACCTACCATGATTTCACTAGTGGTGTATATTGTATACATCGAAAAATAATAAATACTAACACTGGTCACGATAGGACTGTCCTGACAACTTTTCATCGCGTTAAGTCCCGGTCGTGTATTTAAAATATGTAAATGGGTTTTATTCAGCGAGGACTATCTTAGGGCATATAGCAGCCGTTGTATTATTTTGTTGCCCTTTTAGATGTAGACAAAAGTTAATTTCTCATTAACTTCTGTCCACATCACAGGAAATCGAAGCCAAGAATTTCAGAGTAGAGGTTCAGGTATCCTTGTGGAAAATGACGGAACAGTTTTTACCTTTAAGTTTCTCAGCCATGATATAAACCGAGAGTATCTCGTTGACACTGCCGATCCTAGCGGAGTCAATCTGGCAGTACTGCATGCCGCCGCTCTGCAGAAACTGCTTGAACATGACGCGGTTAGCGCACATCTCTCCTGTCGCCACACCAATCCCATATGGTCTGTACAGTGCAAAACGTTTTTTAATTATTATCCAGATATTTCAGTTCTCAATGACTCTATAATTTACTTTGGAAAAACTTTATAAAGCATTAGTGGGTATGTTTTGTACATGTATTTGTAGATTTATGTTAGTAAACGGTTAGGTATCGGATTTCTGCTAGAGTAGTAAAACGTCGACCATCCCATTAGGAATTTTAGTCGTAAGCATAATTTTCATTCGTTTTTCATAAGAGATTCTTCAAAATTTTTAAGATATTTATACCACCATCAGAGGGAGACTTTGTACAAAAGTCGTTTGCTTGGGCACCTATGTCCCATTCATGTTTCTACCGTGAAGCAGTTGTGTTTGCATGGCTGTGTTACGGTTTGAGGGGTGGGATATGGTAGTGAATTTATAGGGTACAAAGGAATAACACCTGAGTCTTCAGAAATAGCAACGCATGGGGGGTATTATGAGCGAAACAGCATACTCTATTATGCCCATAGTACTGCTCATGTCTATAGGCGACGGCTACCACTTTCCATCAGGTGAGCCGTCAGCTTGTTTGTACTTTTAAGTAGTATAAAAAAAAATATACTAACGATCTGGCCCGGCTTCGTATTGGTAGATAGAATTTTCGAAAATATTATATATAGCCTATGTTACTTGCTGATAATGTAGCTTTCTATAGATTAAAGAATTTTTGAAAATCAACCAATTTAATTTTTTTTTACAATACTTGTGAGTTCGTCCATTACAAATAAACAAATATTTTTTACTTAAAGCGTTAGTATAGAAGTATAGGCAATATTTTACCTTAGTGCTTTAGATATAGTAGCGTGGCCCAGCACGTCGTCGGGTGATGTAGGCTCTTCTATCCACAATGGTTTTAAAGGGGCCAGCTTCTTCACCCATTCTATAGCTTCGTTAACACTCCACGCTTGATTAGCATCAATCATCTGAAAACAGGATGTGTGGAGTTAATAGAATGTATACGACACCATAGTATTATATTATCTGTGACGACACTAAATTATTTTGATCAAAAAGTAGTCTATCTATATTTGTTAACTGCAATTTTTAATAAATGGTCATAATAAAATGCCATTGGACGCGCGCCATCTGGTCCCAAACTAAGTAGAACTTATACCGTGGGTACTGATAGAAATACTTAAATGTGTTTTTACTATATATATATATATATATATATATATATATATATATATATATACAGTTAGTTATAATACAAATATTTGTATTCTATATTTTGAATACACGACCATCTGAATGTAAAGCTGTGTGTTGGAGCCACTGACTAAGGTCGTCAAATAGTAGAAAGGTAAGAGTATGTTTTGCCTATTTATCTCTCATTCTGGCCATATGATTTATAATATCAGGGTATACATCTAATGTGGTTCATGTGCAGCAATAGAAAAAAATCAGGATAAAACTTATGATCGGATTGCTTACCAAAACTTTATCATTGCCAATATGGTTGCGGACAGCACTACACCTTCTATAATCGTCTTCAAAGTTGACTCCGACTTTAACTTTGAAATGTGTGAAGCCGAGGTTTAAATATTTATGGCACAGTGTTTTCACCAGTTCATCACTATAACCCATCCAACCTAAATAAATGATCAATTCAGTTTCAATTGAAGTTTTTATCTTGGCTTTTTTCGAAATATTTTTTTTTATAACCGATTTGTAATTATAATATTTTATAGTCTTACCAACTTGAGTCGTGTATGCTGGATATCCATTGTCGTTCAAATATTTCACCCTTTCGTTTTTTCCACTTTTCTTCGCTTTCAGCAATTGCACCGCTTCAGTTTTTGTAACGACGTCAGTTATGTAACGGAAATCAATAGTTGACACTAATTCCTATAAATATTAATAACATAATAAGTAACTAGGAATGTTATTTATTCATTAAGATAAAGTTTAATAACCTTACCTACTCGTATTATTAATGCGTAAGTGAGTCTGACCTGTTTTTTGGAATACCTAACCCGAAATATGAGAAAAGTTAAAGGTGATATTTTTTAATTAAAAATAGAATCACCAGATACAATTCAGAATTAATGAAGATATATCACATATAATGGGCATAAAAAGTGATATCTCTTATTGAAGTCGGTTAGAAAATCAATATGTGCTCGCAGGCTTCTACATTGATTGCTCTGGAATAAATTTATATAAAGATAATTGTAAAAGAAATAGATGAATGTAAAAACCACCATACCTCCGGTTCCATGTCAACCAATAGCCTCCACAGAGGTTTATTTTCAATCCTGGCCCATAAGTCCCAGAGTGCATTTAGAATAGCCGCTACAGCCAAATGAATAACCCCTTTCTCTGGCCCAATCTAAAAAAGGAGTAAAGAATTGGATAAAATTTCTAATACCTGTGTATGTTTCTGCCACCAAATATTTGTGCTTACAAGGCTATATTCTTGTAAACGCACTTAGTAATTTCAGTGAATTTTCCGCAATGAAGGTGTTAAATCTCGTAATTTAACACCTTTATTGCAGAATCTCTATGTATTCAAGGTGCTAGCCCTTTTTATAAATGCCGATTATTATTTTTATAGGCTTACAACTTATTTGTCGTTTACCTAGTAATATTTAAATCTTAGATTATATAGATAGAGCATCGAACCTCAAATACGGGTCAACTTTTTGTCAACTAATTGTCAAATTAGCTGACTCGTTTTTTTAATGTTATATACATATACTTACGCACCCAATGTACATTGACGTATTTAATTATTTAATAAACATATTGAGTTTTTACGCATTAAAAAGGTGAAGAAATTATAAGACAAAATAAATATAGAAGTTATAAAGAAATCACTCATAACTATTTATCACGCAAAATTGTATGAAAAAGTTGACCCACTCTTCTCGAAGCATTTTTATAGACATTTCATCTATATAATCTAAGATTTAAATATATAAGGTACCTAATAAGTTACATATATCAATTTTCAATGCAAGTGACACTAGCCTAGTGTACTGATATATTACTATATGTAGATACCTACTGGGAGAGATGGGTTTGTTAATAATGGGGATTATGGGGCTACCCATTACTAATAATACACCCTGTTAGGTTGATCTCCTCGCGGTTATTCCTGGAAACTATCGTGTTCAATTCGAAGTGTTTCAATTCAATTCATCACGACAGGTTAACCGACCTGCCTTTTTATCCTCACCTAACATCCCTCACTGGTGTTCCGGTAGCGTATACCATTAGAACAGACGGAGTTATCATTCCATTATCATCCATTTAAAAAATATTATGTCCCACTTACCCATCTCATCTGGGAATCATTAGTGATAGCTCGCCAGAAACTAGCAAAATCTGTGAAAATGTCCGCGGCGTTCTTGCCGAGTACAAATCTCTTCAATGCCCTAATTGTAAGTACGATGATCTCGGTACCGCGGCCGCATGTGAACGTCAGTCCAAAGCCCTGCTTGCCATTTTCAGTGGTAATGGTGACGTAGGCACATGAATAATTTGGATCCGTATGCTGTAAAAGATTTTTTTATGCAATTTAGAATGGCAAACTGACAGCCCACCTGATGTGATAACCGTCGCCTATAAACATGAGCAGTATCATGGACATAACAGAGTACATTGTTTCGCCCGTGATACCCCCCAATGTGTTGTCATTCTTGAGGACTCAGGTGTTATTCCTCTGTATCCTGTAAATTCGTCATGTCATTCGTCATAAAAATGACGTCATGAAATCCTTACTTTCTTTAAGGCTCAATAGTCACGTTTGGTAAACATTTTTTAATTGATAACAAATAAAAAAGAGTACGTCCTTCTTATGAAGATTAGCCATACTACATCTGATTGATATCCCACTGCTGGGCCCCTAAGAGGAGGATATTTATTTGTTATGTCACGTCGATCAAGAGTCTTGGTATATTGGATTTTATTTCAAGTGCTCATTTTTTGTCTATATATCCCAGCCATATCAATATGTCCTCGACGTGTAAACAATATCGCGAGCACAGCCAGTAAATATTATATTCCAATTAAAGATATTTTAATTTGGGAGAAGCTGATATTGTAATTACAAGTATGTTAGACCACTGATTACAGTATGTATTCAAACGATTGTTTCTAATTTATTTATTTACATTACACTGTAATTATTTACATACCGACTATTTTTTAGTGTATTAATAAATTCCTTGTTCTATAGTTCTATAGGTATATATATATAAAAAATATGAAACAATAGTAATTGTTAAATACTTGGATAATAATAATATTAGACGATAGATACTTCTCATTACAAGTCTCAAATACTTGTCTAAATAATAATAGCTTTAAAATTAAGTAGATACCTATTTGCAGTCGAATTATCCTTAAATAAGATGAACTATTATATATTATATTTACAGAAATATTAAATATTACATACCTATCGCAATAACTAAGTATTGTAAGCTGTGGTTGAAACAATAGTGTAAGAGGTACGGATGCAAAATCCCGCCGGATTCATAATTTTTAAATTGAAATTTGGAATACGATTTTCATACAATAGTGATGTGCCTATTAGTATAATTTTTATATACTCGTGCAGAAGAATGTCGTTGTAATAGATGTGTGATCACTATACTTTTTCTTATACCATATTATTAAAATTATAAGGCAGTGTCGATAGTATTAAAATTATAAATATTACCAAATAGAAATACTATGCAATGAGTATGGTATTTCTCTTAATTACCATGGGAACTAGAAATCATTGATTCTTCACGATCGAAACCGTGCAATATATCTAGTTTTAAATATATAAAAATTCCGGGTCAATGGATTTTAATGAAATTTAGTGAAAGTGTACCCATTGTTTGCTACAACTTGAGAGATAGGAATTTTTATCCCGATAAGAAAAACGGACCCAGTAGGTAACGATAAAAGGACACGTTTGCTGGGTCAACTAGTAATAGGTATATAAAATACTCACCAATGCATCGGATCCATGGCTTCCTAGTGAAGTGGGGAACCTGACGTCTTTTACATCGAGTTGTATAATCTTCAGGCCGTCTCTGTTAAGGGCTGGCATAGTGTTGCTTCAATGACAAGTATAGAAACACTGGCGGCTGCTGTCTACTACACCGCTGATAACCTTGCACCTCACATACCAAGAGCGTTCAACAAAAGTTATCATTGTGTTATGCACAATACAATAGTCGCCTGTCAGATAAATGAAGACCGTTTTTCGAATGTCCGGATCGTTAACACATATTTAGCCGCCTGTCAAATAAAGGAGGGTTATATTTCGAATGTCCAGATCTTTAAAGCAACACCTACACAATCCAAAAAGGCGAAAAAAATAGGATGTAGATGTCGCAGTAAAATAAAATATTGGATTTCGTCAAATACCTTGGCATGACACAAAATTATGGAAGATGATATAGATCTGTAATTTATAATAATAATAAATATTAAAATGTTTGATTGTATTTGTATAAATGAAATACACTGTATGAGTATTAGAACGCACACTATGCAATATTTTGTATGTATTTGCATGCGCATGGACAGCGGGCTCGATGCGTTGCGCCATTTATTTTACTAATACCGTTATTTTACCAAAAAATCTATCTAACGATTTTTAAACGCCGTGCTTATATTTATAATTATTCTACTTGAGCTTAATCTTCAATTACGATCACGCATTGTTTTCTGTTATAACTTATGTGAAAGACGAGGCAGTATGTGCAAAAAGTAACCAGTTTTCTAGCATACTAGTATCTAAACATATAATTAAATTAAATGTTTTTACTGAAAAAAATTGTAATATGAAAAAAAAATACTCTGTGTACAGTAATACGTTCCTTTCCTAAAAGTGGATTCACAATAAAAGAACAGAATGAACATAGAACAAGAGTTATTACATAGAACCGACCAATTGGATAACAACATACAAAATTATTTTTGGATGCGATACAAGATAAATTTTCTTAAAACGTTTAACACGTTTACACCAAAACATAGGCTTGAAAGCGATCGGTCTAATTGACTATGTTTAGCCAGGCTTTCCAAAATCTAGCGATTACACTACATAGTATAAAGTGGCTTCCCGTATCTGTCCCTATGTATGCTTAGATCTTTAAAACTATACAACAGATTTTGATGCGAATTTTTTTAATAGATAGAGTGATTCAAGAGGAAGGTTTATATGTATAATACATGTATAATATAATAGAAAAATACTGATAATTTTAGAAGTTTCTAATGTCATGTGAAGTAATGTCCATCCGTGAGAAGCAAGGGCGGGTCACTAGTAAAGAATAAAACAAAGTCCTTTCTGTATAAAATAGGTATGTATATTACGAATTCCGTATATAAAAATAATTTCATCGTATTAAGTAGGTATATAGGTACAATAACTCCATTATATTAAGTAGGTAAATACATCAAATTATGGGTAAAAAAATATTACTCTACATAAACTATGTATAAGCGACTTTCTACCTTGTCTTACAAAACATTTATTAGTTTAGAACTATTGTGACAAAGTTCTGAAAGGTTTACTTAATTATTAAGTACATTCACGTACAAAGTATTTTTTCCGGTGTCGATTGAATTATGAACAACAATTTAGAATTTAACATAAATAATTAACAAGTTTTTCCTACAATTTATTTTGAACGCATCGATGTTGCAAATATACTCTAGCTTGTGGCAAACGAAGAAAAGTTAAGCCGAGTACATTATATTATATATTCGCTCATCTTTCATTTAATTAAAATTTCATTATAAAGTTCTAAAGAAATCAACAGCCGGATTTTAACCTAATTATTCCCACACACCAGGTGCTGTGTATCAGCAACATAGCAGTCTTAACCGTTCTATGACTATACTTATTAAGCTAAAACAATATATATGTTTGCTCTGCAATTGTAACATGTGCGTAAAATGACAGTAACATACATACCTTAATTTAAAAAGTACAGTATAATAAAAGTATAACTATAATATTACAAAAAAATATGTCTTTATACAAGCTAAATAAGGAATGAATGTGTATATATATATATATATATATATATATATATAGTATTTGTATTACTAAATGTATCCTCACAGTAATACAGTGACTATACTGAACACAAAGTTAGATTTTAATTACATTTCTTTGCACATTTTAATAAAAGATAAGATTAAGCCCTACAAGCACGAGGCGATTATGGTAACGATCTATATATTTTTATTTATACAACTTAGAATGGCAAACAAGCTGACGCCCCACCTGATGGAAAATGGTAACCGTCGCCTATAGATATGAGCAGTACCATGGACATAACAAAGTATACTGTTTCGCCCATGATACCCCCCATGCGTTGCCATTACTGAGGACACAGGTGTTATTCCTCTGTACCCAGTAAATTCACGCCATGTCCCACCCTTTAAACCGAAACACAGCCATGCAAACACAACTGCTTCACGGTTGAAACACGAATGGGACAGAGGTACCCAAGCAATCGACTTTTGTACAAATTTTTGTATAACATGAATCGTTATATTTATCGTGTTGGTAGACAGAAGCGCATATGGTACTTATTTTGGCTTATAATCACAATAATACACTTATAATCTAAAAATACCTAAATATTTTTTCAATTTGTTACAATACTATTATCTTCATAAAAAATAACAAGTCCTTATATTACAAATTTTTGTGAGACCATTCCAATTAAATAATTTTATTAATAATCAAAATAACGCTACCACAGATAAATATCACATAACAATTTCAGTTGGTAGTAATTTGTATAAATTTTCTCCATGTTGGATACATGGATTCATGGCTTTGGCGAAATGTGGGAAAATCGAATGACCTTCACTACTAAGTAGCTTACCCCAATATATTATTAAATTCCTAATATATATATATATATATATATATATATATATTATTTGGGTGATCCATTTCTACACAGTAAGCCAGTGTATCGGGGAGCTGGTCTGATTCCCAGACACCTAATGTTCCCAACACTCTATCTAACTCTGTATGTGTTCTGTATTACATAATTATTTTCTCTCTCACTGCATTGGGTTGGCTGAAAGAGATCTCTTTTAGAGATACGCCTACCTCAGCTAACAAGTTGTTGAACTAATCGCAGTTTTTTTTTTTAAGTACAAAAAAATATATATAATTTCTAATAATATTTATGCTGAAAATTTATTTTATTATAATTTTTACCCTTTATTTTCATATATAATTGAAACCCTCGATGCGCGAAATCAACTTGCACTTGGCCGTTTTTTTCTTTATATAGCCTCGTTTTTAATGTTTACAATAAAAAATAGATACTATAAAATTATTTTACAAAATTACAAATTTTTATACCTTTCACAGCATTGTTTTTAGAAAAAAAAATGTAAAAAATTTTAGAGAATATAAACAATTAATTATCCAACAAAAATGTATCATGTAAACTATTTATGTATTTGTTAAGTATCTACTTCTTGTTTTTCTTGTTCTTCTTGTATAACAATGAAAGTGCTTTAACTACTTCCCTCTCGCCTTGCTCCCATAACAATCTAGCCAAGTGACCTAGTGATGGATCTTCAGTGTTTCGAGACCAGTCCAGCAGTAACTTATAGCGAGCCTGCAAATAACATATTATATAATTGAACTGTGATATATCTATGGCTTAATCAGAATTGCTACCAAATTGAAAAGTCAGCGATCTATATAGCCTAAGACAGAAATCCGTGTAGTATTCATTGTGAGGGACATTCCTGATGGACTCAACTTTCATCTTTAAATTAACGACTGAGAAGAAGGTCAATGTATTTGAATCTCATCAGATTAAGAAGGTACATTTTTCAAGTGAGAAATTGTTTCATTCATTCATATAACACTTTTTTGCATAATAAAGTTTATCATTTCTCACAGCTAATAATAGTAAAACAATAAAAGACATTAAACAACGAACATTACCTCTGCAACGCCATTTTTACTTTCATCAATTTCAAATGTTTCAATTCTGCCTCTTGTATAGCCCATTGCTACAAATAAATTACGCCAGTTTCTACCCAAATTTTTTGATACAAAATCCATATATTCATATTCAACCTAAAAAGACAAGTGCATCTTTTTGAACAATAGTAATAAAATATTTATAGCATTTTTATACATAGCTATCAAATTCTATATTAAATAATAATAATATACTAAATCACTCATGAGAGGTGCTATGAATGGCATATATATTCCATGATGTCCACTATTTCCTGATTAATTGATAAAATTTAAACTGCCAATTTGATTAAAAATTTATCCTCACCTATCACCTCTCACTGGTACCCCGTCAGTGTATAACTATAGTGCAATCATAGTTACCATGCCACTTTCACCCATTAAAAAAATTTTCTTTGTATGAAGAATTTTGTGTCACTATATCACATAAAATCAAAACCAATTGATTTAAATTTGGTTTCACACAGTTATTAATATTCACAGGAAATTCAAGTGATCTAATTTCAACCAACTAATTTTATCCTTCACTAGTGCCATTGTATACCATTAGAATAAATGGGTGTACCATTCTATCTTCATCTATTAAAGTTATGGGCGTTTGTCAATATAAAGGATTCCTGTTATCTTTTACAATTTATTTTATTATACGACATAAAAAATGCATTGTAATGGATTACCTCTTCCTTAGCTTCCATGAGCAATGTTATTAGATTGTCCTTTTCAATATTTTCTTCATGGGGATCTATATTTTTCTTTTGTTGATTAGATGGTCCCATATTGTATGAATAGGTGTTGCCCCAGTGAACACGGGAACTGTTCACTATATTCACCACATGTCCAGTTGCTACAATGAAATAATATATATTCTTAATATAATAAATGTGAAAGTTTATAATGATGGATAAATGTATGTTTGTTAATTTTTGACAGAAATATTATTAAAAGGATTTTAATGAAATTTTGTACATTGGTAGGTTATATCTTGATTTAGCACATAAGATACTTTATATACATTTGATTTAAATAGCCAGAGCCATACACAGATACAGCTAGTAATAAATAATGAAATAATCTATTTAAAAAAGAAATTGCTTGTTCTTTTATTAATTGTAACATGAATTTTACATTTACATAAAAGATTTTGAACCTATATATGTGAATGTTATTCTTTATTGCACTTGAACAAAAGATACAGCAATTAGTTTAACAACTTGTTAGCAAGGGTCGGCTTATCTCTAAAAGAGGTAATCTATTTGACAGGTAATCTAGTGCAGGAAAGGTACAGGTAAAAATAATGTAAATAAAACAAACATACACAAATTGTAATAAATAAATACATATATGTATAACACATATAATACTAATTAATTATATATTAAGTATATATTAATAATGTTCATCAAGGATCAACTACAGGTTGTTTACAAGAATGAATATGATTCATCATTTCTATATGCTTTATCAGCTACAAAATATCTGCCTCTTACAAACATAAAAATAATTGAATATCCAAACAGCTCACCTTGTGTGTTTATCATGAAGTCTTTGTTTGGAATGTTAAATTCATTTTTTTTTGTTTTTGATTTATTGAACCCATTCTTTTTTTTGTTCTGTTTGAAGAATGAATTATTAAGTTTAGGATCTTCTTCAACATTGTCTTCAATTAATATTTCTTCAGGCTCAAGATTTGGTGATCCTGGTTCCTGATTCTGATTTCTGGGTTGACTTTCCTCATTTACTTCAGTATTTTGGTTAGGGTCTTGGCGAGGTGGCCTTGGCACTGCATCCGATTTCAGACTTTTTCGAATAATATCTAATATTTTTGTCATAGTTGTCATAATAGGCACAGTTGAGAACAATATATATATAAAAAAAAACACTTATAAAGACAAAAGTTAAGATATATATATTTAACTCATTTAATACAAATCCAATGTTGTCACTAATGAACTTGATTTATAATAAGCACCGTTAAAAATAAGTAGATTGGTCAAGAATTTAACAAATTAGGTAGACAAGTCGATCGTATGATCACGATAAGTAATGTACGCAAATTATTATTTTTTGCAATAGTGATAATTGTAAATGAAAGGAAAGTTGATTTATTAGGTAAAAATTATCAATGAAATCTAATTAACAAGGCAGACGTTTATTTTTACCTATTGTCAAAGTCATATTAATTGTCAATGTCAAACAATTTTGTTAATAGATTAAGTATAGCATTCCATTTTAACAGTGTCTTCTGTTTGTGATTTTACTTGCGATCTGAATGCAAGGAAGAACACAAAAAGTTGAGAATTTAATTAGTACAAACAGTAAACAATCTTCATAATATTTTTTATCGAATTTATAATAATTCAAAACAGGCAATTATAAAGTATGCAAAAATAAATAATTAACAAATATAAAAGTATTTTCCATTTAGCTATTTATAAGACTACTCGTCTAATCATATCATGTGTTGTGCCATAGGTGTTCTTTTCTAATAATTTCTTCGGCTCTAAAGTTAGGGCACACGGATAAGCAATATGCAATCCTTTTTTCCATACCGTAGATAACAGACAAATCCACAAACAACTCCATTGACTCAGAGGGTAGACGTCCGGCTGGAGATAGGTCATAAAACTAAATGCCATAAAAGTCATATAGCGTCCACCCCAAATAATTAAGATAGTAAGGTGATGATATTTCGATAAAAAAAATATACCAAGATTGTTGATTAATTTTTTCAAGAACAAATCATAAAAAATAAATTTCTTCTATTTTTTTGATAGAAAATTCAATACTAACAGTAGTTAGGCACCTACCCAGTTTAATAAGTTTTTTTAATGATTTTAAATAGTATTACATAATTTACTTATAATTATATTTTAATACACTATTATTGCGTAATTAACGTTTTAGTTCGCAACCAGAACACTTTTTAAATTATTAATCGGAAACATTGAAAATTATTCAGTTATTTTTGAAAATAGACTAATAATGTGACGTTATTTTTAATACAGTTAATTTTTAATATACTTGTTGTCTGACCCAGCAAATTTAATTTTGTGCTACTCCATTGCCTACAGTGTCGATTCTTTTCTTACTAGAATAAATTTTATCATTTCTCACATATTAAAACAAACAATATACATTTATTAAAGGAAGTACCTATTGTGACAATGGATTTTTATATAGATATCGTAAACTTATTGAAACCTGTTGTCCGCTGGTCGTTGATGAGCCCCTATTGTTATATTTACAGGCTCAGTCTAGTATAGGCTAGTCAATCTAGTATATACTAGGCAGTCTAGTATATTAATGCTTAACTTTATACTTTTACAATTTTTTTTTTTATTATTAAAAACATTTATACTTCTTTTTTAAAGAGGTTACCTACTATTTCTTCACAAAACTATACTACTACATGTAGGTGTCATGTATACTGGATAGAAAAAAAAGATATCTAAGTTTCATTTTTGTGAAACATTATTATTAATATGTATTATTATGTCATTAAAAAAGAGGTAAAGAGATTTCTTCAGGATCGTTACCATGCGCATAATGCCCCTGATGTTGCTGATGTTCATAGGTTATGGTAACCGCTTAACATCAGGTGGGTCGTATGCTTGTTTGCATTTCAGTGGTATAAAAAAATATTATTTATATTAACTAGTCCATAACACACGAACTAAAGCTATGGAGTATGCACATTTGTATAGGTACATTACCAACAAATCTCTATACAAAAGATTCGTGACTCACTGTAAATCAATTGAAGTTGGTAATGTAAATGGGAATTCCGATAATGGGGGAAACCTACAGTTACTATGGCAACTATCGTAGCATACTCAATTCGGACACAAACAATAAAACATGCAAAATAACTTGAGATAACTTCTTAGGGTCACAAAAAACAAAACTATGAAAATACCGTTATATCGTTCAATATTAATATTATAGTGATAAACACACAACAAATGTGAAAATATACAGATATAAATTATGATAAATCTTATTGCTTACGCAATTATTTAATTTAATGGAATATTTGCGAAGCATGAGCATGACGTGACAATCATTTTAATAGATTTAATCAATTAAATGTTTAACGAAATACAAATCATTAGTTGGGATTCACTCATGGGATCTCCCGAGTCCATATCGAGTAATGTGTCGATTCTGACGTCATTGTATTTTATTGTCATAAGTAATAACAGAGTAATGACCTCTCATACAGATAGATTCTACAGAAAAATTATACCATGTTTTAATACGTTGTTGATTGTTCGTTTTAACACAGGAGCAAGCAGTTTTGAAACAATTTGCACTTGGAATAGTTTCTGGCTGCTTGCACAAAATTTGTAGGTACTTTTTGATAAAAAAAGTAAATGTTCTATTTTTTAAATAAATCATATTATTGGCAAATTTATTAGCAAGTTTTCCCTTTGTCAAATATACAGTACGACTTTTACATGAAATAATGACATTTTGAGAATATCTTTATTCGTTAAAAGTGATTACCAAGATGAATACAACATGTACTTCATCGAATTCTTCTATATCAGTATTGATATCAAATTTATTAAAACTAGGATTATTTGAAACAATATATGCTAAGAGCAATTCAGATCCATGTTCGAAAGCAAATTCTCCGAGAAAAGATCCGTGTGCATCTTCACCGCCTCCGCCGTCTACACCATCTGTAGACAGATGTGCTTCGGGTGATGCTCCTTCGCCTCGTAAATGTTCATGTAACATGCCCGAGAACAATAAAAATAATAAATGTACAGTCGGAGATCGGGGCAAAACTGGGGCTGGGGTTACAGGATCACGTACCGGACGTGTTGTTGAGAAAGATCCCGATGTTCTGCCTGCAGGAGCAACGAATCCGGGTCTCCTACGCTATATACATAATGCAGCACGCTACCGTCTGCCTCAATGTTTTGAAGGAGGCTGTGTATCTGTCAAACAGAAATCTAAAAACAATTGGGTTCTGGGCCATTCATTGTCTTTTAGTTCGGTGTCTCCGGGCGGTTACAAAGTGCTGCTCTCCTATGTCGATAAGAAGAAGCCTGTAGGAATTCCATATTTTGTGATGGAAGCCGCTCCTGGTGGTCAAATGAGCTGCGAAATGCGAGTAGGGCCAAGTCAAAGCACCCGAGCCACTATTGTTGCCCAAATTGCCGATGCTGAGTTTTACAGCTTTGAGAGCATTTTTGATGCATATTTCAATAGTTTCACCGCATCTATAATTGCAGTGAACCGCGAGTTTATTGCTGTTCATTATTTACAGGTAACGTAATGTGTCATGGTATAATATCAATTTTCAAAAAAATTTCACATACTTATTTCGATTTTCTTTTTATTCGACTTCAGAAAAAGAATTAGGTTGTATTTTTTGTGTTTGTTTCTTTTATATTTAATAACTCTGTCAGTTCTAAACAAATTGGGAAAATTCTTTTTTCATTTGAAAGGATATAATTACAGATTGGTTTCATAGAAATTTGATCTAAATCGGTTGGCTAGTTTAATTTTTAGATCAACATAAATGGTTTTGTCACAGTTGAAATCGGTTTTTATATGGAATCTTTAATTATTATTTATATAACCAACACAATAGTTTTTCTGTAGATAAAAAGTTAAGAAAATATATATACTTTGTTTTGTCTATACAGGCAATAACTGAACAAATATCTCTCGGTGCGGAGGTGGTGGCCCGCGGGCACGTTGCAGAGCTCAGCTCCGCGTCGGCTGCCAGCCGCTGGGTCGGCGAGGACCAATCTGTAAGCGCCACCCTCGGGAACAGAGGCTTGGATCTCTGTTATGCTAGAGTCATTAAACCATATCTTACAGTAGCTGCGATGCTTGAGGTAAATATGGCTGTATATTATAATTCTGCTATTTGACTTGGCGACTGGTAAAGGACGACGGGGCTAAACGTTTTGCCCTGTTGTCATTTACCAAGTTAATTTTTCCTTAATAGGAAAAAAAATATCCTTCCTTACAAGTCCGAGAGTTGGTGTAAACAATATGTACCTACAGGGGGGAAGGGATTGTTAGTAATGGGCAGGGTAGTCCCCATTGCTATCAATATACCCTATCAGGTCGACCTCCACGCGGTTCCCCCTGGAAACTATCGGGACTTGAATCCGTCACGATGGGCTTACTGACCTGCCTTTTCAATTTCACCTATCATCCCTCACTGGTGCCCCGCCAGCGTATACCGATAGCGCAAGCGGGGCTACTATGCCCTTTTCACCCATTAAAAAAAAATGTACTTACACATTTACAAAACTTCATTAAAATCGGTTGGTGATTTCAGAGATTTTTTTTGTAATGAGATGGTAAATAGGTAGAGACATTTTGTTAGGGATTAACTTGGTAAAATCTCTCTTGATACTTACTAAAAGTGCCTATATTTGGAGTAATATATGAGTCATTTACATTAAAGATTTTTGGTAACAATTTCGGACTAACTCTCTGGTGATGGGAAACACCAATAACAAATCAAACTTAATTTAATGACGGCGGTAGGCACGCTCCCTACCACATTGGATTCTAATATATATTTTTTTATGATCGACGAAATATACACATGTCGTTTGTTATATTCATTACAGCGGCAACAACAGTCGACAAATTCTTACTACCCTATTAGGAATTGTAGTCGTGAACATTTCTAAATAATTATATATTTTTGTTATAATCGGATCATTAGTAATTAGTAACTTACAAAAACAACAATGAACTAAATTGAATCCAAATAACGGCTTAAAATATCTAGCTAGAATTGTAATCTTCTTCTTTTAATTTAAGAGTTTCCTCTTGTCGGTGCAACTAATTCATGCATCTTCTTCCAGCCAGCTCTATCCCAGGCCATATCCTTGATCTCCCTATACGACATGACACCTAGTGTTTCTTTTATCTGTCCCATGTAGTTATTCTTCGGTCTTCCTCTTCCTCTTTTACCCTCTATTTTTCCTTCTACTATGTTCTTAAAAAAATCGTCATGTCATATAATGTGGCCCAGCATTTTGTCTCTTCTATTCTCTATTATTTTAATTAATGTTCTTTTCTCATTCACTCTTTTCAGGATTTCAGAATTGTTATAATTACATATATTTTTATTTCTATTTTATTTTTAAATGTTCGCTTTCGAAATACCTGCAGCGCGATTATTTATATTTATTAGGACTTTGTAATTAATAAACCTGAAATTCAAAATAGTACCTATACACTGTGGAACCATATTTCCGTGATCTTCTTTTAAATTATTTTAAAAATATAATAAAATCGTTATTATTTGATAGGTTGGATTCGCAATTCGCCGCGCTGTTGCCACTCTGGCTTACGAATGGCACACTGATGAGTGGACAGTGCGAGGTTCTGCAGACTCGGACGGTCTTGTTGGAGCCACGCTTCAGCGCGCTCTTGGAGGGAAGAAAGCCCAGCTTGCATGTGCCATCTCCGCACTTCTTAACCACCCCAACGACAAATTTAGACTCGGATTTGGAATCACTGCTGCCATTATTTGATAATAAAAAGTAATTATACTTAAATGTTTTATAGCTAAAGTCACTTATATTTTTATTAATTGAAACTAAACGGTAGGTACTATTTTCTTTGTATCATTATTAAATTTGAGGCTTGTTATTTTTAAATGTTTGTGTTACTAATTTTAGATACGTACTTTAGAAATAATTTGTTAGTATACTTATATTGTTTAGGAAATTTCATAGGTTATTTCTAATAAATAATACTAATAAATTTAATTTAAAACTGTCACTTTTTACTCACCCTAAATATCCTAGTATCAACATGAAAGTTATGTCCCACGAGATCATTAATATATTTCAAAACCTTGTCCATACACAAGCACTAAAGGAGACCATGAAATCATATTAAAAATTCACATTCAATATAACGATAATGTAGGCGTGTATTATGCACCATCGGGTGTATCAGTGCTCCGTTCGGAACCGCGTCCGCAGGAGGGCGCGTGCGCGTAACATGGGCGGAGTTTCTAATGCCGCCCTCGTGCACCCCTCAACGGAAATCCAATCTTATTACTTTCACAATAAAACAAAATGTAGATTGTAACATTGTTAAATGGAGAAGTGTGGGCGTACGACCGCCTTCAGTCCGGCGCGTAGTCCATAGAGCGTGGCGAGTGATGGCCGCGCGCGGCGACGCGTGCTCTCGCCAGTAATGGTGATGGAGCGGCTGGCGGACTTCGTCAGCAAATCTTTGGAAGGCGGCGAGGCACCGGCGCCGCCGCCGGAGCCCGGAGAGCCGGACGACGTGGATGATGTGGAAGTGGACATCACAGCGCTCGAGGACAAGGCGCCGCCGGCCAAGAAGCCGCGTAACTGGCTGGTCTCGCCGGTGCCAGTGCAGCACTGCAAAAGGGAATCTGCTATGGATGACGACGACGACAGCAAGCACGGTGAGTTTGTGCTGTATGGATTGAAACAAAGAGAAGACTCTGTTGGATATATACATGATATAGGTATACCTGCGTATGTAGGTAGGTATTATGTATGCATACATAATAGCGTAGGTGCATCTATAGGTATCTATGAATATATCTACATGTGGAATACATGTAATGATATATGTTAGATTGTAAAAAGATCATTTTGAAAGGTTTAAAGCACAGGTAAGTTTAAAAAACATATCCGCCTAACAGAAGACCTATATGATAAGATTGTTATAATGTCAAATACATATGTCGATACACTTTCTCAAAGAAGAAGGTCCGGGGTTCATTTTTCTGATGTTGGAGACTTAGGTCATGCAAGAATCACTTAATATCAGGCGGAGCGTATACTTACTTACAATTTAAATGCGATTGTTTTGAAATATGAATGAAACCTTTAAATAAGTTGGGAAAAATAATATAATATAATAAATAATATAATATTAAGGTTTAAATTCATGATGTATATATTCTTATTATATGTAATGGTCAAGTGATCTATATAGGAACTATATAGGACTATCGTCAGTTATGTACCAACAAGTTTTGATTCGCTTGTGATTTTAATAAAATATTTAAAAATAACTGTTTGCGTTAGGTCTCTTATAAACATTTTTTGTGTGTTTAACCAAAAATAGTGTAATTAGGTTTTACATATAGCGCAAATAATACAAACCTTTATTTACTTTTATCTATGGTAATCCTTTGTTGCATCCGTGTTTTAGTCATAGACTAAAACACTGCACTATAGAGTGCAGCAATAACGACGGAAAGTCTATAGAACTTAATGAATAGGTAACCAAGTGTTGACTAAAATTATCATAGAAAAACTCTATAAATGAAATTGATCATAAATACAAAACAATCAATTAATTAATCGATTTTTTGCACTTTTTTTATTGGGTGATAATGAAATGGTTACCCCACTTGCGCTACCGGTATACATTGGCGGGGCACCAGTGAGAAATGATATGTGAGGATGAAGCAGGTCAGTTAGTCCATCGTAACGAATCCAACAAGAATTATTCACGATGGTTTCCAGGGGGAACCACGTGAAGGTCGACCTGATAGGGCATATTGCTAGCAATGGGGCTGTTAAACTCCATTGCTAACAATCCCTTTTCCCCCGATATTTTGTACTAGGTACTATTGGACATAAACAGGCGGTCAGATCAATTGTTAGTTTTTTTTACATTTTCATTAAATTTTAACCAATTTTGTGGAGAGGAAAGGATTGTTAGTAGGTAATGGAGAGGTAAGTCCCCATTGTTATCAATATATTCTATCAGGTCGACCTCCACGCGATTCCCCCTGAAAAATATCGTGACTAAGTTATCGTTGAATTCGTCACGATGGACTGACCTGCCTTTTCATCCTCACTTATCACCTTGCAGTGGTACCTCCTGCCAGTGTATACCGATAGTGCAGGTGGGGTTACCGTGCCATTTTCCCCCAATAAGAAAAAATTTTAGTAAACACAATACTTCAATTTTAATAATTTTAAAAGCTATAATTTCTTTTAACAAAACTTAATGAAAATGTACAAAAACTAACAATTGACCAAACAGTCTGCTAATATCCAATAGTAATGCAAAATATCAATTAATTGTTTGTTGTTAAAAGGCCAGGTCTTTATTAAAATCCATATTAAGAGACTTTTATACCATAGTCGTGGCAAACAAGCTTATGCTCCACCTGATGGTAAGCGGTTACCGTAGCCTATGAACGCTTGCAATACAAAGGACGTTATGCGTTGCTGACCCTGAAGATTCTAATTTACTCCTTTATGTAATAATTTCATGCTTCACGTCTTTTTGCAATCTATAGGGTTTACTCTTGTGTTGGGATTTGATACAAATTTTTTGATGATTAAATCTGCCGTTTTTTTTGAAGAGTAAAAAACTGCTTTTAGATTTTTAATGCATTATGCATTTATAAAACAAGTTATTGTTTATTGCTGTATTTAGTCGCTATTTGTTTTGTGAAGCAATATAATTACGTTCAGAAATTGGTTGTTTCTAAAGAATATATAAATATGTATTAGATTACACTTATTTCATTTCGTTTAAAAGATTTCCTGTTAGTCTTAGAAACTGTGAGTGTGTGTGAAAAACAATCAAACATTGGGACCGATTTTGAGGTGCCATTTTTATAAATTTATGTCTTAACCTTATGTTTTTATTTGATAATTTCGTGAATTATTGTTTTATGAGAGACGGAGATGATGTCACGACCTCAAATGCATTGCAAAATGTCAGTGGATGCAGGTGGCTCAGGCAACCCTTCCTTATGGCAGTAAATGGGGGAGGCCTATGTCCAGCACTGGGCAGGTAATGGCTGAGGTGATGATGATGATGAATGTTTTATGAACCATATATTAAAATTATTATAATTATGACTTGAATTTTTTAGAAAAGTAGTTCATATATAAAGACATTTTGAAAAATTGCGCTCTAGAATCGACCTCATTACTGGTACAACAACAGCCTTTTACAAAATTTAAATATTCTTAATTAATATATTCTTCGACTGTCAGTTCCACATCTTTTTTCTTGCTTCTTGCAATGTTAAGTACCTAATACTTTAAGGCTGAACCTCCAGGCAAAATATCTTTTACCGTTAAACGCACAGAGGTTTTTAGACGTCGTTTGATCTTTATCTTGTTCATCTTTATAAGACTACAAAGATCTATTTTTTTTAATGAGTGATAGTGAAATGGTAACTTCATGTGTGCTATCAGTATACGTGTATGTGTAGTAACCAACGCCGTTTTATAGCATTTTATATGTGATTCTTTATATTATTATAACTTTTTTATTTATAAACCTATTGAAATAAAATAAACACTAAATGCTAAGTGGAGCAAACCGCAAAGCATAAGGGAAAACCGCATTTAAATCGGTCGAGCCGTTTCTGAAATTAGTGTGCTCAAACGTACAGATAAACAGAACTATAGATAAAAAGACATATAGATAAACAGACAAAAATCCTAAAATTCCTTTTTTTTTTGGGTTCTATTGCGTTAATAAAGCCCTCTATAATAGTTTTTTTTATATATCTTCCATGTACAGACAGCGACCAGTTACAATTTTATTATATGTATAGATGTATACCTAGATTAAACATAATTACCATCGCTAAGTTTGTTTTATTTGATGTCTTTAGAAGTGTAGCGGTTTACATTCTGCATTTTCTAATTATTGCTATATGTAGTGGTTTAAGATACAATTTTACTTATTCTGATAGGTGTGACTTTTTAATGAATTATAAAGGAATGGTAACCCCCCCTGTTTATCTCTTTAGTAAGCTTTATTGTATAGATTTCAAAAAAAGAAAATTATTTATTCAATCTTAATGGTTTTTATTTTTTAGTATTTTACACTTTGTATAGTACATAGTATGTATATTTTATTTCAATATAATTTAATGACAAGGTAAGGTCAAATATTATAGAAATACTAGAACATTTAATCAATACATTTTTGATCAATACTACTTAGTACTGATCAAAAATGTATTGATTATGTATTGAAAATGTATTGATTAAAATTTAAATTAATAATTAAAATTTTAAATTAAAAAAATAACTACTGATGTCTACTAAGTAGTACTTACTACTTAGTAGACATCAGTAGTTATTTTTTTACAATTTTATTGAAACAGACTGTAGAAACATTGATTAATTAAGGGAAATGATACTTTTTCTCGATTGATACACAGTATTCAGTATTTTACTAACTATAGTATCACAAAATATATAAATATGACAGTTTGGAGCGATTATTTTTTTTGCCTTGCTTCGATTTTTCAAAATACCTATTAACAGGAATTAAGATTTTTTAATAAGTAGCACGTTAATAATAGAATTTTATAATACTGCATTCCATAATTTTTCTACAGTCTTTTAAACTTAAAACATAAATATATATACTTTCACCTTATTTTGGAAAGATACCCGTACCGTAATACCATATCATCATCCGAGGTATACTTAGGTTAAAATAACAAAAATAGGTAGGTAGCTGTAGGTCTAATTAACCTCAGATCAGTTATAACTCAGATTACGAATTAAGTAAATTTCTATTGTTATTTATCAAGGACTCGAAACAACAATCCGGATTACAGACAATCATTAATGAATATCATTGAGGATTATCGCCGGGAGACGAGCAAAATAAATGAAATGAAAAAGCCCTTAATGGATATCTGGAAAAGACTTTTCAATCAAATAAATCACAGGCAGTGAGAATTTAACGGGGGCATTCGACAATTAATCACTGTTCTCAGGTCGATAAATGTCTAAGGAGTTTGGAAGCCCTCGAGACGAAAGGGGAGAGCGGGTGTGGCCCACAGCGCCGCCCACACTTGGATAATCCCTCCATTTACATAATTGCCGTATAAAAAGAGAGCTTCCCAATTTGCTAAATTGCTTTAAACGACATTGAACGTATCACTCGCTCGTTTGTCAATGCGACTAATGTAAGGCACCGACCTAGGACCTTTGCAAAGTGACATAGCCAGGTCCATACTGTCAAATGCAAGATATAAAGGTACTCAACTTATAGTAATGGACTGATAGTCTGTATGCGACTTTATCCACGTGGGGATATATCGGTTGACTGGGATTAAAAATTGCGTACGTCGTTCTTCCATATAAAATGTATTTCGTAAAAGTTTATTCGTCATATTTAGCAGTTGTTGAAGTAACAAATAAACTCAGTCTCACATTTCTAACGTTACTAGCTGTGCTTCTGTAACTTTGTCTTCATAATATTAGTAAAAAATATCGGATCTAACTGTAAAATGTATGAAAAAGTGTCCATACATTATGACATAATGATTAATCAAGAGGTAACAAATTCACTTTCCAATTATTAAAATTACAAAATTATTAAAACTTTAAAATTACAGTCAAATTGATTGATTCTTTATTTGAAATCAGGAAATCTATTGAAATAATAATAAATACATTTATTATATACCTACAACGTGTGTACCATAGGTACATAACGTTATTTGATACTAGCTTTTACCCGCAATTTCATCGCGTGGACTTTGGAAGTAGATTACTACTTACAAACGGCGTATCAAAATAAAAAGTTTTTTTGTATGTTTGTTGCGACATTATGTAAAAACTACTACACCAAATTGAATGTGGTTTTTAGAATTGTGTTTCTGAAGGTTTAACTTAAAAACTGGTGTATGATTTTATCTAGATATGCTATCTAAAATGGTCTATTTTTATTAGTTTTCTGACTTCTGAAAAACAAGCAAGCTACCAAGTATACAAAGTAAAAACCTACTTATATTATATTGGTCAGTTAAGAAAACTATTGACTGTGTGGTCCCGGCATCATGATTGTATACTAGAATATATTAAATAACATTATAGATGCTATATATGATATGGAAAGTTGCGGGAAGTCTACAATGGGGTTCAACAGTGGAATATAATATATTAGTAAATGACCAGTGGTAATAATGATGATGATAGTGATCTATTTTATTTATTGTCATCTGATTATATATATTTATTTTTTTAAATGATCCCTATCAGCCGCCATATATCAGCTCTTTCTACTTATGCATGTCACCTTCCACATTGTCCATTTATCTTTTTGTTGCTTTTATATATGCAAACAACGCCTGTCTTTGCATCTATTCCGCATAAAATTATTATTATTTAGGAATCATCATCATATCATATCAGCCGTTAACTGTTCACTGCTGAACATAGGCCTTCCTTTACTGAGGGTTTGCTAGCAGTTGCCGCGCTTGGCAGCGCAACTGTAGTTAGGCTTTGGTGATGTTTAAAGAGAAATACTGCTGCCTATACCTTGATCTTAATAACGGGCCATTGTCCATTAAACAAACATTTATACACAATAATAGCCACAGACAGCCCTCTATGTCGAGGCTGTTTCGACGCCGAAGAAACGGCTGCTCACGTAATCCTGGAATCTGAGGCTGTGACCCATCAACGTTTAGAAATCCTCGGAACGGTGAGGTCGCTTCGTGAGGCCTGTGAAGAACCCAGGAAGCTTCTGCGCTTCTAGTCGGAGTTAGGTTGGCTGTACTAGCCACGACTCATACGCACAACGGCCCAAATGAGAGGCTAAGCGCGGAAAATGGAGTCTTTTTCACATTCACATTCATACCTTGATCTTGAAGTTCCCTTAGTTGCCGCTTACGACACTCATGGGAAAAGAAGGGGTGCCCTTCTATTCCCGTGAGTGTCGTAAGCGGCAAATTCTAGGCTGACACCACACGGGTATTTAGAAATATTATTATATATTATATTATTATATCTACCAATTATTTAAATAAACTAGTTTACAATTTATTAGGTACAGAGAAATAACACCTGAGTCCTCAGGAATGGCAACGCGCGGGGGGTATCATGGGTGAAACAGTATACTCTGTTATGTCCATGGTACTGCTCATGTCTATAGGCGACAGTTACCACTTTCCATCAGGTGGGCCGTCAGCTTGTTTGCCATTCTAAGTTGTATTAAAAAAAAATTCAATAGAGAGTGAGAGAGAGCGATGATTGAAGCTATCATTACTCGTATTCCGTTCGACCATATTTTAAGAAGAACAATTCTAGAACTCTATTGCTTTCTTATGCATTATAATAAAATATAAAATAAGGTTTTTTAAGGCAATTAAATAGGAATTATTCGAGTTTGCGTCTAAGACCATTCAGACCGCACCGGATGAAATTTAATCGTGCTCAAATTTAATATAAGAAAAAAATTATTGCAGTATCTTTTTAAACAGATCCCACGGACAAATCACTCAATGGCGTTGGGAATAATAGCAGCGGCAAGCAAAGGCGATCTCGGACGAACTTCACGTTGGAGCAACTTGGGGAACTGGAGCGGTTGTTCGACGAGACACATTACCCTGACGCGTTCATGAGAGAAGAACTCAGCCAGCGGCTTGGCCTCAGCGAGGCGAGAGTTCAGGTATATCTTTTTCAATTGAATTTAATAAAAAAATCAAACGAACTAAGTCGACTATAAGACAGTCTGCCGATGTTCAATAATAGTACACATAAAAATCAATTAATTGGATATTTCGATTTGTTGCCAATTTCATTTCGAAAGAATTTCAGTGATACTTTAAACCAAATTTAGTTGCACTTTGCCGATGAATTATCTGTTCAAACATAGATATACACTGCTTTAGGGACTAAGTGGGCATTTTCTCAGTAAAGAAAAAAGGATTTTATTATTAATTAATAAAGTCGAAATCTATAGCACCGTTTTTAGAGCAGCTTTTTCCACCAATTAAACTGAACATTTTTAAAGAAACACGAGTAAAAAGCAAATAAAAAGCGTTTCCCATACTAATAATAAAATTAAAACGTGCTGCATGTGTTTAGTATGGAGGGCTTAAAGACTAATTAACTAATATTTCATTATTCCATTGGAAAAAAATATTGACTTACTGGTAAAACACTCCCTTAAACGTACTCTTGAAGGAAGATTTCATATCTATTCCTTAGTAATAAAAAAACCTTTTTGGGTTTTTACCAAAAAAGTTCAAAAGAACCCTTATGTTGCGACTTTGTCCGTCCGTCTTTCCATCCCACCGACCGTCCAACCGTCATAGCGTTAAAGCAACTACTAATTCTCTAAAGCTCACACATTTAGTAATGGAAAGAATTGAAAAAAATTTCAATGTCAAAATGGAAATCCATTTTCCATCTTTCGTAGACAGATTGGCAACCGCAGTTAGGCTTTGGAGATGTTTTAACAGGCATGCTGCTGGCCATCTCGTCCTGTCTTAGTCGCCTCTTACGACACCAGCTGCAAAGGAACGGGTGGCCTGGTGGCTGCTATATTCATTTAAACATTATTTCTAAACTATATTAATTATGAAACGACAAGAAATGTTAAGGAAATGTAATGAAATTACCATTTGCAATTTTAATTATGAAGCTCTCGCTCTGTAGTACCTACTCGTACGTACGCTTGTAATTCCTCCTCGCATAGCCCAACCCCTCATTACTAATGCACGTAATTAGCTGTGATCGTCCAACAAGTGAGTTTATCGGCCATATATCGCGATTAGTGCCCGATCGGCGTTAAGTGGCCATGTCCTTGGTAGGGGACCGGGACGTAAAAATGCGGGGAATATAGATAAAAGCCCTGACCGGGGCAACTACGTCTTCACTAGTGTCAAGTGGAAGCGTCACTTTAACTTTATTAGTTTACATTAGCATCGATCTTCTATCTAATTACACTTTATTTATTTCGTCGGCGTGTAATTAATTATTTTTGTTATAAATATACGATTGAAATAGAATAGCACTCTTATTTTATAATACCTACGATAAACGAGTAATTGGAAAATACTTAGGTAATAAAACTAAAAAAATATTCCCCGACTACAACTACAACTATTCGTGTGAGCGTAGCGTTCTCTTGTGTCAAGTTTCTAGACGCTTTATGCACGAATTCACTGATACGACAGTTCACTGACGTGCTTCACCGACTGACAGCGTTACATGCTGAAATCTTTGGTTACATACCATCCACTGAAACTGCGTTGAGATGTTGCATCTCTATGCATTGTCTATCGAATTTATTATGGGTGCTTTGAGGAATTGTTCGGACTGATATCTGCTGCTGATTTTTACCACCGTACAACCCGCCATAAACTGAAGTTCTAGGTGAAGTTTCATCCCAACCATCTGGACGTCATTCGTCCAATTTCCCCGGTCTTCCACTGTATGTTTTTCAAGGCACTTTCTTCCACGCACAACCACTCTTTGAAATCATCCAGGTGCAGTATTTCGGAATCAATACGTCATCATAACCTTCAAGAAAAGAACATATTCCTTTTTATAAGGCTGGCAGCACCCCTAAAGTGTCTCTGGTATTGTGAGTGATCATGGGCGGAGGTAGTCACTTACTCCTAGGTGAGCCGCATATTTGTTTGCCCCCTGTGTTGTAAAAAAAAAATACTGAGGCACAAAGCAAGTGACAAAATTTTAAATGATCCAAACATAAATTTAAAAACATTTGAGGCTTAGGGTATATCATGTTACAAGTTTAAATTGAAACCGAACATCTTCCTATTTGTATACTTGCAAATACGTACATAAGTAAAATGTTGGTATTAAAAACAAACCCGAAAAGTATTGTACTGGAATCTGTCAATAATAGAATCAGTCCGATTAAACCTGTCAAACAAAAACAAGACGCATTAAAATGGATTTGCTTGCGAGGGGCTACAGTGCCCACACGCATACAACAATGGTTACTTTTATGTAAAAGAAAATGTAACATGTGATGAGAAGAATGTGAAGAGTCATAGACTAAACTATTATAATCAGATAGACCATGTTCTAGCTGATGGAGGAGTCAGGAGTTTCTGAAACTGTCGTATATGCGTAAAACAATTTATAAAGTTGCATGAAGTGAGAGATCTATGTAAGGATATAGACTTTTAATATATTGTTCTCTGTAAAAAACAACAATACATTAGAATACCAACTAAATCACATTGAAAATAAATTCCCATGGCTGATTGATACCAAATTGTACAATGATTAAATTTCAATATTCACCTTGGAGGTATGGGCATAAACATAGCAAATTGAACACAAACAACCGTTTTACATAAAAGGGTAGGTGAATGTTTGTATATTTACTTGTTATTTAGTCGTATTGTCTAATGTAATCAACGCTAATGAATGCGCCCCTAGTTAGCGTATCGGCCGACCGTCGACTCACTCACACACGTTAAAGATACAACTTAATATGGGGATGTTTATGCAATGTAACTTACCTTCTATTATAAAGTTACTATATAGAATTTCTTTTATGTAACTTAAAATGGCAAACAAGCTATTGTACGTTATGTTATTCCTCTGTACCCTGCCATATCCCACCCTTCGTACTCACATAGCCATGAAAACTGCTTCACAATAGAAACACGAATGGGACAGAGCTACCCAATCAAAGGACTTTTGTACAAAGCTTCCCTCTGGTAAAATTATGTCATAATCACTCATTTACATGCGACTTAAAACAGCAAACAAAGTGATGGCCCATTTGATAGAAAGTGTTAAGCGTCGTCGCCTATAAATAGTACCATAGGCCTCACAGGATATAATGTAAGCCCCCAAGTGTTGTAAGAATGAAAACACAGGACTATGTTTATTATGGGATGAAAATTATATATCACTGCCAGTATGAGTGGGTGATAAATAGATGGGGTTGAAATGTTATGTCTCTGTACCCGGTAATATCACTGCCATGTCCCTACTTTCAATTGGAAACACAGCCATGGAACCACAGCTATTTGGGGACAGAAACATGAATGATACACAGATATTAATACAGACGGCTCTCGTACAAACTTTTACTCTGGTGACTTTAATTACTCCATTATGTACACTAAAATTATAAAGATAGAAATGGGTTTGTTTACTGTCTCTTGATACTTTTATCAATCAATCATCTTTGAATTTATAATACAGTATATAAAAGAGGAAGAACATAGGCAACTTTTTATTGACAGTCATGATATCGCGGATAAAGTTAGTGAAAAATGCTTGTATTGTTTTCACATTTACCTATTATTTTTTAAATCGTTAAATTTTTATACTATCACTTCGATATAACATTCATCTATGAAACGGAAAGTGGTAAACAAAGTGTATAGTTATGAACAACGGAATAAACAAACAAACTTGTGTAACTCTATAATGTTAGTGACTATAGAAAACATGTGATAAAAGTGCTACGAAATCTATAAATCTTATACGTAGGTACTACGTAGAACTTCATCTCCGTGCTAAGATTGAATTGTAAAAAATATAAACCAAAAAGTAACTTTTATTTTGATTTAGTTACACTTTAATTGTCATGTGTTAGAGGTAAGATAAAAACATTTAGTAAAGCTTCTACGAGATTCTACAAGTTATCTACGTACTATATACAACTTAATATTAAATGCAAAAAATAAAATAAGAAAACAATAATTTATTTTGATTTTAATTTACTTATACAGTAATTTGGCCGAGGGATGAGCAGCAGAGTTTATCTTAAAACATAACCAAATATCTGCGGTTGCCGATGCGCTTGCCAAGCGTGGCATCTACTGGTAAAACTCCCCTTATGAGGAAACCTATGTTCAGCAGTGGATAGTTATTGACTGATTTGATGATGGTACATTAATTCACGGTGTGGTCAAGGTGAGATAAAAACATGTAGTGGAGTGCTACGAAATGCTACGTGTCGTCTCCATATTATATAAAATTGCTCCATAGTACTCGTGAACGTAACAAATATAATTCAATCATTAATTTTCATTTAAATTTAATTAGAGGTAAGATTAAATATAGCAGAAGTGCTACGAAATGGTACCCATCACGTACATAATACATAGAGCTTGTGAATACTATAATAGAATCGCAAAAAATATAGAATAGAGTGAATAAAAGCTCTTTGTTGTTCCCTTTAAAAAATGATACAGATTAGAAAGACTAACAAAGTGAATAATTGATTATACTAATTTAATTATAGAAAAGCAAGATAAAGAGGCAACAATAGGCGGCCTTATCGCTAAATCGCGATCATTTTCAGGCAACCTTAAAACTCTTGTACTTAAAATTAAATCTATTTTATGACGGTAACTAGACATGCATTGTAGTGCAATTGCTACTCATATTCATACTTGTATAGTAGAATGAAGGCAAAAAGTAATAATTTCAATTGGCCTAATCTCACCTGATAGAAAGTGATGACGAGGGCGAAAACTCAAAGGCCCATGAAGTGTTTTATTCACTTATGACCTAAGAAAGCTGTGTCTGGAAAGACAATTTAATAAAGTAAAGACATTTTAATTAGGTAAGTATACAACTCCGTGGCCTTTGGCTGTGTGGTCCCGGCATAGAATAGGCCACCCCTTCCTTTCCCGTAGGTGTTGTAAGAGCCGACTAAGGGAGAGCAAGGAATGGGCAGCAGCGTGCCTCTTAAAATATCTCTAAAGCCTGATTGCGGTTGCTAATCCGCTTGCCAAGCGTGGCAACTACTGGCAAAATATCCCAAACGGGAGGCTTATGTTCAGCAGTGGACAGTTAAAGGCTGATATGATAATGATGTATATAACTCACTAATGTGACGAATGCAAGTTACTCCGTATGCACCACACAATCAGTACCGCGCGTGCTCCCCACACTAATGCGGTTACCAGTGTTTGTCTGCCGCGTATAGTCTACAACTATGGAAATGTATACATGTAGTTGTGTGCTTGTATACAAAACACATAGATAGTGACGTGAACAAAACATACACGTGAAGTACGCAGACACATAAGTTGATGTTGTTCGCAGTAACACAATTACAACAGCTATCTCATTCGATTCAAGAGTTCGCCTGTTTGTTTTACCAATTATCAAAACTAGATTTGATGCTAAGCTATAGGTATTATTGAAACTACAGACTTTTTAAACAGTACCGCCATCTGGTAGGTAGTGCACATGTTTTTAATATTGTGGTATCAAATATTATTAATAATTCGAATAAGTATAAACAGTAAGGAAATAAAAAAAGAATGATGTACGTACTCCGTAGTTATATTAAAATGAGACGTAAAATTATTTTAAGTGATTCTTATCAATATTTGAAACTGTTCATTTTAGTTTTTTAGATTAACAACAACTAGAGCATTTCCTTAAGATTAGTTTGTGCATACATATGTCATATTTTTTATGAATATAATTCAGTGGGATAATAAGGCTATTGACATGACGTGCTACCATCTTTTTTTTTATACAACTTAAAATGGCAAACAACCTGATGGAAAGTGGTAACCATCGCCTATAGACATGGGCAGTACCATGGACATAACAGAGTATACTGTTTCGCTCTAATATGTATTTTGTGTTAGCTGTTCAAAAAGAAAATATTAGGAAGCAAAAATAGATATAGTGGTTCGACAACAAAACATATTTATCCATTTTGCTTGTCATTAAAAATTTGTATTATTAAATCTGAATGTTCCATTTATCCATAATCATAATAGTTGCTAATGCTTTTGACTATTACACCTTTAGCAGGTAACTACGGTCGAAGTCATATTTACTAATTTATATATTGTTTATACGTGTTAACACTAAAATTAAACAGTAATAAAAGGCATGTTCATAATAGCAAAATTTTGTTTCTAGGTGTGGTTTCAAAATCGACGAGCAAAATGCCGCAAACACGAAAGTCAGATGCATAAAGGTATGCTATAATATTTTAATTCTATTTATATACATACTTATTTTTTATTGTAGAATTTCTCAATTGCAAATACAAAAGACCATAACCAGTTCGTTATTATGTAAATTATTGAGAGTATTCACAAAAGTTATTTTTTATTTAACGTGTAGGTACCTACTCATGTATTCAATTATATTAAAGCCGAATATTCGGTTTAATGTAGTTGAAAACAACAAATTGCAAATGATTCTGGCAAACTGTGTCCTTGGCGAGTTGTGTAATCACATCGGTTCATTCGTGCAAATATTACTCTTCTATACGTACAATTGGAATTGGAATAACGCGCCAGTTGAGTAGTGATAGCACCAAAAGAACATTATGTATTCTCCATGACTCCGTCTAACTCGATTACAGTTCCCGCCGGCGCCGGTCCGACTCTAACAGTTTTTTAATTCGACCATAACTCATGCGGATGAATAATTAAAACGGCGGGCCGAAGCGGGAATCCGCGCGAACGCGGTAAAAAACGCGGAAAAAGATCACACGAGGCGATAAATTTGGGAAATTGCGTAACGCACTTAGCGATCGAGTGATCATGCCTCCCTTCTGGTCAAAACTTAAGTCCATTCACTAGCATCCCACTCATAAGTTTTGATAAATTATGACCTTGAATTAGGAATGGTAGGGATCCAAATTATAGGCTTTTCGGTACATGTATCAGTTTCTTGTAATAGCGGCATATTTACTTATGTTCAGAAGAAAAATTGGAAACAATAAGTGTCTAAACCAATAAAAAATATTATACTATCATTGTCCTAAACTATCATCATCAATGACGAGCTACGACAATATTCGACGATTCCAGTTGGTATTGAGCTCTTAAGTCTAAGGCGAGATTTTACCTCCCTTTGTGTGTTAGAACACACGGTAGACCGCTTATATAACAGATTATGTCCTGAGGAATTGTTTAAAATGATGCCCACAACCACCGTTTATCTTCGTACCGCTCGCCATCGACAGGGAGTTCATTCTCACACCCTTGAACCTAAATGGTCACGTACAGTGCGGTTTCAAAGGAATTTTGTCTCGCGAATGCTCAGGCTGTGGGATGAGCTCTCTGCTGAGGTTTTCCCTAGAGACTACAGTATGGAGGTTTTGAAAAAGTGTATATTAAGGTTTCTTCAGGATCGGCAAAACGCACGTAACACCCCTAGTGTTGAAGGCGTCCATAGGCTACAATAACCATTTACCATCAGACCGGTAGTATGCTTGTTTACTATTTTCGTAAATATATCATATAGGGCTTGTCCAATTATGCATCAACAATAATTTTGACTTATGTAGTTAAAACAACACTTTTTCTACTAGACTTTGTACAAAAGTCGTTTGATTGGGTATCTTTGTCCCATTCGTGTTTCTGCCGTGAAGAAGTTATGTTTGCATGGCTGTGTTTCGGTTTGAAAGGTGGGATATGACAGTGAGTGAGAGAGTGAGGGGTTACAAGGGCATAACACCTAGGGGGGAAGGGATTACTAGTAATGCGGACTATCCGTCCCATTGCTAGCAATATCCTCTGTCAGGTCGAACTCCACGTGGTTCCTCCTGGAAACCATCGTGCTGGATTCTGTTTGTATTCATTACGATGGGCTAACTGACCTGCTTTTTCATTCTCACCTATCATCCCTCACTGGTGCCCCACCAGCGTATACCGTTAGCGCAGGCGGGGTTACCATTCAATTATCATCCATTGTAAAAAAAGGGCATTACATTTTAATCCTCACGAATGACAACGCTTAAAACCCTTTAAGCGTTTTGATACCCATCAAGGGCGACACGATATACTCTAAAGGCAATGGCTACCACTTTCCATCAGGTGGACCGTTAGCTTGTTTGTCCCATTCTAAGTTGCATAAAAAAACGTGTATGGTCAGTTTTTTAGCTTTTTTTTTATACTTTTTTATTTAGCTAGTTTGGCCTCATAAAAAGTCTTAATTTACAAAGCAAACTTGAAGAAATACATTACTTTTTGTCATAAATTGTTAGTGTCATATATCAAATAAGATAAGACGGGAAGAATAAATGCCCCACAAACCCAGTAACACTAACGAAAGTACGAAGAAATCACTTTGATACAATTCATGTCACTCTGCGGTAATGGGATGTCCACATTCATAACGTCATATCAACAAACGAGAGGTGACTGCGCTGTAAACGAAGCGTCGGTCGCCAATACCGGCCAGTGATTGCAAGAGCATCGCGCCTCGCATCTCGCGCTACCGCCAAACGGAGCGTAAAGCGGAAAAAAGCCGCTCTCGGAATCGAATAAAATGATTCCCCCGGGGAGCCATTCGGACGCAATCCCGCCGTCCCCTGCTAAATGTCTTATTAACTTATGTCCCACCCCCGCGGCCCGCGCGCCACCCCGCCTAACACGAGAACAATCATGTAAAGTGAAATGAAACGGTTATTTGTTATATTATGCCCCTTTGACTGAGCGTCGAGATTCCCAATGTTGTTATTGATTTACGCAATCGTTTGCGGTCTCGTTATGTTTATCTGCACGACATTTAACTTTGTGCTATTTTACAATGTTAAGATTTTATACCTATTAGGACCTATTAGGATTATTTTGGGCTGACAGACACATAAAAATTAGAAACTCTTGATAGAATTCTATATCAAAGTTGATTATAGACACTAATATTTAATTTTCTTGCTTATTTAGCTCCCAGATTTAGCCTCTTTTCAATTGACCTTAAATAGAAGGAGATTCTCAATTCTGTTGTACTTTTTTGTTTGTTTCTTTACTCCGTCAATTGTAAATAGATTTGGATATTTTTTGCCTGTGAGAATATTACTTACAATTCGGACCCATAGTAATTTTAGTTTAGTTTTTAAATTAAATTAATATTAATTGAAGTCGGTTTTTTTGTGGAACACAGTTGATAATGTGCAACACGAGAATGGAGTCCATTGTTGTCAAATAGCTAGATAAATTTTTTATGTTTTATTTATAAGTATTATCCAATGATTTCAACTGCCAGATACATAATCTAGTTATTTTTATAGTTTTCTACATACAAAACACCTTTTTTATGAGCAAGTTGATAAAATATACCTACATCTAATCCAATACTTTTACGAAAGAATATAGGTACTCGTGCACTGCACAAATCATAAAAATAGGTGTTGTATCTTCATAAAATTAAGAATTCATTTTTAACGAAGAGATGAATCTTCTCCGGGCGCCACGCTATAAAAACAATCACAACGCCGTGAAATTCAAGAATAAAAAGAATACACCGACGCCTAATTGTTCCCCTGTTCATAAAATTGTAAAGTTGTTCTCGAGCCGTGAGGGTGGCGATATTTTATTGCGCAGAAACCGCTGTAAAGATGTTCGGAACAGTTTAAAATAAACGCGGGCGAGGAGAAACACCCCGCGACGCGCGCCGGCTTACCTTATAATTCGATTAAATTAAACAACTCAGAGTTAATCAAATAAATGCATGGCGGTCGTCGAGGCGAAGGGCGAGGGTCGGGGGCGGCGTGGGTGCCGGACGCGAGCGCACCCGCTCGTATTTATGTCGGCACTTCTCGAAAGTAATTCGGTGTCAAATATGGAAATAACTCATACACGCGGGGAGCATCCATTTTAATAATGCCAACGGCCGGAGTGGTCCTGATTTACAGTGAGCTCCGTGCGAGCGGCGGCGGCGCCCGCCCTCGCCTTGATACGAGTACAAGTCCATACATGTTATTCCTACCCGGAGGCATGGGTTGAAATAGATATCGCAACTACATGTATTTTACGTGTCAATATTTTGCTGTAAGTAAACCCAGAAGAGCTTACGAAGTTACCATATAGAGGATTAACAAAAACAGTTTATAATTTGTTGTATTTTAGAAACGATTTGTTTAACAAGCAATTTTGTTATCAATAAATTTTCTTGTAACATGGTAAAAAGAAAAATATATGTCAATAGTGTAAATTACATTGTCATCTATGTTCATCGATTCTGCATGTCTTTATGAATGAATGAATTAATTAATTAAATTTATTTCGTTACAACATAAGCACATATTTTCATAAATAATATCATTGCCTGATTTGAAAAAATAGAAAATAAATATTACATTATAACCATATTATTGATACAATTAATTAAAATTATATCTATTACCTCTGTAACAGTATAATCGAGGGTTAAAGCTTAAGTTAAGGTAAGAGTAAGTAATTAAATTAATGAATCCTTTAGACGAGACCCACCGAACACCTTAAGTCGGTTAGATCCGCGTTAATTTATTAATTGCCCACTTCGCCCGGCAGGCGGCTATAAACAACGGATCTCAGTTAATTTACGAGCAAATTATGCTTTACTTAAATATCAATTTAATTAAGTGAACTTCGGGAACGGATCTGGATGGATTTGCGCGTCGCTCGCCACCCGACTCGCTCCCAGTCCCACTCGTAATCACTCGTTTGTCTCTGCCAATCGTTTTGGATCAATGCGAATTGTCGTCCAACTGTGCTCGATTAGCCTGCTACAAATTGTCGGATTGAATCTTACGGTTTTGTTTTTTGTTATCTTATTATCGTATAAGGGATTTGTTTTATTGAATAACTAGTTACCTATAGAATATTGCTGTCGTACCGCCATAGTACCTAGTGAATATAAGTAAGTATGGATAAATTAATGTGTAAGAAAAAAAAAACATGAAATAGGCTTTTATTGAAAAAAGGTTGCATTTTTTTTTCAAGTTAGGAGATCAATCCGAGAATTCCTCTCCTTGCTAATAAAAATCTTGAATATACATAAATTTTATTAAAAGGGAAAATTATGATATTGTTTGTAATTTATTGATCTTTCATCTATAGAAAATTACATTATTAGCGAGTAACTAGGTAGCAGTTTTAATTTTTAGTAAAATACGAAGCCGGGGTGCGCTATTCATTAACCTATTTAAGATTATTTTCCAGGGGTGGGTGGACCTGGTCCCTTAAAGAAGGCGCATATGTACGCTTTAACATATCTGTACAAAGCTTCTCTAGGAACCTGGTTTGGACACCGGACCATTCTGAGATGGGTACGGCCCACCCAGCCCATACCTTAAACACGCCTATAGCGCCGCTAGTATGAAATAATTTAAGAAAGTAGATGAAGCAAGAAGTAAACATAATTCGTACTTATAACTGCCCTATTATGAGTAATTGGAGCCAGATATGCTGATGTATTGTATTAATATAAAAAAAAAAAAAAATACTTATCCAATTTCTTCCGTCTTTCTTCTAACTGGTTACAACTTTGAGTCCCCTTCTGAGAAATTCTATAAAAATACAATTAATACAAACATTTAACACAAGCATCAAACAAGTTTTTTTTTTTCTAAAGAAAGCCATTTGTACATTTTCTTTTTTTTTCCACAGACGTCATGAAAGTGTTGCTACTCTTAAAATAGCAATTACCACAACTGAAAATAGTTACATTACTTGGACCTATGACATGGTTATTTTCTAGTTAACTAACTTCAATTAGCAATTGGTCTTTACTTATAATTTAGAGTGTTTTCAGGGCTTCTGGTTGGTGGCGGCGGCACACCTTTGGAGCCTTGCCGCGTGGCGCCGTACGTGTCGGTGCCTCGCCTGTCAGCCGTACCTCGCGCCCCTCCGCCGCCGCCGCCATTACCACCACTAGCGCCGCATCCACCGCCACCAGCAGCATTCGCGCCATTCGACTCGGCTTTGCTATCCGCTGCTGCACATCAAGTTAGTGTATATCGCTGTTCATGCACTTTTAAAAGAACTTTTATTTTCTAAATCCCTAGGAGAAACAATTGGATTAATATTAACAACACACTGCGTATGTATAACGTTATTCATGCCTTTAGACAATATTTACAACTTAGAGAGGTCATTAGCTTGTTCGTCATTCCAAATATTATAAAAAAGACATGATGGAATCCCTACCTGTACACCTGGTGGTAGTTCACGAGTCTTTTTCTTGAAATTGGAGGTTGGAAGATTTGAGAACTTCTTTCTTTGATGTGTATATATTTTGCGTTACTTTGTAATAATTCATGTTGATGATTTAACGAATTTACATATTTTGATATTAAATCTCGTATAGGTCTCATACTAATTTGCCAAGATTAAAGTCGATTTGCCAGTTAAAATACCACTACTACTTCAATTTTTTTAAGTAGATATTAGATAAGTCTTACTATGAATAACAATTAAAATAAGGCTGTAATAATGCAGTACGCAAGTGCGGCCGCGGCAGCTGCAGCGGCACTGTGCCCGCCATACGCTGGGCTGGCGGCGCTCGCAGCCCGGTGTCGTTCCTCATCCATCGCTGACCTCCGCCTGAAGGCGCGCCGGCACGCTGCGGCGCTGGCTGCAGCCCGGGCGCCCTCGCCGCCGCCGCCGCCACCGCCGCAACCGGCCTCCGCTTCTGCTGACACATAGCCGACCAACGTGTGACGTAACGATCGTTTGTAGCATATAAAACATGTAAATTTAATAATTTCTATAAACCAGGAGACAACTTTCTTTACGTATTCGAATTGTTATAAACTTAGATGCAAACATGATGTCCTCGCCGTCGCAGCCGTCGTCATAACCAGGGGGAAAGAGATTGTAGAATGGGATCTAAAAGCCCCATTGCTATCAATGTACCCTATCAGGTCGACTTTCACGCGATTCTCACACGCAGATCTAGAAACTACATTGGTTTCAATGAAGATTTCTCACTTATCATCCTTTACTTGTGCCTCGTCAGTGGATACCGATAACGCAGGGGGGTTACCATTCCATATCTTAACATTCCATACCACGCATTAAAAAACCGTCACAACCAATGCCCACTTCTAATGACACAAAGACGATCGACAGGTAACATAACGAAGATCCGTATTATTTCAATTGTATAATTTTGATCGACAATGAGACGTTAAAGAAGAGATACAGTTTTCATTGCGAACATTATGTTCTCGCCATTACAGCCACCGCCTCCACCGATATCCACTTCCTCCCACATAGCAGAAAAAAGAGTGACCCAACGATGACTGTTTACAGAAAGTAAAATATTCTAATTTATACTGTAATATCAGAAAATAGTACAGAGGAAAGATTTGTATTTTAGTATGTTTGAGTGATACACTCTAAAATTACTTAGCCGATTTTAAAATGCTTTTTTTTTTGCTCATAGAAAGCTACATTATTAGCTAGTAATATAGGGTATGTATTATTTTGAAAAAAAATTTCCTCCACGAAAATTCCAATTATGTAATCTAAAGAATCAAAAATTTGCGAGCGAAACGAAACGGATTGTTAGTTTAATAATATAGATAAAAAACAAATTTCTTGTTTATTTGAACTGTAGCAATGTTATTAGTGGACAGAACACCTTTTCTACCACAGAACAAGTAATCACTACGTTACATCAATACATTAGCCGCCATTTCGCACAAGGATATAAAATATCCTTTTAGTAATTTCCGTAGACAAGGAGAAATATTTTTTTATACATTCATAGTGTTGCAAATTAGTTTGTTGCAATCACCCTCGTATTCAACACCACTACGACGGATGTCCGTAATGCGACAGCGAGAAATAGTCATGTTTATTTCTAGAATTATAATATTGCAATTTAATAATTTCTATAAACAAAAACAAAAATTTATACCTTTAAAGTGCCATTGCAAGGTAAGTTTTCCCAATCTCTGTTGTAATATAAATTGTAGACATAATAATGACATTTCAAAGTAAATTCACTGCAAAGTAATCCGCTTAAGAGATTGAATTTTTAATAAATAAATTTTTAATTGAAAACGTATCATCGTCAGCAATTCCAATAGACTTAATCAGTGTTATATATTCTTAAAAAAAAAAAAGCTGTTAATAATTAGAAATATACGTAATAAATGAAACGAATCACTAAATTATTATTTTTTAGACTTCAATTTCCTTTTTAAAAATGTCTGATTCTTTAAATTTTTTTTTTTAATAATTGTTGTCGTGAGTCACACTATATACTAGTTGGACAATTCCGAAGTTAATACGTGAGCAAAGATAGAAGTAATTAAAATAACTTTAAAATAAATCTTAATGACGCCAAATTCACATTGCTCTATCAATTGTTTTACTATAATTCACTGGTTAGTTTTTATTTTCTTTTTTCTAATTAAAGCTAGTTATGAAGAATATAGTCACGCTACCTGGAATGATCATAAGAGATGGTTATTTTCTGCACAATGAGGTCCTATTTAAAACTTCAAATTTCCACTAAATGAATTTAACTATTTTAGTTTTCTCTCTCGCGGACTCAAACAAATAGACCAACCTTTTATGATTTTAAAGTTTTTGAATTATTCATTTACAATGTTTCAAACTGCCAGCTATTATACATTATAATATCAGTGATTTAATTTTGCACAATTTATATAATAGTTAAATATAAATAATGTATACGTGTTTGTGCAAGTTAATACATCGCCTTCGCTTTGAATTACATATGTATAAAACGTGCGACGAAAGTGGAATTAATCTGACCAAATGAACTGTGAAGTAAATGTAAATTAATAAACTGTGATAAGTGTATGATTATTGGAAATGTCGATCTCATTAGTTGTTTAAATGGAATTAAGCTTAACGATATAAATTGAATTATCGCTATTATTACATATTTAATAAGAAGTTTCGATTACAAATTATTGTAAATATTAATTTATTCGATTAGTGAGTCGTGTTTATTAGTCATATGGATTTAATGATTTGTTCATAGCTAAGTAATTATTAATAAATAAATAGAGGGAATAAGAATTTTGTTTTTTTTTTTAAATAGATATAACAATAGTTGTCTTATATTAAATTACAAGTTTTGTGCCCAAGTTTACCCGAGTACCTAATATAAGTTTTAAAAATACTTTATTTATTACTAGCTTTTACCCGCAACTTATTACGCGTGACTGGCATATGTTTACTGACTGGGATAAAAAGTTACCTATTGCCTTCCCCATCCCATATAGTATTTGTATACCAAATTTCATAGTGCTTGGTTAAGCTGTTAAGGCGCTATAAGATAACAAACAAACAAGCAAATAAATTAACTTTCATATTTATAATATTATTAAGAATGATTATAAGAACTTTCTTCCAAGAAACGTCTTGAAATCTCTAGAGACGAATTTGTACTGTAAAAGAGGGCATCGAATCGAATTATTGCGGTCCTGATTTACATAAGCAAATGAATTTTTATTTTCAAATAATACTTATGTATGATACAGATGAGATTGCGTTTTGGAATACCATAAATCAGGGGTGCCAGCATGCCGGGTGCTAAGCGTGGGACGGAGGTGGACCGGCAGTGATATTGTTTGCACATTTGCAGCCCTGATTGATGACAGCGGAGCCGCCCGACGCGCCGACAAACCCGTTGCATTGTTAATACAGAACGTGTAGGTATACTAACACAATGATACATTTAATATTAAGATTTTACATCTGTATATTTTGATAGGAGGTCCTGAATGTTTTCTAATGGTTTTCTATTCTCTTATAAAAATTATTCTCATTCACATATATATGTATAAATCCTCAATGCAAACAAAAAAAAAAAAATATGTTATAGACACATTTTTTTGCATTAAGTATAATATTATGTATATAATATCAAGTATTATAGACTCATTTATTAAAAAGAAGTGTTCTACACTTTCAACTATAGAGTAGAGTACTCTTGTATATACACAAAAATACTTTAGAAAAACATATATTACTCTGCAAATATATGTTTTTTGTAGGTAACCTTTAAACAGTTTACAATCTTACTTATACCCAATTTATAGTAACAAATTCTATATAACCTTTGTAGACTCAGTTGTTAGTAACAACACGCTCTACAATCTTGTAGTTGTACCTACATTGCAAACTCAATTTTAGTAAGTGACAAATGTTCTACCATCTTGTACCAACATTGTAAATTCAATTTTTATTAAGCAGCAAACGCTCTATAATCTTATATCTACATTGTAGACTACATTTTCAGTAATGACAATACGCCTTACAGTCTTGTTTGTACCTACATTGTGAACTCGATTTTAGTAAGTGACAAATGTTCTACCATTCGTACCGACATTATAAATTAAATTTTTAGTAAACAGCAAACACTCTATAGTTTTATATCTTTTTGTATGTATTATCTTTTGTATAATTTTATTTTAAAGTGACCAACTATACTCATTTACTGAGTTTTGTACTCTTTTTTCGCAAACCGTACTCTTTTCAAATCCTATACTCTGAAAGTACCTACTCATTTGTATAATTTTATACTCATTTGTATTTCTAAAACATTTTTTTAGATTATTTTATTTTAATTTTATTAATTAAATATGAATATGAATAATTATCTCTATAATCTTATATCTACATTGTAGACTACATTTTCAGTAATGGAAATACGTTTTATAATCTTGTTTGTACCTACATTGCGAACTCGATTTTAGTAAGTGACAAATGTTCTACCAACTCGTACTTGTCTACATCGTAGACGATTTAAATCTACGCCTATCGTTAATATAGATCAAACTTTTACTAACAACAGCATTATAATAGTTCACTTTGTTATATGTACGAGTACTACATTACTAACAGTTCATAGTGACCGAACTATAACACTTAATAGCATAATGAGTTTTAATTCAATTTATCCTATGATGACAAATTTTGTCTTCTAAAACAAGTAGGTATGTAATATAGATATTACATATTTAAACAAGAATAATTAAAATTAAGAAAATAGTATAGTCCCTAAAAAACATAAAATAAAAATATTCTGTATTGTTAAGCAACCTTACTAATATAATAAAATTGAAATTAGATAATGTATACACATTTTGTAATATGGATAAAATTATATTACGCCGACCCCAAATGATTGGGGTAAGGGTAGGAAGATGATGATACACATGGAAGATATTTAAGAAAAAAATATATCACAAACCAATAAATGTCTAAATAATATATTTTAAAAATTTTGTCTATCTGTCTGTGTAAACACACAGCATCACTCAAAAACTAACATGAAATTTGATGTGGTTTCATAGTTGTGTTCCTTTTGGTTTAATTTAAAAAATGGTATATGTTTAGTCTTGATATGCTGACTAAAAGTGGGCAATTTCATTGATTTCCACTTCTGAAATCTACGTGTACGAAATAGCGTACAAAAAATTAAAATTATTCGAGCTAGTCTCGAATAATTTTAAATGTAAACTTTATAATATGTATTATAAGATTGGTTTTGGTTTAAGCATATATGGAAATAATATTGAATGAAATGTTGATGAAACTGATTTCATTATGCATATGCAGAGTAACTTTCTACCAGCAATTAGAGACTTAGAGTAATCTACAATAGGCGGAAGTTAGCTGAAGGAGAAGTTAAATCTACAAGACCGTCGTGCGACGTCTATTATGAGTTGAATTATAAAAATAAATAAAGATTAGAATTATGAATGAACATATTCTGCGTTTACCTTGTATGGAATTTGGTATGATTTTGAATTTAAAACAGAACATGCTAATAAATGAAATAATTTTTTTATTGTTAATAATATTTTTGTGTAGTAAGTATGCTTATGTGGGAGACAGGACAGTCTTGCCTGTTCAACCGGTGCTGTGACGGCTCTCTAGTTGGCAGGCCGGGGTTGACACTACTAGGAAAAGTGTTTGCGCAAACTGTTTAAAAGAGCACCCGCCCTCGGTCGGGGCGCCCAATTACGGTGGCGACGTAGCTGATTGGCCGTAATCGTGTTAGTATCGGCAAACACCCCCGTGCCGCGGCGCATACACCACGCGACTTCACGTCTCGGCAAATAAACATAAATAGACGCAATTTGATTTTTTACCGTCTGTTTGCATCTTCATTTTAGATTAAACATGTTCTTTGCACAGATGTCACTGAAGTAAATCTATCGTTCAAGTAATTCGTAGTAAATTCAAATAATTAGATATTAAAGAAGAAAAGATTTTTTTTTGTAAAAGTACATTTAAATTTAAGCATTTTTAAATAATAATATTTTAATGATTCTGTCACTCATTTAGAAAGCAATTTTAGCTGATGTGAAATAACAAGAATCTCAGTTAAAAAATTTAACATATTAAATACTTGTTTGTATTCGTATAGGTAATTAATTACTTAATTCTCTCTATAAACGCCTCGTCAAAAACAGCCAAGCCAAATTATTATACACCAAACCCTTTCTAGGTACCTGAAATCAATGAGGTAAGTCGTAAAATTTTCGCTTCTTTTTATTCACTGCGATAACTTCAATACTTCCTTTCTTACTGTACAAAAGTATTGCGGGCACAATCTTCAACTCAAATGGGCTCATTATAAGATGCGACATTTTTTTTTATACAACTTAAAATGGCAAACAAACTGACGGTCCACCTGATGGAAAGTTGTAACCGTCGCCTATAGATATGAGCAGTACCATAGACATAACAGAGTATATCTACTGTTTCGCCCATGATACCTCGCATGCGTTGCCATTCCTGAGGACTCAGGTGTTATTCCCCTGTACTCTGTAAATTCACTGCCATATCCTACTCTTCAAACCGAAACACAGCCATGCAAACAAAACTGCTTCACGGTTGAAATACGAATGGGATATGTATATCCTATCTTAATAATATTGTTCAGTTTCATCAAAATTTGCTTGCTATTTAAAAAAATATGAACTTTAATTACACCTTAAAATGATGCAGGCAATATAATTGTCACTACAAGTGATTGTTACATATATGTAACTACTATGTAGGTGCTATAGTACCTACCTATTAAACTGTAATTATATATATATATATATATATATATATATAGTAAATTAAAATAATTAAAACCTAATTTTATTATGAATAAAATAGATACCTACATATTCTTACGCATATTATGCTAGTGGTTTATATCGAAATTATAAATATGGTGAACTTAGTGGTGAATTGTAGTGTCATAAAGATAAAGCAGTGGGAATTCTTTTTATCCCCGGAATGTTGGAAGAGTCAACTAGGTTTTCTGTTTTTTTTATTTAATGGATGGAGATAGAATGGTAATCCCGCCTAAGCTAGAGGTATACACTGGCAAAGCACCAGTAGAAGATGATTAAGAATGAAAGCAGGTCAGTTTACCCATCGTGACGAATTTCACAAGGATTAAAATTAATTGAGAATTAATATAGATAAGTGACTTCTACGCCCTTCTACCCTAGAACTGTCGTATTTCCTTAGTCCTAATTCTTATGGTATTACATAATAACTTCGTTACGATAAATCAACTCACCTTACTTTATCCTCATCATTTCATCTTCAACTGGCGCTCCATCATTGTACATATACTATTATTTTAGTGGGTGAAAAAAGAATGGTAAGCTTACCTGCGCTATTTGTATACGCATCAGTGAGAGGTCATAAGTGATAACGAAAGCAGGTCTCCAGGGGTGGGGGGTCGTGTAGAGATCAACCTAGTAGGAATATTGCTTGCCATGGAGTTATTATCCCTTTCTCCTGATATACATTTTGCATAACAAAAAAGTCTGCTCCAGTCCTCTAAATAATTAATAGATTCGTGTGATGGAATAGATCAATAAACTGCTTAAAATGCATTTTTTCTTGGGTACGGATATCTGAAGTTCAAGTCGATCGTAATGAATTCATGAAAAACATAATTTTTTTTATAACACGAAGCAAGTGAGCATGCAGCTCACCTGATAGTAAGGCTTTGCAGACCGCTGTCGACCTTTTAAAAAGTAATGTGCTCATTTCTTAAAGGTTATGATGTCGTATCGGTTGAAAATACTGTTGCTGGAAGTTGATTCCAAAGAGTGGTTGTGCATGGATGACCGTGCCTTGAAAAACGCACGATGGAAGATTGCTACTCATTCAGATGGTTGGGATGAAACTTTAGTTTGTAGCGGGTTGTACGGTGGTAAAAATCAGCAGCAGGTATCAATCCGAACAATTCGTCAGAACAATCCCTATTATAAATTCGGTAGAAGATGTATAGAGTTGCAACATCTTTACGCAGTTTCAGTGGGTTGATTAAACGCATAATGTTAACTAAATAATAAATAATCCATCATGATCATGCATAATAGACGAGAGTTACAGTGTACTGGTCTATTTAAGTTTATTATTTATGATTGAAAATCAAGCGTATTTCACCATAATGAGTTTAAGATTTCTCATAACTCCCGTTGATACTTTTGGTGTTTACTGTGTCCATGAGTTTATTTTGCTTATCTATCTCGCCCTGATATACACGTTTAACTGTATTATTTTTGGGGGGAAAGGGATTGTTAGTAATGAAGACTGAGAATCCCATTGCTAGCATTATACCCAACCAGGTCGACCTCCTCGCGGTTTCCCCTGGAAACTATCATGGTTAATTCCTGATAAATTCATCATGATGAGCTAACTGGCCTGTTTTCATTCTCATCTATCACCCTTCCCTGGTGCTCCGCCAGCGTGTCCCGATAGCGCAGGCAGGACTACCATAGCATTTTCATCCATAAAAAAAAAACTGTATTATTTTGTAGATTACTCTATCTATTTTATTTTTAATCTGTACCAGCGGTGTAATCTTTGTAATTAGGTGACAGTGACAAACAAATATTATTGACTGACAATACATATTAGAATGACAGTTGATCAACAAGACACCAAGAAAACAGCTGATCTGTCAGCTGACAGAACAAAATTCGAATATTATTTAAAATATAATTTGTCTTTGTTTTATTCTTTATTTTATAACACAGTATTAATGTAATAGAAACTTATAACCAATACTAATGTAAAATCAAACAATGGAGATATTCGTCACTAGATACTAATTTTTCTCAATTAAATTGGTATGAATTATGTCCTTGAATTACGCGTTTGGATTTTCACTTTTCCTGTTAATTCTTGTGGCACTTAACATTTATTTCTTCTATTCCCTAAATACGACTGGGAAAAGGGGTTCTATGTATAATGTCCCTGGCATTAAATTAGATCTGGCTCCTAGTGTTTTTAAAGATATATATGACCACCTCAACTATCTACCTAGTCAATATAAAATTAAAAACCCTAAGTTTATACCAATACAAAAAAACCTAGTAAAGTCATTTAATTCATCTGGTCTTAATAATACAAAGAATGTGTGGCAGAATACAGAAAATGTAAGTAATATTTTAATTAAAAATCTATTAATATGATGTCATTTAAATACACTAAATTAAATATTTTTTTATTTAATGAACCTGTAACACACTGTACACAATCAATTCTTAGTTATTATGAAATGAATTTTATTATATATGTAATTATATCTACAGTGGGTTAGTGAAGAATCTTTATTCCCTCATGGTGATGGGGTTCCAGGGAGAATACTACGAGAAATGCAAACCTCACAGATAGCTCTAGTTGACAATGCACCAAAAGGCACACAGATGAAACTGTTACTTTTAATCCAGGTATGTTATATTGACATTTATTATTATTTTTTTACAAACACTAATAACAAACAATTATCAATCAAAGTTTGCATTTTGCAAAGAATAACATGCTTTGCAAAATGTTGCCCACATTTCACAGAGAATGGTACTGTCAATTATTATATTCGTAATAACTCTACTTCTAACTACCTAATTAATAGGTGTAAAGTTCTACATACTGACAGACTGGTAATGCATACACAAAAATAAGACCAAAATTGTGACCATTGGTGTGCATATTTTGTAACAATACAGATCTGAATTAGTATGGAAAAATAGTGAAAATTTACATATTTGTTATAATTTTAATTACATTTCAGGGACATTCAGAATTTTATTTAGATTAAATTAGATATTTTTTCTACCAATTCTTGTACAAAATATTTTTGATTTTTCTAGAATATTGTGTTTAAAGATATAAATATTTACAGCATAATTACATGAATAATTTGCAATTTTGTGATTTATTTTCCTGATTTATGATATACTCAGATACAGCACATTTAACTCTAACCAACTATATTAAATTAAAAAGAATTTGACTCCAAAACATAAAAAATAATTAGAAATGATTTTGTTCATACTTTTATCGGGCACATATTGTGTGAATTGTTGTTCTATTGTTCACTCACTCTAATATAGAAGTTATTGTATTTTCTCTTTTTTACAATGCGGATCTATTTACTTTAATTTAATCTAAGACCTCATTAGAGATTATATTCCTGAGTATATTTATTTTGTTTCTTCACTAGCAGTAAATTTTTACTATATATTTCACTTCAAGGAAAAACAAAAATTATATTTCAAACCAAAGAGATACCAGCTAAGTGATGTAATACATGGGAATATTTATGCTGGTTTTGATCGTCATAACTCAGAAGTGTTTGCTTACTACCTAGCAATGGTGATGAATTTTAAATGGATCATACCTTCTGTGATTAGGAGAGTACATGTTGCCAAGGATGTTGTTCCAGTAGCCACATTAGGATTAAAGAAAACTATGATAAGAAATGGTAAATATACAGAATATATTTTTATGTTATTTACATTGGAACAAGAATGTTAGCGAAAAAAAAAATGTTTACTTTGTACACTATTTTTTAAATTTTTTCAGAAACTTTTTTTGGTGTATTTTATGCAATCTCTTTGACAATTATTAGTAAATTTATAATGATAAGTTTATTAATTGAAAGTGTTTATGGTGATTTTAATCTATTTTATTTCAATTTTGAAAATTATGCTTTGAAAAATATTTATTACTATATCAGCTGATAACTGTCCACTGCTGAACATAGGACTTCTCTATAAAGGAGTTTTGCCAATAGTTGCTAATCTTGGTGGACAGGTTTTTTTTTTATGGGTAATAATGGAATCTTAACCCCGCCCATGCTATTCGTATACACCGGTGGGGCACTAGTTGAAGATGATAGGTGAGAATGGATGCAGGTCAGTCAGCCCACCATGATGAATTGGACAAAAATTAACCATGGTGGTTTCCAGGGGAAACTGCGTAGAGGTCGTCAACCTAAGGGGGTATATTGCTAGCAATGGGGCTATTTGACTTCATTACTAACAATTCCTTTCCCTTTGGTTGATAATAGCAGTTACTTTGGCGATATTTTAAAAGGGACACTGTTGCCTTAGTCACATCTTATGACACCCACAGGAAAGGAAGAAGTGGGCCATTTTATGCCGGGATTACATGGCGTAAAAAGTATTAAATTGAAATTATATTACAATTTAATACTTTAAGTCCAATACTTATTGGGCTTAAAGTTAATATTACTAATTAGTCATATTAATTTTATGACTATTGCATTACATGATTTATAGTTTGGTGTAACCTGGTTGTAACATTGATATAACCCTGGTAAATAATATTATTTTTATATTATATTTTTCTAAATGTTCGTATTAGTTCCTATCTCTTATAAGCAATAAGTATCCAAGTTTTATCCAGTTATCATTATTATAGTTTATCAGATCTTATATGACAGTTTAATTAACTTACAGAAAGTGGTTCATTCTGCATTTATGGAAAATGTTTTTATTGTAAAGTCAATGAGACAGTATGCCCTGACAGGAATGGTGAAATAGAAGGAGCTGCCATCCTTTATTTAGATAAACAATTTAAGGTGCACAAGTCACCATGGAGACGTTCATATAACAGCAAGAAAATGGACTGGGAGAAAGATAATGATTTTTGTAAGTAAGTATTGTATTTTATTTAATTGTAGAAATAATAAAAAGATAATAGAAATATAATAATAGAAATAAATTATTCAAATACAACTAAGATCTGAATTATAATCTCATATTGTTGTATAAAATTTATAATAATTAACTTTTTGTCCATAAGTTATTTTTAAGAAAATGCATGCATACTATGTAATCACTGTCAACGTTACCTATTAGGTTTCAAATTAATCAGTGCTGAAAATTTTCTAATAATTTTAACTAGGTGTTATTACTTATCCAATAACACTCCCTTGTCACTAGATCTGTACATGAGTTATTTATTTATTTATTTTATTTTACTTTGAAAGGGAAACATACAATATCTAAAACATATAAAATAGTATACATAACCATAACATAAATCAGTAAAGTTTCCACAATAAACCAAATCAAATAATCGAGAGCAGATGATTATTGATATTATATATGATATTGATGAACATAAAAATATATATAATAGTATATACATACACACACACACACACACACATATACTTGATATATATGAGTTATAGAAGTATACTGTTTTGTAATTTTTTTTATATCAATATATTTGTATTGATAGCTAACAGGTAACATTATCTGTGTGATGACTAATTTCTACTATTTCAGGAAAGTCATGGGAATATTAAGCCTCAAACGTATACTTAATTTGATAGATGTCTCCATATTCGATTTTCTAATACAGAACGGCGACCGGCATCGCTATGAAGTTTACAAAAATAAAATTGTTCTCTTGGACAATGGAAAAGGCTTAGGAAATCCTATGATAGATGAACTAGACATTCTAGCTCCTTTGTATCAATGTTGTATGTAAGTATTGAAATTTGTTAAAGTTAGTCGTAATAAATATAAATAAAGTATCGATAAATGACTATTCATTTACATATTTTGTTAGTGAAACTTAGTATATACGCAATATTTCATACACACCTTTATTTTATTTCCCAAAAATGAGTAGAATAAAACATTTATTTCTAATTCTAGGATATCATTGTCAACATGGCAACACTTAGAGATACTTTCCGGTGGACATTTAACAGAAACTATAAAACTACTATCATCTTTTCAAGGAGAAATATTGGCTACAGAAGAACATTTTAAAGCTGTGGAACGGAGATTATTGAAAATTTATGCAACAATTCAATATTGTATTGGAAAACATGGTAGTGCCAAAGTATTCAAAACTGCATAAAAAATAGTAACGATAAAACCAAATGTGGTTATCTCAAAATAATTTATATTTGTTATTCGATGGCAAATGAGTTTAGTTATGATCAAATAAAAAAAAATACCTATATGTTACTAAAGAAATCGTATATAAACTGATAAAATGTAAAAAACTCTAATTAAGGACAAAAATATCACAATGACAGGGGATCACTGCTTGAAAATTAAACAATATGTATCATGTAAATTACCTATAGTTACTTAATAAGGAAAAAAATAAGTTTCTGTTGCATTATAACTACCTTCGAAAAAGAAATACGTAAGTGACCAAATATGATATGTGTCAAGCTATCTTTCTATTATTTGTTAAGGTCTATACTCTGTACGCTGTGTGTATGGTGTGAGTAACAAATGATTTTGGCAGTTATTACTGTAAATGAACCGTACAGAGTTTTTAGAATCCAAATAAAAATAATAATAATATATTTTCTTATGATCAAATGTTTACATCCATAAGATTAGTATTTTTCTACGGTTTTAGTGATCTATCACGCACACACGCGCACAGCGCGCAAAGTACAGATCTCTATCTACTTCTTACCGTAACTTAGGGATAAAATTTAAAAAAATTGTCTATGATCTACTCATAACTGAATGAGGATATAAATAAATGTTGTCTAAATATACAAAAATCTCATGTCACGATACCTGGTCACGTTAATCTGTGAAACTGTTCATTCATCAGATTTAAATGAAATTTTCAAATATATAAGTATAGTTTGTTGCAACTTGATAGATAGAATAGTATCTATTCCGATAAAGAAACATCATCCTGGTATATTTTTAGGGGTTACCATTCCATTATTAGGGGGGAAAGGCATTGTTAGTATTGGGGTCTAACAGCTCCATTGTTAGCAATATTGCTAACGGTCGGGTATATACCCGACCCCATATGTTGATCTTCACATGATTCCTCCTGGAAACCATAGTGTTTCATTCTTGAATTCATCACATCACACTCACCTATCATCTCTCTCTGGTGCCCCAATAATGTATACCGATAGCACAGGCAGGGCTACCATTCCATTTCATCCATTAAAAAAAGCGGTATACACTGGCGGAGCACCAGTGAGGAATACACCTGGAATTTACCACGATAGTTTTTATGGGAACCACGTGGAGGTCGATTTGACAGGGTATATTGTTAGTAAGGTAAAGGGTATTCCGCATTACTAACAACCCCTCTCCCCTCAGAAAAGTAGATGGTAAAATGTTTGTGACGTAAGGCAACAAACGAACACGCACACATTTATAAATTAGTAAGGTCTGTTTAATGGTTAATTAACAGATTGAGTATTCAACTTTTTTTTAATATTCCATAATATGTAGGTACCTACACTTTAAAATGTGTTCAGTATTAAAATAAGTTCTATACAATTAATTGTGTCAAATGCATGACTCTCTTTTAGCTTATGTTATTGTGTAAATTAAAATCTTTTATTGTACGCGCGTCATTTGAAACTAACGCCTCCGTGTTAATATAAGTATAAATATAAATTCAGTCTCAGTATAAATTACTAATTGTAAATCGGTACTCTACAATATAGTTTTCTAAAGGTTTAACTATAGTTTTTATTTATTTATTTATTCATCAGTACAAATATGTGTACATGGTGGACTTAATGCTAAAAGCATTCTCTCCCAGTCAACCATAGGGAAGTGTCAGAATACTCGAATGCGGTACTACTAATTACTGATATACATACATACTAAAATTACATATATAAACGAATAAATATATATGAATAACAAATATATTCAATTGTTCTTTGAGACTTTCATCTTTAAATTATAGTAATATTTTGATGACCCAAGCTAGTAAGAACACTTAAATCAATTAGAAATTTAAATATTCTTTTTTTAATTAGTAGATAACCGCAATGTTGCCACACTACGGTCAGCTAAATTATGAACGCACTTAATTTCGCCAACGTAATATATGTTACGGTATGAATACTTTAAGTAAATTAGCCAATAAACATACGTGGTTAACAGAAAGTTAAAACAAAAATAGAAATAAAGGAAGAATGTCAGCGTGGAGCATGAATATTTTTCATATCACAAGGTTCTTTCATTACTGTATTATCGGTATGAAAAAGATAATTTGAAAACTAAATCTACTGAAAACAGCTATAAATAATATATAGATGTAATTGATTAGGTCTTAAGTGTAAAAATAAAAAATCAATAGAAATTAATTAAGGGATTTTTATTTTTTAATCACCAACATAGACGTATTTAAAGGAGGGGTAGCCTTATGGGTCATGGCCACCTCAAAATTTTATGCTCACTCTTCACACTCTTCACAAAGCTTCGTAAAGACATGTCTTTGAGTACATAAGCGCCTTTTTTAAGGGACCCGGCCTTTGGAAAATAATATTAATTACACCAACGGACAATTGCGACTTTGCGTTTCAAAACGACGAGCTACGACTAAATTGATATATAAGCTATATTTGGACCAGCACAAACAACACTCGGCACTCCAAAATCTACCTGGAATTATACCATCAAAACTAAGTAAACACATAATATTTTTTGTGCAACTTAAAATGGCAAATAAGCTGACAACCCACGTGATAATCATAGTAGACATGGACAGTACCACGGGCATAACAAAGTGTACTGTGTCACCCATGATATCCTTCATGCGTTTTTATTTCTGAGGACTATGATGTCCTTTAAAAGTCCTACAAAGTTCGTCGTGTACAATACTATAATAATTAATAATAATACGATTTGATTATATTTTTTATTATTTCCGAAATCTAACCATACCACCATTTTTAACCATCTCCTATTCATCTGTGTTCTCTTCCTAACTTTTTACTTTACCCTACTTTTTCAATGACCCTGTTATTTATAAAATACTAAATCATATATATTGTTATATATATATATATATATATATATATATATATATATATATATATATATATAACAATATTAAACGTTTGTTACATTATCTATACAATAAATATGTATTTATAATAAATCTGTAGAGAGGTAATCTTCAAAAGGGGGTTAAAGAGGTTTCTTCAGGGTCGGCAACGCACGCGTAATACCTCTGGTATTGCAGGTGTTCATAAGCTACGGTAACCACTTACCATCAGGTGGGCCGTATGCTTGTTTGCCTCAGTGGTATAAAAAAAAAGAGGTCAATTCTGTACATGAAATATATTTCCAAAATAACTATCAGGGGGTGATTAGTGGTATGGCCAAAAATGCAATCAGTAAAATTTTTGTCTGCCTGCCTGTCTGTCTGTCTGTCTGTGTGTTCGTTATAGAAACAAAAACTACTCGACGGATTTTAATGAAACTTGGTACAATTATTCTTCATATTCCTGGGCACGTTATAGTATACTTTTCATCACGCTACGATCAATAGGAGCACAGCAGTGAAGGGAAATGTTAGGAAAACGGGACAAGTCCATTTTTAAATTACCATCGCGTGTGCAGCCTAAATGGCCATTTTTTTAAATGTAAAAATGTCCACCCGTGCGAAGCGCTAGTGATAAAATAATCATGGTTGACCCAATTACTTAATTAACATTGTAACAAATTGCGTCTTCTAAATATTGCATATCTACATGTTTTCTCCTAAATATAAATATCCATGATAATCTTTATCCTTTTTAAATTCGCGTGTGATAAATATTTTTACTACTATATTTATACTACTATCGGGTCCACTACCGAAAAAAAATAATAAATGTCATGTATGTACTCATGTGACGTTAGTGGGAATAGTGTTTAGATTTTTCGCAATAATCGATTAATTGAGCGATTTGAATCGAGTGAGAAGATTTCTTCAAATTCTTATGCAAAATGTTAAAAAAAGGGAAACTAAACAGAAAAATTAATTATTTTGTAAACTTTAAAACTTGTACAGTTGCCTATAGGAATGTTAATTTAATAAAAAAATAAAATAAACTGTATCGCTCTCTTAAAAAAATATCGAGATAAGAAGGCAAAATAAGCAAGTTTTAGTCCACTATTCACTTCAAAATTGCAGATTTTACATTGTAGTTAAGAAAAGTCCTATATATATTATCTATTATAACTACGAAATAAAACTTTTTTTAACAATTGTGTTAGGTTGATTTTTTAAAAATATATAAAGATTAAAACAAATCAATGTAACGATTCGATTATTACGGAGCTAATAAATTAATTCATATCATTATTGGAATCCCTAACGTGTAAAAGCCTGTTTCATCGTCATGATACTTTTTATCGTTTAATTTCACAATTTATATATTTTATCATTAACAAGATCTATCACTAGAGTTTGTTACGGTTCTATTAATAGTTTTGTTTGTTCATATATAGTCGTTCAGGTTAATTAAAATAATATTAGTTTGTTAGTTGTTTTCTTAGTTTGTCTTATTAAACCAGTGTTTTTAATAATAATGATTGAATCGGTAAAAGATACATTCCTGTATTTCGCCTATGGCAGTAATTTGTTGAAGAAAAGAATTCATATAAACAATCCCTCGGCTCAATTTTTAGGAGTTGGTCGTTTGGATGTAAGTGCCTATGGCCTATATGATATAAACCTAAATATACTTTGAAAAAATAAGGGATAATCTTTTTTTAATAGTATAACAAATTTAAATGTACTTAACAGGTGCAATTAAATTACACAATAAAATTGGTACTTATCCCAATTTTAATACCTAATAAATATTTAGTTGAAAAAGCTATTTTCTATTTAAACGATATTTTTTTAAACTTGCAAATTTTTCCAACTTTTGCTTATTGAAGAAAATCTTGTTTATATGTTTAGTTTTTTGCTTCATACATTTTCACTGTAATTTCTTTAATTTTTCTTTTGGATTTCATTCCTTCACTCTCTTTTTGTTCATATCTAGTATTTCCTATATTAATATTGTTTACACTCATTTTTAGCACTCTTCTCTAATTTCTTATTTCTTCTCATTTATATATTCAAATCTAATACTTTTTTCATATTGTTCCCTTTTTAATAAATATTTCTTGTGTTTTAGCCATTTTTCTATTTTCTTCCTGAACTCTCTGAGCTCTTTCATGTTATTTTTTCTTTCTTTGTACAATAATTATAATAATTTCTTTTTATTATTTCACAGGATCATCAGCTAGACTTTATTAAATATTCCAACCACTGGAAAGGCACTTCAGCAACTATAGTACCAACAACTGGTACTTCTGTTTGGGGTGCTATATGGAGAATACAAAATAAAGACATGCCAGCACTAGATAGGTAACTTATTGATAGATCTGCCTCTGTCTCTCTCTTCAAAAGAAATTTTTGCTTATGATGAGAGACTTATGACATACAATGAAGTGTTAATATGTGATAATATACCATTATATTTAATTTCATTAAATAATTAAAAATGGTAAATACCTGCTATATTATTTTTCCTTTCAGGCAAGAAGGAGTAGATACAAATTGGTATTTTCCAAAAACAGTAAATATTTTTACCTCAAATGGAAAGACAGTGGAATGCCGGACATACCAACAAACAATAAATCCACCACCACGCAGTGATAACGAAGATATACCTTCAGATAGAAGACCTTCTATAACCTACCTTGAATGCATCATAAATGGTGCTGTTGAATGCAAACTTCCAGAAGATTATTTAAAAAAATTAAAGAAAATTCCACATAACGGGCAAGAAGCTCCCGAAATGATTGCAAAATTAAAAGGCCAAGAAAACTAACTTATATGACTTAATTATACCTGTGATTTATAAATATATACGATAGTTAATAAATTTACAATGTTATTATTATAAAATATGTGATGTTTTATTTCCTAAAAGAAAATAAATGTATGTATAATAAATTATTTTAAAATCAATACAAAATTGTTTATCATATAGTATATAATTATATCTGGATATATTTATGAATGTTTAAAAATCTAAACTATAATATTATAAAGAAGAAAAGTTTTTTTTTTTGTTTTTAATGAAAGAAACTGAAAAGTATTTATTCAATTTTTTTTTTTATGTATGGAGTAGATATATATATATATATATATATATATATATATATATATATATATATATATATCATTATATTATATTAATGAGCATCATGAACTATATATTTTTATACCTGTGCACGGTATATATATTATTATATCTATACCGTGCGCAGCAGGGGCAGGTTCTTATTCTGTGTTTCAAATAATACACAAATGATTTCAATAATCTTGAGAATATTATGTTTAAATTGTGACCACAAATTTTCAATTGGATTTAAATCAGGACTTTGTGCCGGCCACTGCAGTAACTGAAAGTCTTGAGAATTGAGCCAGTACTTCACTGTTTTCGTGGTATGCTTTGGATCACTGTCATGTTGGAAGGTTATTTTATTAACTGGATAAGGCATATTTTCCATTGTATCAATTAATTCGTGTTTTAGAATATTTAGATATATTTCTTTCTTCATTTTCCCAACAAATCTGTGTATAGGACCCAACCCATAAGCTGACATACACCCCCAGATCATAATATTACCTCCGTCATCACCACCGTGTTTAACAGTCTGTAGAAAATCTGTTTGACGTACTGGCTCATCTTCCCTTTTCCATTGGCGATCATCAGTTGTAAATCGACCAATCTTTGTTACATCTGAAAAAATCGTCTTCCAATCTTCTTCTGACCAGTTTTTATATTTTTTTACAAAGTCCAAACGTGCTTTTATATTTTTTTATTCGGAATCGGCTTTTCCTTTTTTTCTATTGCTCGAAATTGATTTTTATGTAGTTCACGTTGTACTGTCCACTTACTAATCGACTTCCCAATATCACACTGAAGTAGTTTAGCTGCATGAGATATCGATAAAGCTTCTCCAGTAGCTATGTATTTAATAATACGATGTCTCTAGCACTCAATTTCTTTGGCCAGCTACCAAGATTTTTTTTTAATTCATTTTGCACGATTTGCGTATCCTTTGTACCATACTTTGACTTACGTTTAATATTGCAGCCGTTTGTCGCGTACTATTGCCTTCTATTAACATCTCTTTTATTTTATTTCGTAGTGAACTTGAAAATGTCTTCATTTTAAAATACAATTGAATAACTATCTATAATACTATACAATATGCATGTATACGATTATATAGATATATGTACGAATAGTTTTAGTATGATTTCGCGTATTATTGATTTATTTAATTGTAGAAAAACAAAACATTAAAAAAAGTTATTGTTATCGTAATTCTGGCGCAAAACTGAGTCATGCAAATCACAAAATAAACAAGTCCAAACGCGTGTTTTACTGCTCTGTATCAAAGATAGAAGGTAGAGTCCTTTCCGCCAAAGAAGTCCCGCGTGATTTTTGGATCTAAATTTGATAGGTCGCCCATGTTGTCTTTCGTCGATGTTATAAAGTTGGTTTGTTGTGGTAGATTTTTGGGAGTTTTTAACTAGCTTTAGGCCCACCTGGTGGAAAGTGGTAACCGTCGCCTATAGACATGAGCAGTACCATGGACATAACAGAGTATACTGTTTCGTCCATGATACCACCCTTGCGTTGCCATTCCTGAGTGTGTTATTCCTCTGTACTCTGTACATTCACTGCCATATCCCACCCTTCAAACCGAAACACAGCCATGCAAACACAACTGCTTCACGGTTGAAACACGAATGGGACAGAGGTGCCCAAACAAATGACTTGTGCAGTCTCTCTCTGGTAAAAATAATATGGCCATATATGAGTACGACTTTTGTACAAACTCTCCCTCTAGTAAAATACACCTACAGTATGTTTTGTTTCAGTACCATTCTAAGTAGATAATTTTCAATGTAAATAGAATAGATCTCTATTTCAATTACCTCTTAGAATTTTTACTATCTGGCAAGTAAAGCAAAATATATAACAATAAGAAAGTAAAATGTCATTTAAGCCAATAAACATCACACCAAATCCTTAAGTAGAACAATTTATCACGTATTCAATAATAATGATAAAATCTCAGATATATAAACCAGACACCTTTTTATATTTTTCATACGGTGCAAATTTGCTTACGTTCAGAGTTCAGATGCACAATCCATCAGCAGAATTCGTCTCCATAGCACGTTTAGATGTAAGTGAATACCAATTTTATTGTCTTAAAAGAAATCACCTATGCAGACTTCGAGGGGATAGTTAGGAAACGAGAGCCTTGCGATGTTCTGGAGATGGAATGAAATAAACGTTGAGTTACTACAATTACCTCCACCACATCAGTACCATCAAAAATTTCAGTGATTAAACTGGAAGTAGTGGTAAGAAGCGAAGTGTTAGTAACAAGTCAGATCAACCTCCACGTGGCCCCCTCTGAAAACCATTCGTCATGATGGGTCGAATAACTTGATTTCATTCCCACCTATTGTTATTCACTGATACCTCATCAGTGTATGTTGATACCGTAGGTAGGGTTACTATTCCACTTTCGTCTTTTAAAAAATTTTAATGCCCGCAAAAATGGATGATTAATTTGTAATACTTATGAACGTTTATATCGTAACACTAGTGTTAGACAATCCATCACTATTTTTTTGTTTTCCTTTACCTTATAAACTAAATTTTATTCCGTATAATAAACTTTGTAAAGATTTAAGAAGTTATTTAAGATAATAGCATTTGTTGAATGTCTTAAAGGAAATGTCTTCTTAGAATGACATTCCATATCCAACGGTAGAATAAATAAACTGTGAATACAAAGTCTGTTTGTGTAAAGTTTATTCTTATCATAGAAATTACTAAACTTACGTCAATAAAAGTAAATATTTTGTAAGTCTCTACATTCCAATTTATTATAAATAGGTAGTATAATTTTCAGTATTTTGTGGCCAATATATATGCCTATAATTATTAGAGAGCCTGGGTAATTTTGAATACTGGGCATACACACCTTTCTATCACCATCCTGTCTATATAAAATCTTTTTATCAGAAATAAATATACACTGTAAATTTAGTACGCAATAATTATACTGCTTCTTAAAATTTATTACCTAATGTTTACTATTTTATTCTTCTGTAGAACTATAGACTGGATTTTATCAGATACTCTAAATTTTGGGGAGGCCCTAATGTTACATTAGTACCGACTGCCAACGCGCACGTTTGGGGTGTTATATGGCGCCTGCATAAAACTGACATGGCATCTCTCGATAGGTACCTACTAATATTTAAATAACAAACTTGTTCTATTCTATAAAAAAAAATCCTCAATTGTGACAACATTAATTTGGGACCAATACGACGTAATCTCTATGTACCTGTACATTACAAAAATAATCATCCAAATCGATTCAAAATTTATCAGTTACGTTAGACTCAAAGCATAAAACTAGTGGTGAGCCCCTTTTTGTTCCGTGTGGAAAATCTTCGGAAAGACCGTCCCATCTGTCGGAGGGAGGGCAGCTGGGGTGTGTGGGATTCGTACAGTGGTGAGCCCCTAGTCAGTACGTACTACTTAGTTGTTGGATACTGTTTATATAAACAACGTGAAGAACAGATTTTAATTAATATTAGAATCAATACCTTCTTATCTCGCAGGACTTTACACCATGATCTATAATTTATAAGCGTTTAAATAAACTATATTTATTTTACAGCCAAGAAGGAGTAGATATAAAAAAATATTATATAAAACACTTGGATGTGTTGACGCCATACATGGGGCTGTTCAAATGTAGAGTTTATATTCAAAAAATAAATCCATTGCCCAGAGGTGACAACGACTCGATTCCTGTGGAGAGACTGCCTTCACGGACGTACAAACAAGTTATGATACGCGGCGCTACTGAACATGAAATACCTGAGTATTATATAGATTACTTAACAAAATTAAAAGATAATGGGGAAGAGGGTTGTCTAAGAATGGTTTGTCTGTTAAATCGATATGCTGTGGACGAGCCGTGTGAATGCAGGGTACCAGGTCGTATACCGCGAAAGCCTTTGAAACTTGATTTAAAAAATATTCCAGAAAAAAAGAAAATATTGGGAAAGTAAACTATGGCTTTCACTGTAGCGAAATAAAAAGTTCCTGCTTAAAAAATCGATTTTATTTTGAGAAATGTATAGGCTTCGTTTTTAACTTTATAAAATATATTCAAACAGGGAGTATATTAGGATACATTTTGATATTCAAAACTATACTTCACTAATTTTTGTAACTTTTTTATTAATGTAAATATTAAAATTATTATTAATAGGTACTCGGTTCTCATTAAATTAAATATAAAAATTGTACACTATATCAATCGTTTGGTGAAATTGTATCTAAATTGAGCATAAAGCACAACGCTACCCCGACACTTTACATAAACACACACAAATCACACGAGGAACACATCATTTGGAAATTATTTTATCAGTCAATAATTTACGAATAATAAGTATTAATTACTAAAAATGAGGTAATATAACTGCCTTACTAGGTGGAAATCACAATAAAAATTAAATACTGATAAAAATAAGAGCGTAAGTAAAAAAAAAAAAGATAATCAGTAAAGCTCGCAGGGAACGCCGTGTGAGGCAACGTTGTGCGACACCTCGCCGCAGTCGCTCCACGCAGCGCCCACCAAAAGCGCACCGCCTGCATTGCGATCGAAATCAAAATAGGACCCATTCCGCCATGTTACGACTTAGTTTTCAAGTAATTCTTAGAATCATTTATTTATTTATATGCTTTTGTACATTCATTTTTAATATAGGTTATAACGAAAATGTGCACAGGCGGACTTACCCCTTAAAAGGATTTCTTCCAGTCAACCAGTTATATTTTTGACTTATTTGAAAAATGTAGATAAATGCCATTTATGCAAAATAAGTTTCCTTGCTAATTGTACTTTTCTAGTGACAGTTAACAGGACGAGATCACCGAGGGTCCTATTCTTATTTTGACCGTATTGTATACCACCGTTCGTAGCTGCCAACTGATGAGATTGGAAACAGACGGCGCGCTTGGTGTGCGCTGATGGAGCGCCTCAGCTCGCTCGTCGGTCCGGGACCTGTGCCGCGTCCGGCAGCGTCCGGAAGCGTCCGGAAGCGTCCGGCCGCGTCCGGCCGCGAGGCGTCGGTAGCGTCGGGTAGCGGCGTGCGCCACGGCTCCGTGCCGCACAACACTCCAGCGCAGTGACCCGGTGCCCGGAACATCCCTGACTACACTGGACTATTTGCGATACGTACTACAACGTAAGGTGGAACAATAATATGGCTCTAATATTTAACATTACACTTAATGGTACGTTAACTTACGTTTCATAAATTGAGCAAAAGGCACTATGCAATTTTTAAAATTAAAAAATATTTGGATTTGGACTTTGGAAATCAATTTGAAATCGAATGTTTCTTTATATTTTTGTTTATAAAAAAATGTTATCGATGCAACGTGCCTTGAGCCCCTCACCGACGACACAACACTCCGCTCCAGTGACGGCGCGCGCCGCCGCCGCACGCCACTAGTGCAGCCGTGCGCCGAGCCGCGTGCAGGCGGCGCGCGCACCGAACGTACATCGCCTCACCACAATATTACTACTACTCATCGCGTACCACACAGCTCACGCTTAGCTAGCCCCGTTGAATTACATTCTTTCTATGGCACGGTTCTTGGTTGTGTTGTGATGTAAAGCTTTCTGTTATGACATAAGCAAAAAACATATACACAAATGGAACCGTACTATTCGTATACCGCCAGTGCACACATTATATTGTATGTGTCGTGTCTATCTCACACAATCAACAATCCTGCATTCTGCTGAAGGCTGGATGTCTGAAGGCACTCGTTAATACCCTTATACCACATTATCGTTATAGTTATTATTACACATTGGACACCAGATCACAGTCCCGCCCGGCGTCCGATGCCCAGGATTGTTGTATATTGGAGTATAACTTTGGTTGCTTTCATTTAAGACTCAATTAGTCAGTTCATTACAGTAACATAATTTATGTAGCTAGCGTATATTTTACTTTACAACATGTATTCAGATAGCTATATGTCGATGACCATAATATATATAATTAATTTATATACAATATTATTTAGGACACAGAATTTTAATTTATATTTCACCCCGCGACCATGTTCTAGTTTTGATTACAATATTAAATTATTATTATTATAAAATATATTGTAAGGCCATTCGCGCGTTACGCATCCATTGCAGCAATAAGTAGAATATTTCACTAAATATACAGAACGTCAAATATATAAACATATAGTACTAGTAGAGTGGCAGGCCAGTACGCCAGTACTGGCGCTGGCGGCCAGTGTGCCAGCGGCCGCTGATGGCGCGAGCGTAGCGTGCGAGCTGGCCGGCGCCACAGACAACTCAATTTTACTAATTACGAGATTATCGCGCTCATTATTACTCAAATATATAAATATAAATTACGATCTTTCATTAAATAACATATTATGTATTGGAATTATCAACATACATATTTTATACTGATTTACGAACACGAGATGATAAACAAACTAATAAATAATACCATTAACTCGTTTCTAGTTACTCGGTTCGTAATGATATATCAATTGTTTAGTCCAGTACAGTTGGCAAAACTTGACACTATAAAAGTATAGATTTATTATATCAAACAATAATAGTTGAGTATATATAACTATATAACAATAATGGCAGGTTTATTCTATTGCATTATAATTGATTCGGATTACATTGATAATAATTACGTGCATATATAGTTATTAATTATATATGTGTACATGTAATGAAGTCGATTGCAACGAAAACGGAACGCCTATAAATGCGTTTACATATGCAACTATTTGACTGAGTATGTAAAAATACTCAGTTGGAATTGTAAATTATAATTATTACTATATATATATATATATAGTTTGCAAGTCTTTGGTGGTGCTAAATCCAATTAAATTATTATTTATTCGTCAATATACACATTGAACCGTTGTCCAGATAGGTCAGTATGAAATTGTTAGAAATTGTTAAAGGCGAAAAACATAAATTGGTTTGTGTGACCAGCACAACTAATGAAACATGCGTAAATAATAAAAACAGTTAGCCCTAATCCTCTAATGTATTTATTACATTAGAATACAACAAATTACTGGTTGTATCTTATGTTACTTATCCTATAAACTAACAAATAAACATGCAGATTTTCTTTTAAAATAGCAAGTTACTTTATTGAGGAAAATAATTTGTAATTTTATAAATTTCAAAATTATTGCAATGATGTTTGGATTATATTTTGCTAATGTAATTAATACAATAACAGCTAATTGATTAACAATATTGTCAAATTATTATTCACAGATAAAATATTTAATTGCATAAAATATAAAATAAAAATATTATATTTTTTTGTAATTTGGATGGATGTCAATATAAATTATTGTAAAATTGTAAACGGTATATAAATACATTTAAACAATTGGCATGTAAAATTGTCAAAGGTAAACATAAAATAAATGTGTTATTATTTATACGATTTTTTAAAAATGACAATTCATTAATATAAGATATGAAATTATGAACGAAAATACAAATCATGGACTGTTTAATTGGTATTCTTTTTTTTTTATTTCTCTCACGAGCCTCTTAAAGGAGGACTATGTTCAGCAGTGACGTTGTGTATAAATTGATATAAGATTCAGACTTCATACTGACTGATCCTTCATGACAGTTCATTGTATATTACATATATATAATATATAAACGATAAGAAAGAAGGGATCTCGAATAGATTGAGTATTATAAAACATTTGCATAAAATTGCAATCGAATCAAATTGAACAGCACAAGTGACAAATTCATGGATCGTTACGCACTTTCAACAAAAAGTGCTTTTAACAACAACTTTAACTTAACAATATCAACAAATTTGACACTCGTCGGTATTCTCATAATAAACAATTCAAAACGGGAGTTAACTAGTTAAACGTGAAGAAATTAATAAAATTAATTTGTACACGATCTAGCTTATGCGATAACATACTTATACACACTTTACATCTTACAACTGTAAACTTAAATATTAATAGGCTATGTCAAAAATGACACCGATACAACTATTTTATTGAGGTAAACTATATAGGATTCGCGTCGAAACAGATCGACTCTCGATATCGCCTCGGCAATAATATATATCGCTCGATATGAAAACGACGGTCGTCAGGCCAAAAGGAACGCTCTCGCGTCGGCGATTCCCCACGAAAAGTTAATCTAAATCAACTCCCGAAGGAAAGTGCCCGGCTCGGGCGACAAAACACGTACAAAGTAAATGCGGAGGACTCCGGAGCGCCCTCCGTACGAGTAAATTTACACTAAAATCGAAAACGATCGACCCGTGCGAGTCGCGACGTCGAGTAACGGTCGCCGGAACGTACAAAATAAATAGAACAACGCGACGAGCGGCGCTCGCGTCCAATAATTTACTAGCTACACTTACAACTAGGATTCGAAGAGTCGGCCGCGACTGGCGGCGGCCGACCTGAGGTAGATAGAGTGTGGCGCGGCGGAGGCCGCCGCCACCCGCCCGTCTCGCGGGCCAGCCTCGCCGACGTGCCAGCTTTACCGCTATATCCAGCTATTATTTTTATCAGTCGGCCATAATTTACCGAGTTCCAGTAGACAAATATTTTGGTTACTTAAAATAGTAACATAAAATATTAAACAGGATGCATTTTCACAACTCCAGGTATCGGTCGATACTAATCGATCGGCTCGATCGAGAAGGAACTACATTTTGATAGACTGCTGCTTCAAATACTCGTGCCTTTATATAAATCACGCCAGCTGTCGTCGCATACGTGGAAGTACTACGGGAACAAAATGTAATAAGTAGCTGTGGTCTAGCTAGGGGGGTAAAGCTGGTGGTCGGCTACGCCGGCGCCGCCTCGTGCTCAGTGGTGCGGCGAGGCGGGGCGCGAGCGCGGGCGGGCGGCGGCGGCGGGGCGCCGCTAGCAGCCGGTGGTGGCGGGCGCGGCGGCGGCGGAGGCGGCGGTGGCGGCGGGTGCGCTGCCGTCACGCAGCACGCCGTTGGGGCCGGCCTTGAGCGCGAGCGGCAGGGCGCGCGGCGTGGCGGCGGGCTGCAGCGGCGGCAGCGGCTGCAGCGGCTGCAGGGGCTCTGTGGCGGCGTCGTCGGAGCCGCGGCTGCGCAGCGACGACAGCACCCAGGACGCGAGCCGCCCCGACACGCCGAACAGGTTCGACCCGGACCCGGTCGCAACCGCGCCCACGTTCACCTCCGGCATCTCTTGTTCCTCCTCTGTGACCGACCAGTAGAAATTATATAAATATTTACTGTTGTTGTATATAAGATTAGTTGTTTAAATAAAGTCTTCAATAAAAAAAAGATAGATTTTTATAATTAGAACCCATACATATAGATACTCCCATCTATGTATAAAAAGGTAGTATAAAAGCAAAGAATTTTAGGATTATTGAATCTGAAATAAGTAAAAAAGCATCTAGAAAAGAAAAGTAGTATATTTTATGAAAATAAATTTATTTGCAACATGTCAAAACTACCGAGATCTACTAGCCATATACCTACTAACAAAAATAATGCTACAAAATTATGTTTTTCTACTGGGAATGATAAATAAGCTGACGATCCACATCGGCTATAAACAACACCACGATTATCACGGTAACATGGCACGCTTCGTGCGCTGCCACGGGCGTAGGCGCAGGATTTTGTTCAAGACGACGACAAGACATTCATTAATAAAAGAATATATGTATCATTATAACGCGGGAAATAATTTTAATTGCAACATTGTATATATAATTTTATAATCGTCCCGTAACTTCATAGCGTGATTTGATCGTGACCCCCCCCCCCTCCCTCCTCCCCCTCCGCAGTTCGTTCACGTCCGTCTCGTGCCCTTAATAGACTACGCCCATGTGCGCTACTACTTGTAAGGAATAATGTATCATTGCTAAATAAGGACGCGGGAAGACTATAATGGCTTATAACATGTCAGAAACTTTACAGTCGGGAGTGTTTTTGGCATTGTCACGTCAACTACCTATGGTACTTATTCCACATGCAAGTTACCGTTACTTACGGTTATAGGATTGGCGAGTGGCCGCCGCACACGTCTACAGCGGCATCGAATGGGGAAACAAACAAAGTTATTATAGATTGATTCATTAATATAATCTAATCGTCATTTCAGCCGTTAACTATCCATTGTTGAATGTAAGCCTTCCCCATAAGGAGGGGGGGGGGGGGTCGCCAGTAGTTGCTACTATAATATTGTTGCGTTATTACTTACTGATATGTACCATAAAATGAACATTTGACTATTTTTCTTGTATGTTATTTTATATCTTCGCCAAATGTGAATTGATTTTACTGCTATTTTTATGTAAAAAGGCATATAAAATTGTTCCTTAATAATTCATAAAAATGAAGTCAGTTTTTACAAAAATAGTTTGTCGTTGAAAATTTTAGAAGTGCAAATTGCGAGCCTGTTTACTACGTCAACACTGCCAACTAATCCGATTTGAATGTTCTGACATCTATAAAATGTATATGACAAAGGAAGCTAATAGCCAATCGTAGAATCGAATCATCTAATCATATATACCGTGAAGTACGTGGTGTGTTCATGTCCACAGTTGACATTACTCTTTTCTATCAGGACCATAAGTTCATTTTGCATTCCCAGTAGTAATTTTTTTTTAAACTAATTTAAATACATTTGAAAGTGAATTTATATATTTTCAAACAATCATCATAAAATTTAGAATATACGAAGTATGTGGCGTCGAGCAAAACATGGTATTTATAATAAGCCAGAGTTAATTACTAAAGTACTTATTGTATGTAAATCCTACATTGTGGAGCTTATTTTTATATCCCAATGTACGTGCACCAAGGTGTAACAAAATCCTTTCTCCTTTGTCTAAAATTTGAAAAATTGTGCATGTGTATTCCATCGAAAACTTGGCATTTTTATAACGGAATGGGAAGTTAGTTTGCATTTCCTGCACCTCTCGCACTTTTGGATTAAAAGTGCTCATACCAAAGCTTACCGAAGTGTGGCAACATATAAATTATCTTAAATATCAATTACAAACATTTTTAAGTAATTACGTAACAAGTGCTGTGATAGTGAACTGAACGTATAAGTTGGGCAAAAATCTAAAACAAACTTTGCACCTACTTCAAATCCCTTCTCGAAAACAATTGACGTCTAATTCTTTAACGGGGATAGAAGTATGACGGCCTAAGCAAAGATTCGAGCAGCCCTTAGGCAAACATAGTTAACTCTCGTACCAGTCGACCTTCTGTTGCTCCTTTCTGTGGGTTTGTGTTCAGTGAAGCTACAAAGACTATCCACTGCCAATGTTTCTTAATTTTTTAGATTTATTAACTTTTTATTTTAATAAGAGCACGGTAAGCTTCGGTGTGAAGGTGTACTAAACGGTATATAAAGGCACAGGCACTGACCGAGCGTGGACCGTTGGAGCGCGTACATCTCCTGTCCCTGCGGCGAGTGGAAGAACGAGCGGTGGCGGAAGTAGGGCATGGCCTGCGGCGCGAGGTCGGCGGCCAGCTGCAGGAAGGTGGGCCGCGCCGGCGCCCGGTGCGCCCAGCACGCGCGCATGAGCTCGTACAGCCGGTCGGGGCAGTGCTCGGGCCGCTCCATCACGCCGCCCTCCACCACGTACCGCACCACCTGCTCGTTCGACAGCCCCTGCAACCACACCGCGCAGCCCGGTCACCATACAATACCTAGGCGCAAAACGCGTCATGTTTGCGATATGAATTCTCGTGGTAAAGGTTATCGTGACATGTGTACGAACTCATGTTTTATCTTAATACATAAAATCCCATGTCACCGTACTCGTTTGCGGAAATCTCTGAAAGTGCTTGTAAAAAATTTATTTATATTTAAATTTTGTAATTGTATTTTTTTTTTCATTACACAATATAATGCAGTTAAACTATTTTACAATTAAATTAAACAAACACTGATGAAATACCTGATATGGTAGCATAGCGAGCGTCACCATCTCCCATAAAACGACTCCATAACTCCAGACGTCGCTACTACTTGAAAACACCTAAAAGAAATAATGAACAAATTAATAGACTATATAAATAAACAAATGTCAATAATATATTAAAAATATATAGATGTATAATGTAAGACTCAACAGTATAAGATTTAAGAGGCAAAACAATAAAATAAACGTATAAATTCTATTAATAGTGACTTTTCAATATATTTTGTTTACTCACCCCGTCTTTTAAGCTCTCAGGGCTCATCCACCGCACCGGCAGTAAACCCTTAGTGCCTTTCCTATAATAATCAGTCTCATAAATGTCTCTGGTCATGCCGAAGTCCCCCACTTTGACGGTGAGGTCGCCGGCGACCATACAGTTGCGCGCCGCTAGATCGCGGTGCACGAATTTTTTGGCCGATAGGTAGGCCATACCGTCGGCTATTTCTATAGCCATCTGTTGGAAAAAAAAACAATATTTTATTAGATGCACACGACAGCTAACTACGTTCATTTACATTTACTACATGTATGTACGTATATTTTCAATTAAACTATAATTACTAATTTAATACTTTGCATTTGAACATTTTTTTTTTCTATTATTTAAATAACTCTGAGAAGCCAGAAAATTTTGTTGCGGTTGGAAGTTATTTGATTGAATAACACTTTAAAACTATCGTAATAACTGTAACAGCTTAGAATATATATATATATATATATATATATATATATATATATATATATATATATATATATATATATATATATATATATATATATATATATATATATATAATATATATATATATATATAGTACTTAGGTAACAGCAATAAAAAAGCGTTCCATGTAGTCGTATTAGTCGTACATGTTCACTATTAGATTTTTTATTTGTACTATACTAATAAATATCAGCAGACTGTGTTGTTGTCGGGTTTTCGTTTGTTCGTTTGTTTCCATTTTCATTAATATTGACCGAAATAAACCATAATTTTTTTTTATACAACGCAAGGGCAAACAAGCATACGGCTCACCAGATGGTAAGTGACTACCGCCGCCCATAATCACCCACAACACCAGCGACATTGCAGGTGTGCTGCCGGCCTTTTAAAAAGGAATAGACTCTTTTCTTGAAGATTATGTTGTCGTATCGGTTCGGAAATATATCCCAAATATCTCAAAATACCGTGCCATGTGTGTACAACGTACAACACTTGTGTGTCATGTCGGCGGCTAGCATAAAATGTAATCCCTTATGATATATTACCTGTAATATGTTTTGTAAGGTGGGCGGGTTGCCGGTGTCCTTCTTGGGCAGCGAGGTGTCGGCGTCGGGCCGGTGCGAGCGCAGGTAGGTCTTGAGGTCGCCCAGCTCCATGAGCTCCATGACGACGAGCGTGGGCTGCCCGCGCGACACCACGCCCAGCAGCCGCACCACGTGGAACGTGTCGAACGCCTTCATCACCGACGCCTCGTTCAGGAACTCGATGCGCTCCCTGCACACGCCACCACATTGCAGATTATAGTTTAGTATATATAAAAGAATATTAAAAAAAAAGTAGATGTGTGATTAAAATGGGGGCACTTTAATGACGCATCTACCTTTTTTACTTGTCTGTTTGTGGTCATAGTTTAATTTAGTATTAAATAATATCTTAACAATGGTCAAACTTTATTGAAGTATTATGAAAGTAAAGGGCGTTCATATGACATTGCAGTGACAATGGCATTTTCGTAACTCCAACACGTCACTGAACAGTCATGTTTTGCTTATATATGGTAGGTGTAACTATTGCGTTACCACCGCCGCCATGATCGAAGCACACTCGATACAGTCACCTCAACAATGGTGTTTGGAAAAACCTTTACAATAAATAAACTAACAGCTAATTTAAAAAAGGTATATATAGCAAACCTGTCAGTGGCATGTTCATTGACAGTTTTCACAGCGCATCGAGTTTCTGGTTTGCCTTTTTCAATATTCTTCGCTATTCCTTCATACACCTGAAAATAATATAGACTTTATTAGAATATATATATACATGTTACAAAATGGCTGAACGTGACCAAAATACAAAAAACTCAGTTGTTATATTTCTGCGATAAAATCATTTCTATAAGTTTATGACAGTTATGGACCTTATATTTATCCGTTTTATACTATCGTCATATCCAATCTTTTTATAAACAGGTATCTAACGACATCCCATTTATTAAAACCCTTTAAGTCATTTGGACTACATTTTGCGAGATTAAACTTGTTAAATTAATAGTGAATGAGCTAATAAATGTAAATATTGGTGGAGTATGGGAGTAATTAGGACCCGCTCATCTTAACGCACTTTACCAGTATACTAACCATCCCAAACGATCCCTGTCCAAGCTCCCTGATGAACTCGATGTTACTGCGAGGCACCTCCCATTCGTCGGGCACGTAGACAGTGGACACATACTCAGGGTTGACACGCGCGAACAACTTGTTGCCTTCATTGGGCGGTAGCAGGCCGCGACGTGCATACCAAATGCCGCCGCCCACTACCATCAACATCACCACGCAACCGCCCACCAGGCCCCAGATCCATTCGTGACCAGGATTCGCAGTTCTCTCCTGCCGTATATATTAAAGCCGAGTACAGAAATATTGCAACGCAAAATGAAATGTTTGCATTTTGTACGACACTTATCACAGAAAATTAACAGGTTACAAATGAATAAACTTAAATGGCTTTATATATCTGTAGGAAGTATTTACAAGTAAGTTTCATATATTTGATAATCTTATGTAAGTCCCCTGTTGGGTCCACCATTACAATGTCTTATTTCTGTTGTGAAACAGCAATAAATGTGTTGTAACGCACATTTCTTAATGAAAAGAAGCCATATGCAAAAATTATTTCTATAAAATGTTACTATAAAGAACCATCACTAATAAGGAAAAAGACTACACACGACACTGTAATAAATAAGGGCCTCTTTCGAGTCCGAAACTAGTCGAGCAACTGTGAAGTTTAATATGTAAGTATAATCGATATAAATAAATTATAAAGCAAATATTGTTTACCGGTATAAATATAAATATCTCGGAGAGGTTCCCGGCGCCACTGACGGTGATAGGTGTGACCTTGATGCTATAGTTTCCTGCGATGAGATTCCGCAACATGTACGTTCGCCCGTTCGTCTCATAGTCATCTGATGATACACACGTCTGAAAACCAAGGTCTTGAACCTGCAAATAAACAATAAAAAAATAAAGAAACATTTTTATTGATATATAGATTTAATTCTAAATTTATAATTTAAGTTCTAAATTAATACTTTATGCTATTTATTTAGGCCACGCCCAGTTTTTTTTAGAAAAACGTATTCGATGCGATTTCTAACGATAGTATCTATGATCGCAGTGAACATTCGTTAGATCGAAAATAGTATAATTAGTTTTTTCGTCATCATTATTTTGGAGTCGGCGTAATATGTTCTTTTTTCCACTCATCTCTATTTGCGGCCATTTTGCTATTCACTCCCTTTCTGACCATGTCATCTTTCACACAGTTCATCTACCTTTTTCTAGGTCTTTTCTACACTTACGATGTACATTTTCATATTTAAAGCTTTTCTTATTCTATTCTCTTCTTTTCTGTTTTGTCAAGTAATAATAATAAATATAATATATAGGCTACAGTGACCGTTTACCATCCAGACGGGCTGTATGCATGTTTGTCACCTTCATGGTATAAAAAAATATCTATGAGAAATAAACATAGAATACCTGAGTGCTGTCCTCCACCCGAGAATAATGCACTTTGTATGCTGCTAGGAAACCGTTTGGATTTTTGGGAGGTTCCCATGTTACGTTAACCTCGGGAAGCGTCTTGTTTGACGGCAAAATATCAGCTTGTAAGTTGCCAATTACATCCGCATTCACTGTGAACAAAATACAATATTGTTTACTTATATTACGCACGCATAGTTATAATTATCCAAATACTAATCTAACCATGCTGTATGACGAATTGTTGACAATGGAATATATTATATATTATTAATAATGTACTTGTTTAATTTTATTTTTATAGGTTTAAATTGTCTACTTCATTATGGCAGATTAATTGGGAACTTTTTATAACAAAGCAATTAGTTCTAATGATTATTTTAATGTCATAATACATTTAATAGATATTTTATTTAAGAAGAACCATAAATTATCTATTTTGTCCTACGATTATGGCAAATTCCAAAGACCAGAGGGAGATTTTGTACAAAAGTTGTTTGCTTGGGCACTTCTGTCCCATTCGTGTTTCTACCGTGAAGCCGTTATATTTGCTTAGCTGTGTTTCGGTTTGAAGGGTGAAATATGGCAATGAATTTATAGGGTACAGAGAAATAACACCTGAGTCCCCAAGAATGGCAACGCATGGGGGTGGTATTATGGGCGAAACAGTATAATCTGTTATATCTATGGTACTGCTGGTTTCGTCTACAGGCGACGATTACCACTTTCCATCAGGTGGGCCGTCAGTTTGTTTGCCATGATAAGTTGGATAAAAAAAATACCTTAATACAGTTAGTATAATACTATCACATTTCTAATATACAACAACAAATATAATTCATGCAATAAGAACTTTATTATCTTCAATTAAAAGGATTCTAAAACAATTTTTTTAAACAATAAAACAATATATTAATCACTACGAGTCTAAGACAAGGTAAAAATGGTACAACAAATGTTATTCATATCTGAAAATTCGAAGGGCCAGTTATATAATTACCGCGAAAGGGCGAAGGCCTTTGGGCATGAAAAACAATAACCTTTGCAGGTACACGTATCAAATTGTTTATTGAGAAAACAATATATTAATGGAACCGGACGAGTTATGATCCCATAGATAGATGTAAGCATATACCTCACTCTATCTATATGGAAACTAATATTTTTTTTAATACTATGGCTTTACAAAATTGTTGGCTGATTTCTTTCAATAATACCTCCAGTTATGAAGTTTTTGTAAATTGTCTAAACTTTTTTTTAATTTTTAAACCGAAATTTATTTGAAGTCAAAGTATATTCCTTTAAGTTCACTTAGAGCAAAGTATATTTAGTTTCTAGGACATCTTATTAAATCATAATACTTGTATATCAATATATTTAATACAGTAGTATTCGAACTGTATATCGTACCGTCAGCATCAAAAGTAGATGAACTCAAGAGATTTCCACATATATATCCACCATTGTAAGCATGAGTAGCTTAACAAGGTTATCGCAAAAATTGGATTTAATATTACATAAGGTTGAAATTAATTGAAAATATACAATAGCATATGTACATTAGAAATTTTCCAAATCTTAATGTGTTTGTTGACTTTATATGCTAATTGTACTAAATTTGATTCATATTAACATGTGGAATAAAGACAAAAGAAATATTATTAATTATAAAATTAATGGGAGCATCAAATATACATACCTATTATTTACAATAAAAAAAAAACTCTTTCGATTCATACATACATATGTTGAAAAATAAAAAGCATAATGAAATCTGATAATTCTGACAAGATAGTGTGTCAAACAACTAGTCTACTAAAGTAATCAAATTATAAAAAGAATAAATTAATAATCATTTATAATAAAAAATTAATAACTATACAAGATGCTCACTCAATTCCAATGTGCGGAAGGTGTTGTACGCCCTGTCTGAGCACCAGGTCTTCTCATAGGTTTCCTTATTCTCATTGTCGTCCTTCATGCGACACGCCCACACATTCACCGTGTACCATGTGCAATGACGCAGGCCATTCACAGTCAGTGTGCTCGTGTTGCTGTCCAGCTCGTAGAACAACGACTTCACGTAACCTGACATATAAACATCTTGGTTACAGTGACTGACACTTGACTCCATACACGTTCTGTAATGCACGCTTATTCATAAACAATAAAACTTCCTACAAACCTATTACTATTAGAGGGTTTTATTACTATCTTTCAAATTGAGAATTCACACACAAATATATGAGAATGTCAGTAAATTTCAAGGATGACCTTTACTAATTTTGTTTTTGTCTCTTTAATACTCCTTTTGTTGTAAATTAGTCATAATAAAGTAAAAGAAGAGACCTAGTATTTTAAATAAATTATTTGACATCTATTATCTAAAGAGTATCAGAATATAAAGAATATCAGATGTATTCAATATTATTATCTCGTAATTCTTCGTGTACGATGGAGATATCTTTTCCATACCCTATTTGATGCACAAGACTGCTAAGTAAAAAAATCACTATATGATAGTGAAAGTAAAAAAAAACTTGAAATAAAACTATACCAAGCCGCGTGGCCAACGTGGCAATAGTAAACTAACATTCTACTCGGAAGAGATGTTATTAGGTTCATATGAAGGCACAAGTCTTATTAGGGCGAATTATTATTCTGAGCTTATGCATTTGAATCTTATGAGCGTGGCTTAATATATTGCGTGTTTAAAACAAAAGTGTCAGACAGAAAAGCTGTACAGCTAATTGTGCTGGCTCTATAAATCTCTCAGTAAATATCTATGTTTGTAGATTGGGAATGTGTGAGTTAGAAATTATTGTAATTTATCTTATATTAAATTATTTTAAGTAAATAAGGGTCGTCTCAAGATAGTATGTGTCAACATCTAAGAATATAAACTCTTTTCATAGATGAGATGACGAAATAAAAAATAAGAATTACAATATTTTGAGTCAATAATTGTTTCGAGGTAATATCAAAATAAATTTTTAGTAATACGTCTGCATAATATACGTCATACGGTTTTGATGCAAAAGTGTGTGTGAATGAATATGCACATTGATTTGGTTGAGAATGGTCTTGCGGCATCACTATTGTTATGCGTAGAGATCCGTCTATATTTTTTTATGTCGGAACGCTTATCATACTACTAAAATAATTTGTTGAATAAAAACAACCTTATCTAAACTTCATGGTTTACAACTAATGGAAGGTTTGTAGGTATTAAAATATTATTAGATAACAAATATGACTGTATCAATTCTATTTATAAGTTCCTAAATGTGTAGTACACTTAAACTATCGTAATGATATGTTTACTAAAACTAAAAACATGTCTCTTTAATAAAACCCACAACTGAAATAATATTGAAAGAATCTACTACTTGACGTATCTACATTCAATCAGAAAATAAAGGCATGCATATAAAATAACGAGATGAGCGCCGCAATTATATTAACTCTAAATCTACAAAATTACATGCAATGTCTACAAGAGATGTCTGTTTTATGCCATGCCAGTAGGTACTGTTTCGCTCATCCAGTGAATAACTCTCATTTATAATTAAGTATAATTCTAACGTGTAATCAGCTTGTACACTGTTTGTATTATTCATAAAAACGTGTCACTAGAAATAAACATATTTTAACAATTAATGTGTTTTGTCACATTCTTTCAAATTAAGATTTACGCTCGAGAGAAAGAGACGAAACTATTAAATAGCTAAAATAGGTTTTCTGAATGTTTTTATGAATAAAATGTGATTAAAACACATGCAGTAACCGGATACCCGTGACATAAAACAATAATTTCTATGTTGTAACCTGTAGTATTGTCCTTTATGACGCAAACGTTAGGCTCGATGCGACTGCATTTGACTGAAAAGAGAACGTTCAGATGGGCGTGATGAGGTTTGTGTGAGGTGACAAGCATGACAAAGATGAAGAATAAGCACAGAGAAGGTAGCCTATAGTTGGCGTAGATGATTAACGTGGTAAATCAAGGGATGGACTGGTGAAACAAATGTGATGGCGATCGTGAAATTGGTTACCTTCTCCGTCAGTGCTGTTGGAGTAGTTGAATCCTATTATGGGCCTATTGTTCTCGCTGAGTATAACGAGCATGGTTTGCAGGTTCGATTGCTCGATGGACCGCTTCGGCCTGTTCTTCACTTTGGCTCGAATTTTCTCGGACTTTATGTAGACCTGCAATAAATACAAATGATATATGAACTGTATTACCGCAAGGTCCATAAAACGCAATTTTGTCTACCACAGCGATTATATCAATTAAAACTATGTGAAAAATTTGTGGATATTTTTTATTTTATTAAATTAATTAATTAAAAGTATAGAAACAAGGATAGCATTGCACATTTTCATATTAGCCACCTAATATTATTTAATTTTTAAAGCAACATTTTATTCAGTATTCCACCGTGTCTATTGTATTATATTGTTAGTCCGTTTCAATGGAATTTTATGATAAGTTAAAATTATATTGAAATTATTAGGAAAAATACACTCTAAATTAAATTAGTAATAAATCGAAATATTCCATCAATTAATTGATTTTTTACTACTATTAGACATCAGCAGATTGTCTTATGGTCGAGTCAATTATTTTATATTTTCATCATTTGTAATGAAAAATACTTTAAAATTGTTAGTGCTCAAATAGAATGTAACCTCATTCTGCAGTTCGTTCTCGAAGTTGATGCTCTCGATACGCTCTTCCTCGGCGCGCGAAGTAAATCTGACGCCGGACTTGGGGCGATCTTTGCAGGAGCAGGACGCGTTGCTGGCCAGCTCGCCCGTCACCTCGCGCTGCAACTCCGGTGGACCCTCGCCGTGGCCAGCTTTTATCTTGTTTGCCAGGGCATTCGCTACGGGATGGTATAGTTCCTATATATTATTGTAACTCAGACACGCACACTCCACTCACTATAGCACCACTGTTTCCTCTTAAAAATCCCATAACTAAATTGTCAAAATATCTGTTAAGATAATGAATTTTATGTTAATAAAATTCCTTAAAATCTGTCTTCGCTGATATATTTAAATGTCCCTCATAACTACAAATAAAACTGAATTAAATAGGGATAGCAGCTATAAATTGTTTAAGGAACAAATAGTAACTTAAAGATACCATCAAGCAAGCTATGAACAATCAACTAAAAATCTTAAAACATAGCTATAAAGCCCAGTAGCACTTTGGAATAGTTTTTAGGATTGCCAATGACGCGCTAAGAAGATCCGCAAACTATAACAAAACAAAATCTAAAGTACATACTATTACACGGTACATACGGTTGGTGCAGTAATCGAACTTGGAGCCGAGGATCTTGGGTTTATTATAGCTGTTGGCTTGGATCTCCACATGATACATGACCACGACACCATTAGGCATAACTGGCGGGGACCAGCGGATGTTCACAGAATGCGCGGTATTGTGTTCTACTATCAAGTTTACTGGTGGACTTGGCTCTGCAAATAAATTAAATATATAGATTATTCCACTTTAATTAAAAATATAAATTATTATACTAATAATCGCTAGCGCTCAACATCTGCGATACATAACATACCTACATAGAAAAAAAGAAATAAAAAAGTTCATAAATAATCTGTTCCTTTTTTGAATTTGAAAATTATGTTTGGCCAGTTCAGTGAGAATTCTAAACATACTCACGTCCAGGCAGTGTCTTGAAATATATTATGTTGCTCTGCGCGCCCTTTTTGTCCTGTTGCGTGGTGTACGTCTTCACGTATGCGGCGTACCGCGTGTACGGTCGTAGGTCGGTGAGCGGCCGGAACGACGGTTGCACATGCTTGCACGGGTTCGTGATGATATCCGTGCGGGGGTCTTGCAACTCGGCGCTCCTGTTGCTATGCAGTCGCGCCTCATCTATCGTTATGTCTACCACGTTCCATCTGGACATATAGATATATTCATAGTTAAGTCTATTTGTTATAGCCCTTAATAATGTTAACATTTTTTAGTAACGGTTTTCTTCCCGTTTTTCTTCTCTAAGTAAGATATTCTGTTATAGCTTAGTTTTTACACAGTGCAACAATTCATGGTTATTATTGTAACTCTCATTACTAAAAATTACATTAATTACATACATTCTTAAAATGATTTCATCCTTCCCCCCCGATTGCTTGTATTTTAAGTAAATTATAAAAAAGTTTTATTAACAAATGAAAACTTCAAATACTAACGCATCCGAACAGGCATCTCTCTGACCATACAGAGTAACGTCCTTATCAGCAACAATATAATACAGCGAGTAGCCAAGCAACTTGCGAATGTCTTCCACGCAGTACATGTTCCACGTTAGCACAACCACAGTGTCCCGCCGCTCCGAAACATTCAGATTGAGCAGGTTAGGGAAACCTGAAGCGGAAATATAAATTTTTTTTATGCAACTTAGAATGGCAAACAAGCTGACGGCCCACCTGATAGAAAGTGGTAACCGTTGCCTATACACACGAGCAATACCATGGACATAACAGAGTACACTGTTTCGCCCATGATACCCCCCATGAGTTGCCATTCCTGAGGACTCAGGTGTAATTTCTCTGTACCCTGTAATTTCACTGCCATATCCCACCCTTCAAACTGAAGAACAGCCATGCAAACACAACTGCTTCACGGTAGAAACACGAATGAGACAGAGGTGCCCAAGCAAACGATTTTTGTACAAAGTCTCCTTCTGGTGAGAATGAGTTTGAACCTTATATGAATATACTATATTAGCTAACGAGGCCAACGTTGTTTTGTTGGGGGTAAGGGGTTGTTAATAATGATACCTAAAAAGCCTATTGCTAGTAATATACCTTATCAGGTCGACCTCCATGCGGTTATCCCTGGAAACTATTGTGGTTAATTCGTCATGATCCGTCGACTGACCTGCACCCATCCCCACTTATTATCTCTCACTGGTGCCCGGCCAGTATACACTAATAGTGCAAGCTTGGTTACCATTTCATTTTCACCCATGAAATAACGTTGTTTTGACCATTAAACCTATAAAGGTCAAAACGAGTTCTTATCGGAATAAAAACTATCCTGTCTTTCAAGTTAAAGCAAATATTACACATTTACAAAATTTTATTAAAATCACTAGAGCAGTTTCGGAGAACGAATATCAGGAGACGGGATTTTTACAATATAATAAATTGCGTTTTTATATTGGATCAAATTATATTGTGCATATATTATTATTATACATTCCCGACGCTCAAATTGAAAAATGTTATTCTAAATTAAGACGTAGTGTAAACTTTGATATAAGTAAGTTTTTTACTCGCGGAGATTTCGCCGCTGATAACGCATTATTTATTCGCTTGCATGACTACTTACATGACGCCTGATCTCCGTTGTTGTCTTCAGATACTTCAATTACACTAAATTCCGACCTGGGATCGTGTGTCATATTTTTAAGAGGCAATATTCTGTCGTAACACAGTTTTGGATTCATGTGTATATGAAGTGTTCCCTTCGATATATCTATAGGCCCATGAGTGGGCCAGTCCCATAATAGCTCCAGGTTTGGATTGTTAAATATATTTAATACTTGTCCCCTGAAAATAATATTTACATTTAGTCTACTTCGTTAATTACTTAAATTAAAATTAATTTACATTCTTATATCATACTTACTTGTTCTCGCCTGGTACTCCAACTATTTTCTTCAGACTCTTTAAGAACATTAATGATATTAACATATATGAACGTGTCACCTGCAAGCAGCCAACAATCTCTCTGATTTCACCCAAAGAAGATTCGAGAACTGCCATTGTATTACCTGAAATTTATAACGAAATAAAATCTCTTATACTATTTTCGGTCCAAGAAAGAGCAAATGAACAGATATATTATGTTTCTCTATTATTCGCATGTTTTATAACATTATTGACTGTATTCAATTTTAAATAAGTATATTATTATATTGCAATGACTTTAGAGTGGTCATACACATTACGGTATATCAGAGAGGCACAAGTAGGCAATTTGTCTGTAGACTAAACCATAATGTATGCCCAGCAATATATTTTTTTTTCTTAAACCTGTATAATATCGCATAAAAACACTTGACACTAGAGGGCAGCACCCTGTTACGGATAATAGTATTTCTGGTTATAGAACTCACCACCACTAGCCCGCAATGTGATCTCAAGTTTGCCATTGATATGCGTACAGCCGCGATACCGTTCGGCAGCTGCTATGGAGTCGATCTTACCGCCGCTACACTCTCGTACGCAGCCAGTTTTTGGGCACGGTATGCAGGTAGCAGTTTCTACATCGCCCACCTACAATACAGCATCAAATTTTAAGTATCTTCAAATCAACCATATAAAAGGTAAGTTGAGAATGAAAAATTTTAGTAGTGAATTACCAGAGGGAGACTGTACAAAAGTCATTTCTTGATGGGTAGTGCTGTCACAGTCGTCTATGACGTGAAGTAGCTTTGCTTCCACGGTCAAGAATCGGTTTAAAGTGTGGAATACAATAAGGAAACTACAAGTTACGGAGTCCTAATAAACGACAACGCATAAAGAGTACCATGACCACCACATAGTTCTTGTGATGTCCATGGTGGTTTTCAAGTGTGTGAGTGACGGTTACCGCTTTTTATCAGGTGGGTTGTTAGCTTATTTTCCAAAAATATTAGTAGAGATTCACTTAAATGTATCTGATTATAAGTAAATTAAAAATAATCCATACCTCCATATAACCGCTGGGACAAATGTAGACGCAGGAGTCGTTGAATATTTTGTAGGCCTTGATGTTGGAGTCTGGCCGCTGTTGGTTGGTCTCACTCGAGCCGACCAGGGGTGGCGGCGGCGGCATTTTGCGACATTCCTCCTGAGCCACGCACCGCGCGAACAACTAAACAGAGAACAGTACCATGTAATGTCTTATTTTTTTTTTTTTTTATAGCACAAACGTATACATAACACAATATATATTATCTACCACAGATATGTAACTATAGCGTATGTATGTAACAGATAATAAAGTGGGAATTAATATTACTCCTGGTCAAAAACAGGGTGATAGATATATTTTTAAAAGCTCATGATTATAGTATAATTGTTACGCCAATAAAATTGCTGGCGTAGTTACAGGGATTATTAATTTAAACAGAATTAAATATGACAAGAGCAAAATCATTAAAATTTGATATAAAATTTATAACAAATTTTTAAACTTTATTCAAAATTCAGTACCCTCGCTACAGGGTAAGAGGTTGTTAGTAATGAGGCCAGGAGCTTATAGCCCTATTGATAACAATTTATTATGTTAGATCAACCACCACTCGATTCTCTTTGGAATCCATAGTGTTAAATTTCTGGTAAATTCATCACGATGAGCCTAACTAATCTTCATCTATCATCACACACTGGTACTCCGTCAGTAGACATGAATAGCATATTACCACTTTATTTTCATCATTAAAAAAGAACCCTTCTTGGCCCCATACAACATCCGATATAATCTTTATTTTAAAACAATTTGATAATCTGTGGTATATATTTAAAAATAATACTAAATTACTTCATTGTGAGAACTTTAATCTCCGCAATACGTAACGACTTTTGATTGTAATTATAATAAGCGCCTAATTATCTAATACGACGCTGAATTATCTTTTACTTATAAAGGCAAAATAAATCTATACGATCGTAAATTAAACTCTAATGCTCTTCCTTTTTCAATAGAGTTTAATAGAAAAGTAACCAAGCCTTATTGAAATTATCACAGAAACACTTTGTAAATGAAATAAATAAACACATCGTTTATTTAATTATGTAATTATTCCACTTAGTTTTAAATATGACATCAGCAGAGTGTCTTATGGTCGAATCAATTATTACTTTAATTGCATTTTAATTAAATTCTAATAAAACAGACTATAAACAAACAGACATATCATGTGAGGTATGTTTTCGTTACTGCCCGTACATAGAAAAACAAGACGTTGCTCTCTCATACTATCTCATGTATGCACCAGCAAATGCGTATCTGTAGCCAAAATCATTATAGTCTGTTTCAACAAAACTTAAAAGAAAACAAACGAGTAAATAAGTCGTTCTTAAGACAGTGTGCTGATGTCCAGTAATAGATCAAATCAAAGACTGATTAACTGATTAAATGTCACAATATATTATTAATTTTAATAAGGAACGTTTCTATGACAACACAACAAAACTTTGTTCTTTAATACAACTTAATTAAAAGGTATTTCATTAAGTTCTTCGCATTAAAACCGACTGTAAGGTGTGTTTGTTTATGTATGGACGTCGCTCGTACCTTGTAAGTGTCGCGGGGACAGTTCTCCACGCAGGTGCGCTCGCTGCCATATTTGAAGGAGTAGTGCTTGCAGGCGAAACAGTCCCTGGACGTGGGGCCGTTGCAGCCGCCGAGGCAGCTCCGGTGGCAGCACGTCCTGTTATTCATGCAGCCGCTCTCGCCACACGCACTCGGGCATACTGTTCACACGGTATAATAATTATCAACCGGTCACGTCCACATCGTAAACACTTTAGAACTTTATCATAGTGACATTATTGACAATTCGAAACATGTTTAGACATAACCCCAATAAAGTCTAATTGTTATAAGGCAATAAAAGCGTTGTGCTGTACTGAGAATAGCAAACGAGTTGATGGACCACCTCATTAAAACTGTATCATCCGAAGTACAGAATACACGCCCAGTGTCACGTACGCATCAGGTTACGGGCAAAAAGATTTACGCAATCCAACATAACTGAAGCTCGTCATATACGTAATATGGCATAATCGCAGCTTGCTACGTATGCAGTTTGTCATAATCGCAGCCTGCTATGTATATAGTTAGAGATAATCGTAGCTTGCCATGTTTGCAGTTTGACACAATCGCAGCTCGTCATGTTTGCAGTTTGAAATAATCACAGCTCGTTATGTTTGCAGTTTGACATAATCGCAGCTCGTTATGGATGCAGTTTGACATAATCACAAATCTTTATTTATGCAGTTTGACATAATCGCAGCTTAATATGTCACACTTTGTCACGAAAAGCAAAAACTGTTATTTTTTTAGAAACATTTGTTTTATTTTAACAAGTTATTTTAAAAAACAAGTTATCTATATTTACACCTATTTTTATTAAAAAAATAAACAAAATAAAAGTCAATTAATTTATTTGTACGGATATCAACAACAAGTTAATTTTACTAAATGAATTTTATATTATTACTACGGGAATTACTTAATTAAATATTAATTATTAAGTCAACTCCGCTTGTAACACTCGTACCTGTAGGTATATGGATTGAAATCCTATATTCATTTGCAGTTTCTTAAACGAGTGACGACTAAATTTGTGATTAATTGCGTATTGTGAACCTGTAGATCTAAGGTGCCTATATGTCATACGTAGTAAACATGGCTGCCACTTCTGAGAACTAAGATATTACACTAGTCATCTTGCTTTCACATTGAAGGCAAGGCTGCTTTACGATAAAAATTTGTACCACGATGGTATCAATCTATCCAGTACCGGCCTTGGGGCGGAGAACGGTAGGACGGCGCTCGTGGACGCTGAAGTTCAAAAAGGCCGCCAAGACGTAAGATTGGCGTTAAGATTAGTAAAAGATCGCATTAAATTTCACTTTGGCACCAAGTATACTAAGGTCGGCTTTCTACTCGTTAAATAGTGTTCTACCAGTAACCACTTAAGTCAATGTCAAATCTCAGACAGACCAGTAAATTTTTTTTTTTTTAATATCCCAAAGAACCAATTTTACCCATTATGCCATCATCACGTTAAACGTTTTCCTTGTTGAAATATTTAATAAAACAGTTAAACATAACACTATCTAAGAAAAAATAGAATTTTTAAGTTACGAAGTGTTGCCATTTCTTTATTTTAATTTATTTTTTTATAAATAAGATTACCATTAAATATTACTATTTTCATTGGGATATACCAGGATATTTCAATTATGACAAGATAATATTTATCAAGGTCATAACGAGATGATGAAATAAAAATATGGAATTACAATGTATCGATTTAATTCATAAATTTTCGTAGTTATTTGAGATATAGAAGAATTTATTTCTGGCAACACATTTATAGTAAAAAAATAATATAAATATGAACTAGTAACGATCATGGTTGTGTGAGGGATATTTTGTTTTAAAATAGCCTTAACAATTATAATGACTTGCGCAGACTAAGGGAAATTTTGTTCATGAAAAAAATTTCCTTGCTTTTAATCTTATTACGGATAATCCTCAAAGTCCCAAAAAATTTTATACTACAACGCACACGTGTCGTACAGGGCTTAAACAAAGTAATATTATCCCGAAAAAAAAAATTGTTGTATGTTGTAATCCATTTGTACTTTTCTGTTGGTTTGATTGACTTGTGTATAATAAAATCTAGAAACTGTTGACACCAGAGGGCGACAGCCAAGTCAAGACAAGCAGTATTAGATGGTAGTTTGAATTATAGAGACGCCGTACAATATATGCATTAAAAAAAATGAAATGGTACATATTATACATTATGTTACGTCTATTTCTCTAAAGGCCTATTACAACTGTCTCTAAGTTGCGGGTTTGCTTGTGTAAATTTGAATATAAGTAACATATGTGTTAATTCGGAAAGAATGCATTTATCTATGTAGCAAAATTTAAATCAATTCAGTTGTTTGAGGTTTTTTTAATGGGTGAAAATGGAATGGTAACCGCGCCTATGTCTACTATTGGTATATACCAGTATATACGAAGCACCAATGAGAGATATAGGTGAAAATGAAGCAGGTCAGTTGACCCATCGTGAAGACTTCCACAAGGATTAACCCGACGGTTTAAAGGGAGACTTGCGTGAAGGTCGACCTCATCGTATCAACCGTCAACTGACCACTGCTGAGAATAGGCCTCTCTCATAAGGCGGGTTTTGCAGTAATTGCCACGTTTGGCTGGTGGAGGTCAACCTAATAGAGTATAATGCTAGCAATGGGTCTGTTAAGATCCTAATATAGACAATCCCTTTACCCCAGTTGTTGGAGTGTGATTGAGTAACAATGATTCAAACTACATCTATAGAAACCTTCACATTTGCAATATTCAGAGTAACATATTATAGAGACGCGTTATTTTTATTTGTATGCATTCCAAGATACAACATTGTTCCACCTCAATGGACATAAAAGTTCTCCTGAAGACTACTCCGCATCAAAACAAAGTCTGCCGCGAGCACCGACAGCCCCCGCTCAGCTCAGTGGGTCGAGGTACGCAGTCAGGCTCTCACTTACTTCGCAGCCGCTCATGATTAAGGGTCATGAATTGATCCCGAAACTAGTCTAACTGCCTTGATCTAATTATACGTAAGTTAAACCGGTAGTTATTATAATAAAATAATATGTGCTTACAAAACAAAACGTTTAACAATAAAAAAGCAAATTGATATAATTGATTGCCTACAGGGTTACGTTTGATTGAGAACCGGGTTTGTTATTACAGCTAATATTGGTTATTTCTATGTATACGGGGTGAAATCGAATACAGGTGGCATTCAATTAAGGTACTGTGAAAATGAATGTTTTTCTTAAAAACACATGGGTCGAAAAGTTTTGAACCTCCCATATTATCAAATAGACGCGATGTGATTATACGAGAAATAGAAGACTCAAAAATTTTCATCATTTTTGACTCATATATTTTGGAGAAAAATATTTAGTGTCACAGGTAGAATATTACCTTAAACGATGCTAAAGATTTCAATTATATTCCATATTACTGAAAAATTAAGAAGAATAAAACGCACTCACTTTTTTGGCAATGTTTGTCATCCCAGCAGAGCAGAGTGCCCGAAGCGTCGGTAGGACACATCGAAGAAGATTGCGGATGATCCACGGTCCGACTTTGCGCTTCTGGACACAGACCGCATAGCCGAGGGTCGTAGTTTGACTGCAATAAATAAGTTAAATACATCTTCTTTCCTTATGTTGTTCAAATAATATTAGTGAAAGTATAAGATTTCTATAGTACAACAAAAAAGCACGTCTATTTGTTAGAATTTCATATATTTATTTTGAATAAAATTTCATCGGTTTACTATTTATTTACTATTGTTGGAATCAAAATGCGCTGAAATTGTTTTAATTAATTAATTTTATCTACAAGAATGAGAAATTAACAGTGGCCCGTATGAAAGTTGATGGAGGAAGAGCGAACGGAAACAGATCGCCGTGTTGCAATGCTACATTAATTAGTGTTTCCATATACAAAATTTACATTGTTAGTTTATGGTTTTAGAATAAAAAATATTTAATGTTAAGATACAATATTGGATCTTAACAATTATTATGTTGTTTTTCTAACCTGTAACGTATAATAAAAAGTTTTAGCCATTTAGATAAATAAATAATTGCATATACTTAAGCACAATTTAAATTGAAAATAGAGGCTAAAATCTTTTAACAAACTCTATGTATATGATGTTAATTCCCTTAAGATGAGGTTACTAGGAAGCAATTATATCCTTTACATTGTCAACTATGTTATTTGTACATTTGCAATCTGTTATTTATACAGACATGTTCATTTGCGGAATTGACCATATTTAGTGTAAGTAAGCATAGACGATATGGTGCAAAACTAATAACAAAGAAGTCCCACGGTTCGCGCAATATGCGCCACATTATATTGGCCCAGAATCGTAATATCTACTGACCACATGCCCGTACGAAGTCCCTAACAGCTATTACATAAGTCTTCAAGTATATAAAAATATTTAAGTATAGAAAACTATTGGTAATTGTAGTCTTATGCAATGATTTTTTAGTCTTATCAGAAGCAGAATATACATATGAGATAATCAATGTATCTCTAAGTTTGTACCACGTCGCACCTGTATTTACATTTAAGGCGAAGAAACAATACATGCATTATCGCGTTAAGTGTCTGTAATATAAACAATAGCCAGTACAGATTCAGACATCTTAGTCTTCAGGATGTATCACCCCTGAGGATTAAGCTGTTACACCTTAATAGTGACCACCACCATTATTTAGCGTTATTCATAAAAGATGTTCATTTTACACGCGCTCGGTGAAGCTGTAAAGGGTATCTGCGGCTAACAGCTAATGCGGTACGAAAAAAAAGTTCAATTTAATCTCAGGGGGATGATAGATTGTATACCAAAAATTACCTATATAATTAAAATATTTATCATATGAAACTCTTTATTCGCGTCCTATAGGACATATGAGAACTCTTCTTTACACTCCCTTCAAAGACTTATCTGCGTATTTGCCTATTATTTATTTTAAAATGACCTTCCAATTTACAAAGACATCTAGGTGCACGGCGTATAATATGCACCAGTTTCTAGGTTATGTAAATAGCTATACAAATTACAATTATTTTGTAAATAGTACGTATATATAGAAGATATCAATAGCCTATATACTTAAGGATATAATGTTGTCCTTACACATTGGACACTATAAATTATAATGTGAACCCCATCAATTGCAACTAATAAAAACATTTGTCAGGTGTTATAAAATCTTTAAATTATTGCATTAACTTTCTTATATTTCCAAGTCACACACAACTCTGCCTAATAAAAATGCCACTTTGTAATTGCCTAATAAAAATAACACAGAATTTGTAATGATGTGAATTTGTAATTCATGGATAACAAAAATAAATATAGTTCATCTGTACCCAATCCACATACATCAATTCCGCACAATTTTTTTCTAATATCGCATTAAAGACCTCAATTAATCAATAAAAAATCATCTAATTGAGGTTACATATGATCCTTAGTGTTATGTTTAAAATAATTAATGTTTTTTACACCCCATATATCTGTAATTAAAGTGCAGTTTGACGTGAAAGAAATCAAAACAGTAGGTACATTGCGGCAACATTAAATAGATGAATAATGGTAACCAACTACGGAAATATTCCATAAGGTTGAACCAAAAGTAGAAATTAGCATAGAGGCCAACAGAAACAAGAGGTTGTTTTATCTAATAGGACTAACATGCCATAAGACGTTGCATTACTGGATAAAGTTTGATTTTACTGTATAGAGTAAAATTTAAGCCATTAGCTATCAGGTAAAACTATATCTACTTATGCTATTAAATATGTGTATTAATGTATTAGGACAGAAATTTAACAACTCGGTCCTATTATTACATAACAGCTGGGTGCACCGTGTTTATTATGGAACGTCTAAAATTTTTTGTCATTCTTCAACCCATGTTTCTTTGGTAAAAAGATTGAATTTTACTGGTTCAACGTATCTTTAAAAGCATGCATTTTGTTTTAATGGACTCTTAAAAGATCTTAGAATTTGGCAAAAATTATCATGTTCTTTAATGTGTTATGTTAAATAACAAAAAAACACAGTTTATACGATACATTAATTTATCAAAACAAACTTTTATTCCTTTCCTTTAATTGTCTTTATTACTACGTGAAATATTTCCTAAATTCCTAATATAATTTCACCGGACGTATTCATAACAAAAAGAAATGCAAATAAATTTAAACACACAATTATTACTATCAATGAAATAATATAACGCTCTTTTATGACTTTTCGGACACTATATTGTTATGTGTGGGAATAAAAAAGATTTCGATGCGAAAATATTAGACTACTCTTATACATAAACTCACATACAGAATTATTACTGTCCTTTTAAGGAAGTGTGAAACTGAACATTTTGTCAAAGATAAATAGATTTAAAAAAAGACAAAAATTATTCAGCTTCCCATACGACAGCTGGACTCACCGTGTTACAAGTTTATTATCATCATCATGATCATTATCGTTTCTCGACCTATGTTTCTTTGGGGGGAAAATATTAGTTATACGTTATACTGATAGAAAGCTTCCCTAAAGGAATGCTGATTATCTCAAACCTGTATAATATAATAATCAAAATTCATCGGAGGAAATTTCTAAAAGCCTGTAGTTTATAGTCGGTAATTTGCAGTAAGTATTCCGATTGCTATCCCGTTTGAAAAACATCCATTTCAAGAGGTTCTTATGAGATCGGTGAGTATGTTACAGTCACGCCAGGCCACATTGTGAAGCGGCACGAGGTGAAAGAATAGTTGCAACGCAGTGTAATAGCATACGCAACAAGTACATCCAAAACAGGTTTCGTGTTCGTAATTATAAAGATAGTATAAAGAATAGAAAGAACAATTAAACCATGTGGTACGCCAAAGACAGGAATACTTCAGCAGAAAATGGCTTGAGACCTAAGTCTATCCTTTGGAGATGACTTCGCAACCGTCTTAAGCATTAGTTGGATTGGATGGCATAATACAAGATATTAATTATCAACGAACTCACATAAAACATGTATAAGAAGAGCAAAAAAGGGAGATTTTATTAAAGGACGGATCCTGGTAATATTATAGAAAGAAAAGTGATAGTATACCGTTTTGTAAATGAATACAATACAATAGATATTCAGTTATGCTATTTAGGCTAAATAATCGTCGCCTACTTCTAGAAGAGCAGTGCATTAATTTCTATCAATTATTCTCCAAGTATCTTAATAATTTAATAAACGCTTCGATTTATCTTGGCGTATGTAGGAAAAGTCACGAGTAGGAGTACCGTTATTTGCGGAATACATCAGCTTGAGTCATCAAAACAATATTATGTAAATTCTGCAGACCGATTAAAGCTTACTCACCCTGATAAATACGTTGTCCAAATCTTTTGCGATGATTTGACTCCAGTCCACAGTGTCCGTATAACATAACTGGTCGTTGTGTTGAATCCGTACAGCTCCCCGTTCTATTCTCGACAGCGATCTGAGGCCCAGCGACTGCATACAAAATACTAAAATCATTAATTTATGTTCTCTGATGATCATCATTTACATTCTAAGCTAGTAGTTTAATATCAGAATTGAAAAAATATCTCTGTGGTCGTAAATTTGAATGTCATTGACAATATTTTATATAAAAATTTTAATTTCCCATCAATCTTCGGATTTCAAATAAATTTAATAAAGTAGATAAATTAGGGAGGTCATATTAAATTAAATATGCTTGGTGAACTGTGGGCTAGTGATAAGGCCGCCACAATCGTAATATAGGTAAAATACCTCTCACCACCCCAACTAGTATCACAGTTATGAGTATATATATAAACAACCAAGCCCAACTACAGACTGGATTTCGTTTTATATTTCTTATCTCAATACGAAAACACATTTATTTACTGTGTAACAAAAATTAAGATACTTCATCACTCCGATAGAATTTAAAGGTCGAAACGCTCGAGGCCGGCTTTTTTGCTCTTTTTAGATATCGTCCGATGCGATAATGGGTTAAAATTCCTGGTACGTTTTAATTCCTCGATAGATACCACCATTAAGAAACAAACAACAAATTAAAACCTACATTTCTCTTTTTCATATATGATTTAATTAATTATAATTATTAATTAATAATGCCCGTGTGGTCCCGGCATAGAATCCATCCTTTCCTTTCCCGTGGGTATCGTAAAAGTCGACAAGGGGCGGCGAGTGATGGGCAGCAGCGTCCCTCGTAAAACATCTCTAAGGCCTGACTGCGGTTGCCAATCTGCCTGGCCAAGAAGGGCAACTACTGCCAAAATCCCCCAAGGGGTGGCTTATGTTCAGCAGTGGATGGTTAAGGGCTGATATGTTGATGATGATGTTTTAATTAGACGATCGGTTGATATTTGAACTTATCTCACCTGATGGAAAGTGACAGTAAGTCCCCAGATTAAACACGTTTCTCTAAAAGATAGCTAAATGAGCTGTACGAGCCCTGTTCAGTTTGGGGCTAGATGGCGCTGTGTAATATGTTATTTTGATTAATTTGAAAAGTGCGAGGTCATATTTCTCCACAACTATTTTACCGTTTTTCATGGACTGAAAATAACCACTACTACTGAAATTGTAGAGTACAGAAATATAACACCTTAGTACTTAGGAACTGAAATACATGTGGTAGACCATGAACATTGCAGTGCATTCTATGATGCCCATAGTACTGTTACCACTTTCCATCAGGCGGGCCGTTAACCTTTCTGCCGTACCATATACAGAATAAATCTGCCGTACATATAAAGAACATAAAGTTTTTCTATGGTCAGAGAGATTTTTTTACCTCGAGGTGTTCATTGTCATATATGACAATAGCGTAATCCTTGTAGAGGCGCATGCCCCGCACCACTGTGAGGTTTGGGAACAAGTCACCTAGATTCCGCACACCTTTCGCTCTGAAATAAAAAAAAATATATCAAGTCATGCCAGTCAATAAAAAAGCGGGATATATGTGAATAGAAATATCTTGAAGATTCAATGTCAATATAAAAAATATCATTTAAAAATTTTATAACTTTTTATAAACTAAATCAAATGGACTTTGTTCATAAAATGTTATAAAATTTTTACAACCTATTTGTAGCAAAAAAAATAGGATTGAACAGAACCTAGCATCCAACCCTAGTATACCCTAGAATTTTTTATAGTTGACCATACAGGTTAAGAAAAATCTTATTTCAGTACTTTCGTTCTTTGCAAATTGATTTTGTATTATTTAAGATCAGATACCAATCTCAGAATATTTATAGTACGTTGCAGCTTGCAGCATGGTGCGAGTGACAGTTGACATATTGGCAGATTTAATTCTAAAAGAGCGAGATTTTTTAGAGTCGAAGACAATCGTGAGTGGCATTTTTCACAATCTGATGTTCCGTAAGTTTCAGTAATACTTTTTCTATAATTCTAATGATTTGTCAGTTATGTCACCCACAGCATGCTATACTCCTGGATACAAAGCGACGACTATTAGTTGGAAAAGCTAAAGTTTGTACGGTGAATATTGTGATGGTGTCTATTATAACCTATAGGAAATTTTGGTATTTGTATGTCTAATAAAAACCGAAATAATAATCTAAATAAATAACCCCAGATATAATATCATTGTACGCAAAATCTGTGTCCATGGAACTAAAATCTAAAAAAAATAAAAACCAAATATCCATTCATTGCAAACCTTGAACAAATCATCACCAGCTGTGACTATAACCTATTAACTAGGTTATTAATCTTATTATATTTAATAGCTGTCGACTTTTCTTATTAATTTATCGTTTCTGCTCATTAAAAAAAAAAACAGTGGTCGTGAGTTTAAGTCAGTGAATGTTCTCAGATGTTGTTAAACACCGTTTACAAACTTAACTAATCCCAAGATATATAGGGGCGAGTCGACAGACGATACATGGATTTATACTTGGTGTTATGTCAAAACAAAACACTATTCGATTTAAGATATTATAATGGCCATATATTTTTTTTTATGTAAATAAACATTGATTACTTGACGTAGTGTAGTAAGTAGTGGGTAAGTTTACGTACCTATAAATCTTGATATATTCCGTGACTTCCCTAAGTTCAGGGAAGCTTACATTCTCAAAGGTCCTAGGGTTGGCACGTTCCATCAGAACTATGCTGAGCTGCCCTTCAATTACTCGACACCCTCGGAGTTTCTCCATATTCTCAGGGTATGTCCTGATATCCATGGATGGACATACTGCAACAATAAATACGGCTTATGTTATTTTTAGAATACTTTTTATACTATTAAAAGAGGCAAATTAATGGTCTTTTAAAATGAACAATGTACATGACAGAATATATGCTACATACTGTACGGAGATACATATAAAAAAAATATAACCAATCAAAGAATAAAAATAGAATTAAAACAAATTGTATCCAATTGGTGAAGTTTGTTACAAAACACAGGTACGAAATTATTATTCAATTTTTTTTTTCATTAAGTATTCAAATCCACTCATGGACGCTTCGCGCGACGATAACTTTTTTTTATTATTTTAATTGATGATGCTTTTAAATGTTAGTTTTGTATCGAAAAGTAAATCTTGTATTTTTTGCTGTGTTGGGGATTGAATTCTATCTGCAGATTGAAACAAAACATAGACTACTGTTTACAGCAAAACAGCATGTATGAGTAGGAACTACTACTAACTTTCTAATCATTCACCGTCTCAATGCTTCAGATAGATCTTTTCTCATAAAAGGAAGATTTGAAGGATATTAGCCTGTTAACATGTTAGATAGGCAATTTGGAATAGTGTTTCTTTCTTTTGCACTAGCATATTGTATATTTGACGTATTTTCTGTTACCATTGTATTCTTAATCATCACCATACGGAAAAACCACCTTACTCAAAATATTATGAAAAGAAACATTTAGAGAAGATGTATGGATGTTTACACGGTTTTTTTATGCATGAAAATGGAATGGTAACTCGGCCTTTGATATTCGTTACTGAATCACGCATACGCAACGGCAAGCGGATATGAATGGAATTTGGTACACTTTTTATTCCATTCACGCGGGCTAAGCCGCGGATTATAGCTTAGTTTAACAAATAAATGTTAAATGTGAATCGATAAATAGGCATCAATTTATATTCAAAAGAAGATGTTTAGTTTTGAGCCCAGTCATTAATTGTATTGTAGCTAAAAAAATTCACTAAGTGACATAGCTTATTGGCACAAAAATATTTTTGATTATTTTTATAGGATTATTTTAAATCTTGTGCCATACACGTGTATCATATACGTAAAAATGAGAACGAAAACATGTAAATTGTAAACCATGTAAAATTATAGAAATCATTGCATATATTGTTAAATAAATATTTATTATTCAGAAATATATTTAAAACAATTCACTTCAATATATATTTCATGAAGTATAATATTTATACTTTTATAACATAAGTTTATTGTGAATCTTCAAAGTTTGTAACTTTTGATTATGTTCTTGTTATTCAGAAATTTATATTAATTTTTAAAATTTCACGTGTTTAACGGTTACTTAGTGATCTTCACACATCATTTTTATAATGTCAATTTATATTGCAAATGTTTATTATATTAGAAATTTATGTTATGTCACAAAATGCAAAATTATACAAAAAGATTTATTAAATTCGAATACGATTTAGATTATGTTTTTATTATGTACACTGACTGGGTCATATATTTCTGATACATTTTCTTTAAAAAATATCAGACATAGAACATTAGAGAACATTGTTATTAATACGACTTCGTCTCGAACACATGTACAATACAATGTATGAAATTAATTAGTTTGTTGTTGTTTTCGCGGACAAGTTGATTATTGGCCGCTAATGACCTCCCACGGAGCAATTCCGTGAGCGACCACATGGGGAAGTTATTTTGTTCTTTATTGTGTTCTACTATGACTTCACCGACTTTTATGACCATTTATATAAAAACATGTAGGTAATACAAATAACACATTATCATACCCATCTTCACCCAAAAGATCAAAACCCAATGGGTAATCAATGATTTTAATTTATGAATGAATTCCACAAACAGTAAATATCTATTATAATACTTCATAGTAAGGTTTATTTTTTATAATTTAATGTTAAACTAATAAATAAGTAAACGCAAAATCACATACAGGTTTTTATTAAACATCTAAACAGAAAAATAGCGTAAAATTGTTACTTGGTTAAGATAAAAAGTTCGTACGGACTTAGCAAAAATCTGGTTATATTTTAATACATAATAATTTAAACATCAATTACATGTTGTAGGAGATGAGTATTTTAATTGCGTGTAGGAAATAGTTGTGTGGGAAAGCAAATACAATATGATCGCCGACCTGTGTCCGTACCTGTGGATTGAAAACGCAAAAGTATGTCTAACTACATAATACTTTATGCTCACCGCGGCCCAATTCCTACCACTGTATGTAGAGTCGCTACATACAAGTTACCTGCCTATAGACCTGCTTCTCGGAAGACAGGACAATAAAAATACTGGGTAAAACTCAACATATATTATGTACGTGACGTCGAGAAAGGAATTCAAGTCCGTTTTTGTATTGTAAATGTGAAGTGAAAGGTTTATTTGAGTATGGAGCTTAGAAGACCAATTAGGTGTAGGAGTGAGATGTTGCGTTAATAAATATTCGCTGTATAGGTGTAGGAAGTGAAATGCAAGGTCGTTTTATTGCGTCGTCCAAATTTTTCGGTCCTGCACGCACTTTTTGATGAGAAAGCGAGAGGTAACTCTCAAAGAGCGCATGTACGCGAAAAGCGCGGGAGGGATAAATGCCAAGATGGCGCCGGTTGTACCGTAAACAATACGGCATGACATGGGACGCCACGCCACTGACGCTGCTACACTCAGTGCGTATTTTATTAAAATGCGTCTTCTGATCTAAGTACCAATTACTTATCACAGAATCATTAGTTTATAACCACAAAAACAATGATGTAATCTCACATTAAGGAACTATTGGGCGCGAAATAGCAGATGACAATATGATACCTACTACAGCATAATGATCAGAACCTTTCAGAAAACAAAATGCATCGCAATGCACTGGCTCTAGCGAGTGCATTGCGATGCAAATGAACTCGTCGCATAGCCCTCTCCCCGCACCTCGTTCGACACACCAGCCTCGGTCACTCAGCCCAGCGGATATTTATAGAGTAGGTAAGGAATGTTATTGTACTTGCACAAGGTAGAGATGTTACTACAAGCTATCGATTATGATAAGGTGTTAATTTTCATGAACTTTCATAAATAAGTTCCAAAGAATTTTATATGACAAAGTCAATTAATTCTATACCACTACGAAACAGTAATCAAACGTTTAATTTCATGTGAAATAAGACTGTTATAAAAACTATTTAGTGTGTTCATTTTATAAATTAAAGTATATAATTCGCAAAATATTTACCACCAAACAAATGTGTTAATAATCATAAGCATAATTAATTGTGTAATAATCATAAGAAATCATAGTATAAATAATCAATCTGAACTAATTAATAGAGTACAATTAATAATAGATGATTAAGATACGCGTACCAGTCTCATTAAAATTGGAAAACGTCAGTACGATACAAAAAAACGTTATATTTGCCATAGTTCCTGCAAACATAAAGTACATATACAGGTGGATAAAGAACTTTCCGCTTAAATTCTCCAAGGAGATCCGCCAAAGCTCTATTTTACTGCTACGAAGATGCAAATGAGTAAATTGACATTCACGAAAGATTTATTTCAATACAGACAGTATCATCCTTTTTATATACCTTAGATGTGTCTAGCAGACCGGCCGATCGTGTTGTTAAGGTAAATATTAATAAAATAAAACTGACTTTAAAGTTCGTTTTTGTTTATTTAATACCGTCATCGTATTATCATGTACCACTAAGGTTTCGATTTAAAGTTTCTTTACATTGCGCCAAAAATCCCTATGTGCTATATATATACAATTATAGATCTAAAAAAACATTATACATTACATATTATGTTCTTAATAATCTCTTATATCTATACTTGAAAGATCAGCGGCTGTTTTAAATACATCCAATGTGCCCGTTGTTACTGAACAAGAAAATTACAATACAGAAATCAATTGGCGTATTAAACAGTCAAACAATTTACTCTGAATCCTCCCTAAAAATAACAATTCGTGTTTGCTGGGCGAGCTGTTGTCTTTTCCATCTCTAGGAGAACCAAGGCCACTCCGAAGTTTACATTGAACCCGGATAGATATCCAGATGATTACATAGAGCCGGGAATCTCTATAACATCATATCCATAAATCTATGGAAAATAATGGATTTCATAAAACATAAGTTATCGATGAGTAATTCTGTAAATGTTGATAACTATAACAAATATTTCTGACTTCTGTTATTTATGTCTGGGTACCTTTTCTTATGCTTGTAAAGATTTCACTACATATATAGATTTAAAGATATTGTACATGCTAATAAAACATACAAAAACATAACACTAGAAAGCAAATGTACAAAATCGAGTTTAATTCTGCAAGTGTTCTCTTCCAGCAAATTCAAAGGGAAAAGAGTATCAATATCAACGGGTAGAACGGTGTAAATACAGTGACAATTTAGAACTAGACAAAACTTAAAATAACATTATATTTAATAATATATATACATACATTCTTCTTCAATTTGATTATCATAATCTTTCTATACAAAACTCTAGAATACCTAACACGTTCCTAATTTGTTATCCAAAAACAATCTGATGAACCCTTAAGTTGAACCCCTTGAATCCAGTTTCCGACCAATCATAGTACTATATACTGGATTCCTAGGATAACCGTTTCAGTATAGAGGAATTCCCGACATGTAATTGTAAGTCAACTACTTGATGTTTTGTAATATGTATTTTTATCGATAACGATGTATTTTTCTCACCATGGCGTTTGTACAGAACTAACAAAATATTGAACGCGGCAAGCTTCCTCTGCTACCCGCACCGCGCTTACTACGCCGCTACTACAGCCTCCGCCCCTCTCCACCCGCACCAATCCACCCCGTACCATGACACCGCAATACTACTTTGACCGGCGACACAATATAAGGCAAAGCTTTCTCAGCCCAAACGAATATTCAAACGAACTTCAAACAAACGAAAGTTTCATGATACGGAAAGCGGTTGGCTTGGTTGTTAATGGTGGATTCCGCGTCA